CACGGGTATATAATATACCCCGCTCAACATTGCATAACCGATTCAAGGGCATGACATTTCGCCATGAATTACGCGCAAATAACCATAAAATGACCCAGAATGAAGAGGAATCACTTGTACAATGGATATTATCATTAGATCGACGTGGAGCTCCTCCCCGACCGTCTCATGTGCAAGAAATGGCCAATATTCTTCTTGTAAAACGTGGTACCACACCCATTCAGACAGTTGGTGATAAATGGGTATACAACTTTGTCAAACGGCGTGATGAGCTTAAATCAAGATATTTTCGACGATTCAATCACCAGCGTGCTAAATGTGAGGATCCAAAGCTTAGTTAGGGAGTGGTTTAATCGTGTATAAATCGCTATAATGCAACATGGAATTGCACAAGAAGATATCTATGAAACTGGCTTTGCAATGGGCCTGGTAGCTACTGCTAAAATAGTTACTAGAGCTAATATACATGGAAAGCCATTTTTAGTGCAGCCAGGCAATCGAGAATGGGTTACCTTTATTGAGTGTGTTAACTCTACCGGATGGGCACTTCCACCTTATATTATCTTCAAGGGAAAGGTCCATATAGAGGGTTGGTATAAGAACTTACCAAGTAACTGGAGAATTGAAGTTAGTGAGAATGGATGGACACGTAAGCGAGTCGGATACCTCTCCCGATCGGTGAAAAGAAAGCTATTCAAAACACCCAAAAATCTGCATTTCTATATAAAAATTAATTACTATTGCGATTAGGACATGAATTGATTTTATGGCCCTGAATACCAGAGCCAGAACACTTTGGTGGCGCTCGTGCGCGTTGCTGAACTGTAGATAACCCTCTATCCACTGGTATAGCATCTTGAGCTTCTTGGGCCTTATGTCGATGCTGTATATACTCCTCGGCCTCTTCTGTAGAAAAGCCCTCTGCTGTAGCTACCTGTCGCTTAGATTCCTTTTTATTTTGACCATTTGTTTCATTTGCGGCTCGTAAATCCCCTGCTTCTTGACGTGCAAGAATAACTTCATTTAGAGCCATTTCATGCCCTTTGATAATCTTGTCTAATCGCGTCTCTAAAGAAGACTGGGGGCTTTGTGTATGCGCTTTAAGACGCCTTTTTATTACAGATGCTTGCTTCTTTAATTGCTGAGAATTATAAGGTGTTTTGGGTGCTGAATTGGTTGATCGACTGCCTGGTGATGTAGGAGTTTTCAGTTGAATATTAAGCTGTTTTAAAGCTCTTTCTGGGTTAAATGGAACCAAGCCAGTTCCTAAAAAGCCGCTTTTAATATTATCCTCCTTTAAAGCCTCTGTACGGGCTTTGGGATAGGCTTCAAGAAACTCAAGTTCGTTAATATGGTTAAAACCAAGCCGTGGCTTGTTCTCAAGCAGACGTCCATACGCGCGCTTTAATGGCCCAAAGTGTCATGGGCTGAACCCATAGAACCTACAAGATAGGTTATGTACAAGAAGGAATCGTTGAAGAAGGGAAGAAAGGAAGAAAGGAAGAGGAGACAAGCGGTAAACAAACAAGGTGGGAAGTCACGTGACATCGATCGAGGGCCAATGGGCCAAAAGGGTCAGTAGGGTCAGTAGGGACAGTAGGGACAGTAGGGACAATAGGGACAATAGGGACAATAGGGACAACGGGGACAGTAGGGACAATAGGGACAACGGGGACAGTAGGGGCAACAGGGATAATAGGGACATTGGCCCGAGAGGTCAAACGGCTCTAGCCCTTTACACAAAGCAACCAACATCAAGCGGTTGAAGAAGATGTGATGAGTGTGCTGGCATGCAGATTAGTATAATATTATTCTCACTGCAGATCTGATCAAATTGAGGAGTTAAATGGCTTCCATGGCCATTAAGAACCAGCAAGCGATATTGTCCAGTTGTACGGCCTGTTGTAGCAGGAATAAAAAGCTTTTGAAGCCAGCGCACTCCATTTTCATCAGTAGTCCGACTCGTTTACCGATTACGTTAACGTGATCGATCACCGAGCTGCGCGGTCCCCACCAAACTGCGCGCTTACCACGTAGATTTTCAAATTAAAGGTCATAATAGACTCAAGTTCCCTAGTAAATAATGCTGTCTTAATTATATAATAAAATCGCTTTACTTAGTTGAGATATTAGTCAATTTATAGGGCTGCTTTGTGTGGGTGCGCAGCTCGGTGATCCGCGCAGCTCGGTGATCGGTCACCGTTATCTAGATGGGTGATATCCGATATTCGGCTAATACCGAATAGGAAAGTAGACACTATTCTTGAAAGGTGCTTAAAATGATTGTTTTAGATGGTTTCTTGATTATATTGATCAACATATGATCATTCTTGTGATTATTATTGATTATTAGGTTGCTTCTTCTGCTAGGTGTAGGGGAGTTCGTTTTACCCCTCTTTTATGACCTTGTTTACGTCACTATTACCACCAACTTATCTGACAGGTGACAAGGGGCGCCACTATTTGCACAGGTCAAAATTCTGCCTGCACAGGTCACTAAACCTAAATAGGTATAGCTTATATTCTACCAAGGGGTGGATTTTATTTACACAGGTCCCCCAGTCATATCCCAATTAGGAAATATGTACTTATCTTAAAGTGTTGAAACCAGGGATAAAAGTAAATATAATACTACTATTACAAACAAAATGGATCATTTCCCATATAATAATACTCCTTCTCAAATACCTTCTCCTGAATCCGGCACACAATTCAATACTGCTTTAGAGGCAGAAAAGGCCGCAAAAACACATGCTCTACAATATGGCTATGCAGTAGTAGTTGTTCGACGCAACAAGAACCGCAATGGTATTATTGAAGCAGTCTATCTTGGCTGTGATCAAGGTCAAAAGCGTGCTTCAACATCCACTGGCCAGCGCGAGGCCAAATCTCGAAAAATTGGCTGTCCTTTTAGCATTCGAATTAGCTACTCAAAACATACAGCTAGATGGACCTTAGTTGTACGGAATAAAGATCATAATCATGAGGCATCATCAGCCATTGCACATCCTTCAGTTCGGAGAGAGGAGATCAAGCAAAAAGGGGATCAAATTAAGGCCTTAATTAAAGTTGGTATACCAACGAGAGAGATTATTCGAATACTCCGTCAAGAAGATCAAAATACTCTTATCCAACGCCATGACATATACAACCTCCGGGCTGCAATATATAAGCAATTTCTTGCAGGACGAAGCCCAATGCAGGCCTTAATTTCTATTTTACCTGATAAAGGAAGTTGGATAATGCAGCATGCTACTCAAAATGGTCGAGTTTCTGCGCTATTTCTTACTCATAAAGTGTGCCTTCAGCAACTAAAGAAGAATCCATATATTCTTTGTATGGATTGCACTTATAAAACCAACCGGTTTAGGATGCCTCTTCTTAATATTGTTGGTGTATCAGCTACTGGAAGCACATTTTACATTGCATTTGGCTTTTAAGTGATGAACAAGAGGAGACCTATTCTTTTATTCTAGCTTTAATGCGAAGAGTATACCGGGTTCTCCAGCTTCCACTTCCTCTTGCTATTCTTACAGATAAAGAGAAGGCTTTAATAAATGCAGTTATGCATCTCTTTCCAGAAAGCAGCCATCTTCTCTGTATCTGGCATATTCTTAAGAATATTTCAGCAAAAAAGCAAAGCCTATGATCGCTCGTACAGTTCAAATTCAAGATACAAAAAAAAATTGAAGAGATTGATAGGCAGACTCAAAGCCTAGAAAGAAAATGGACACAAGTTATCTTTGCAACAACAATTGAGGAGAAGAATTAGAGATGGGAAGAATTTAAACAGATATATAGCTCTTTTCCGGAGTTAATACACTATCTGGAGTGGGAATGGCTTCAATATTTTACTGCAAGGAAATTCCTCCATTGCTATACCAATTCCTATACTCATTTTGGAAATACTGCAACATCTCGAAATGAAGGCGCGCATCATAATATTAAAAAGGGATCTAAACACCTCAATAGGAGACCTTTTAACAGTGACACGGTCTCTTGAACGAACAGTGCTTGATAGAGATGCAGAGATAAAGAGGCAGATTACAGAGAACAAGATAAGATGGCCTATATCTCTTGATATGCCTCTTTATCGGGATGTGAAGTTTAAAATATCCCAATTTGCACTCTTTAAAGTTCATAAAAATTTATAAGGACTACCTTCCGAAAAGGCCCCTGGCAAGAGGCTAATTAAGCCTTGTACTAAATCAGTACAGGTAATACTTGGAATTCCATGCATTCATATCATTCAGGAATATGTCGATGCCCAGAGGCCATTAAATATGGACCACTTTCATCGCCAGTGGTGGATTACAGGCTATTTAATAGAGCCACTTGATCCTTGACTTCTAGTAATGGATCCACTTATACAGCCTTCCTTCGGCGGCCGTTTAAACAAGCGAGGATTGTCATTATATGAGCGAGTGGACCGGGAGGTACGGATTGCTCAGAAAGGTGAGGCACTTAAAGCAATCGTCAGCAGCGGCTATATCTGTGGAGGCAAGACCTGAAGAAGCAGCAAACAAGGCACCGCTTGAAGCATTGAATGAAGCATCAAGGCAAGGAATATCTCCGGCGATGCCTCGGGGACAGGGTAGAGGGAGGGGCAAGCGGGCAGGCGATCTGGGGATCTAACATGGGTGTCAGTGGAATTTTGATATCTGCATTCTGATTGGCTGGTCAAACTGTATTCTGAATTGGTATATTAATGTCTAATAATTGCGTCATGCTATGTTGCACTTTTATATGGAGAATCGAATAAAAAGCATTTCCATTAATACTATGACGCCTTCAAGGTGTCAGAATAAAGCTAGTCCATATTGGGACATCATGTGAATATATATACCCAATACTCCTCATAGAGGGGTTGGGCAGAGAATCCTTCTGAATACAACAACTTCATACCCCCATATAATCTAACAATTAAGAGTCTCATTTGTTAAAAGAGCACTCATATATAGATAGATATATATCTATATCTATATTAACCCTATTTCGCTATGTCAACCATTCAAGACAGCACCATTCGCCTCAACACACAGGAGGACTGGATGCAGTGGCAGACGCAGTTTGAAGGCCTAGCTAGAGGCAAGGATATTTGGGATATTATTACAGGTGACGGAGAGGATCTTCCAAAGCCTAGAATGCCTAACGAAGAGGATTATCTTCCTCCACCTGCTAATAGCACCCGAAATGCCTCCACAGGGTCCCATGCGGAATATCAGTTGGCTTGGACAATTTTATCGAACCAAACTGGAGGAGTACAACAAACAGAAAGCGGAGTTAAATAAGATCAGAGAATGGATTCAAAAGACTGTATCACCACAAGTCTATGAATTCTGCTGCATTCCTTCTGATTCCTTGAACGACTGGTATGACAACCTAAAGAAGAATGTTGGAGTTGATGAGTTTAGAGTTAAAGACTGGCTCGAGAAGCTTATCAAAAGGCCATCAAGACTCCAAAGCCCAGGGACATCAACACCTGGATAAACAATTGGGAGTTAGCCATGCAGAAGGGGATAAAGGCAAAGATTGCAGTTGCTACTTCCTTAACTGATTGGATTAAAGACTTTCTAAATGCAGTGCGATCTTTGAATCCTCACTGGGTAGAATCTTATTGGATAAATAAGAAGCAAGACATTCAAGAAGAAAGCCTCTCCTTTAGAATGGTCGCGCAGGACTTCCGTGATAGCATGAATCGAATGGGATTACCTCAAGGCAAGATTGCCAAGGGATCATTCGGTCCTACCTTTGGAACTCAAGACGAAGGTAGTGATGCCTCTATCTCTGGAACTCATGGCAGAGATAGTGACGAAGATAAGGCACCCGCACCAGATACTAGGAGGTCCCGAAAGCGGAAGCAGAGGACCGAAAGCCGTGGATCACCGAAGGAGTTCAAGAGGAACAATCCGGGATCATCAAGACCGTGCAAAGGCCTGCAGAGCTTGCGGACAATGGCATAATTGGAAGGATTGCTTTTATTTATTCCCTAGGAAGGCCCCAGAAGGATATCAGGAGCGTTCTGAAGTTAGAAGGTTGGTAAATCTGTCACTAAAGGATGATCAAAGCTTTGCCAAGCAGGTGGAAGAAGAAATAAAGCAAAAGGCTCAAGAATGACTAGAAAAGGAACCAGCATCTCCTTCCTTTCTAGATAAAGAAGTAGGGAGAATACCTACTTCTTTTATCTTGCTTCCGTCCACATATCCTCTCAAGAACTCTGCAATCCTTGACTCCGGCACGACTATCCATATATTCAACCAGTTCTCTCGATTCGATCGATACCAGCCAGCGGCACCCGGAGATTTTGTATGGGCAGGAGATTCAAAAGTCTCTATTAAAGGATACGGCAATGTCAGCATTAATATTAACTCGAAGGAACGTGAAAACAAAACTACGCCTGTATGATGTTGCTTACTGTCCTAATATGGCGTGTAACCTAGTGTCTTTGAGGCAACTCCATCGAATGAATCTATGGTGGGACAATCAACCTGGTCAGAATGTTATTCGCACTATAAAGGGGTTTCCAATCGCTTACCTGGAGGATCGACATGATCAATTTGTCCTTGAATATATCCCGGTATCAACACATGCAACATTCGCTACCAGATCTTCACATCAGAGTTCGAAGTCAGTGCGAGCAGATGCTAAGAAATGGCATCTCCGCCTGGGGCACCCAGGACCGCAAGCAATAGAGCACCTAGTTAATGCTTCAAAAGGTGCTAGGATCCGGGGTCCGACGACAGTAGAATGTGATGCTTGCGGAATAGACCAAAATAAAGACGTCAGATTCAACGTTTTCCCCGAGGAATAAAAGAAGGACCTGGATTGCAACTGGCAATTGACTTTCATGACTTTGAACAAGGATATCAAGACTTTAAAAGCCTTATGTTGGTGACAGATAGATGGTCTGGCATTATCTGGGACTATTATTTTCAAAATCGCACCGCGGAGGCAATTATCAAGGCATTAGAGGACCTATTTAGGACTCTAAAACATCAGTACAACATCATGCCTAAGGTAATTGAGTGTGATAATGAGATAGTTACCAGAAAACTCCAAGTCTACCACTATATCCTTTCGAAAGGCATCAAGGTTGAGCCTTCTGCGCCTAATACGCAACACAAAATGGAGGTGCAGAACGCTCAGGGGTGTAATAAAGGATAAGGCTAGAGCTATGCGGGAAGGTGCTAAATTGCCTGCGTTTCTATGGCCAGAAGTGGTACGAGCAGCAGTTTACCTATTCAACCGAACACCTTATTATCAAGCCAATTGGAAAACTCCTGTTGATAGGTTCCATACCTATATTGCACACAGCGAAGGTGTTGTGGTGGAGGATAGAAACCTCAGCAAGCACACCTAAAAGTTTATGGGTGCAAGGCCTTTGCAATGACTCCTGAAGCTCAGAAAAAGGAGAAAAGACTGCAGAGATTTAATCCAAAGGCATGGATAGGATATCTAGTTGGATATGACTCCACTAATATCTATCGAATCTGGTTGCCTCGGTTGAATAAGGTTATTCGGACAAGGGATGTAATTTTCAATGAAGAAGAACAATTCTCTGGTGACATAGCTAAGACCTTAGCCACCATGCAGGATGAATTTCGACAAGTTCCCTTAAAAGGAGTTTAATCAAATGGTGGAGAATATTGAGCTTCAAAGCTTGCCAATGGAGATGGCAGAGGATTCTTTGTCTAATGGACACTTTGATTCAATTGATTATCTTGCAGATATTCCAGAATCAAACCAGCAAGAAAAGGAGCAAGATACTTATCCAACACCTCCGGAAACACCAGAAGCTTCATTCAATCCAGCGTCATTATTTGCATCGGCATTTTGCAGTGAATCCACTAGCCCACCAGCAACTCCGAAATTATCAAGACATCTGCGGACGTGGAAGGCAACATTCCTAGCAGGACGACTTATTCAACCTGTTCGAAGACATAAAGAAAAGACGATCAGCAAAGCAACATTGGAACGACTCCAGAGATGCCCAGGTGGCCTATCCAAAATACACCGTCGGAATTTGCCTCCAGAACCAGTATGGCATAGAGACCTGGAAGATCATCCACTAGGATCTCTGTTTAAACAAGCAGAAGAGGATCATCTCAAAGGTCATAGAGATATGAGGACCTGGGAAGAGATACGAAGATCCACCTGCTTAGGCAAACAAGTCCTAGATTGCAAATGGGTGTATGTGTATAAATTCGACAAGCACGGCAGATTTCAAAAGTGCAAGGCTCGACTAGTTGTCCGTGGAGATAACAAAAGGACCGTACAGATATCTATATGCAGCGACGTTAGCTATTCGATCATTCAGGACTTTGATGTCTCTTGCGGCCCGGTTTGATCTTGAATTAATTCAATATGATATCACAAATGCATTTGTTAATGCAGATGTGGATGAGGATGTCTTTATGCGGATGCCTCCTGGTTATAGAGTGCCTGGAAGACTGCTAAAGCTAAAGAAAGCCCTCTTTGGACTAAAGCAGTCCCCAGTTCTGTGGCAAAGATTGTTCACAAAAAGCCTTTAAGATCTAGGATTTAAATCTATCCCACATGAGCCATGTTGCCTAGCCAAAGGAGATATCCTTATATTCTTCTATGTGGATGATATTGTCTGCGCTTTTAGAAAGGAAAGCAAGAAGAAAATGGAAGAAATTATCCAAAGGCTTCAAAACCAGTATAAGATGACTGGAGGCGATAAACTGAAATGGTTTCTAGGGATAGAAATAATCCGGGATAGAAAGAGGCATCTAATATGGCTAAGTCAGTCCTCATATATAGATAAGATTGCTAACCTTTCAGAGTCAGAGCCAAAAGGTTATATCCTTATTCCAATGACTCAAGAGAAGTTATCTCTATATTCGAGTGCAGCAAGCTATCAAAGCATCCACCGATATCAACGAAAGATTGGTTCCTTAATGTATGCTGCAGTTGTGACTCGTCCAGATATAGCTTTTGCAGTATCAAAGCTATCCCAATTCCTCACCAACCCAAGTCCGGAACACCACAAAGCAGCAGATCAGGTGCTTAAGTACCTAAAAAGGACTCAAGATCTAGCTCTGCAGCTGGGGGGTGGAGATAATTATATCCTATATAGTGATGCATCCTTCGCAGACAACAAGGACAGAAGAAGTTCGCAAGGGTATATTATTCAACTATTCGGAGGGACCGTGGGATGGAGAGCGAATAAGCAGGCAACTGTGACAACATGTCAACTGAAGCAGAGCTATTAGCATTATCGCAAGCAGCGAGGGAAGGGATGTTTATGGAGAGACTTCTAAGGGATCTGCAACTTCACCTGGATTCATCAAGTTCAATTCATGTGATAATATGCAGACAATCCGACTTGTTAATGAGAATAACCGACTGCAAACACGGCTTCGTCATGTGGACATCCATAATCACTGGCTAAGGCAAGAGGCAGAGTCAGGAAGGATCCAAATTGAATATTGCCCCACCAACAAGATGTTGGCAGATGGACTCACCAAGGCGCTTCCAAGGGAGAAATTCGAGCTATTTGTGAAGCAGCTTGGTCTAGTTGACATATCTAGGCAGAGGACAAAAGGGGAGGATGAAAATCATCGACATTTTGATGAATTTGATGATATTCTGTGTGGAGAATGAATATGGGAATAGCTTCAAGTTCAGGTTCAAAGGATGTTTTGGAACCTGAGGGGGTGTGTCAGAATAAAGCTAGTCCATATTGGGACATCATGTGAATATATATACCCAATACTCCTCATAGAGGGGTTGGGCAGAGAATCCTTCTGAATACAACAACTTCATACCCCCCATATAATCTAACACAAGGTTGTGGGTCACATGATACGTCCCAATGTAGTATAGTCTTGACCTGTGCAAATAGATGTTTCCTAATCGGGTTAGTGACCTGTGCAGGCAGAATTTTGACCTGTGCAAATAGTGGCGCCCGTGACAAGAGATGACACGTGACCATACTGAATGCGGTAGGCCCCCATCCTATTTGGTACTTAGCCTATCATATAGGTTCTACAGGTTCAGCCCCTGACACGACGCCTCCTAGCTTTGATATTTATTTCCGGGTCAAATGTCTGCTGAAGCCATGCTAACCCTAGCTCGCTCATCTTTAGCTCAGCCAGATGGTGAAGATGCAAAGAAAAATTGCTGCGTTCGCTGTATCAAAGTCTTGAAGCCAGGAGTCTTGTAGATACCGCTTGGTATGTCAAATCAGGAGAAAGACGTTTGGTCTGCGCAGATGCATATTAATCCACTCCCGATTACCATTCTGTAGGCATTGTTAGAGACCTCCTTGCTTATATAATCGTCTGGTAGATCCTCTTGTCCTTAGGGGGTATGCCAATGAGAAATCCTTCCTAGTCCATGTTGTACATATTCTCTTGCTGTATATAGTATTTCTTGATCTTCCGGTCCAAGAATTCAAAATATAGAGTGTATTTTAATGCAGAATCAGCATGCTTGCGTGCAGAATTGATACCAGTTCTTTTTGATGCTGCGCGGCCAGGCCACTTCTTTCCTGGCTTAGTTCCAGTAATATCCTTAGCAAAATTCCGTAGCATCTTCTACGTACAATATACACCCCATTTGACTTATTTATACAAGATACAAGCGTTTTGGCTTGCTCATTGTTGAGGAATCGCTGGTCTTCATTCCGCAGTGATGCCTTTACAGGGTTGATTGGTCAACACCAAACCATTTTGCAATTTGAGTATAGTTAATTCATTCTCCTGGCTCTAAAAAATCGATTGCAGCTCACCCGGCTTCTGTAAAGCTATATTGAATGATTTATTTTTGGTTTAAATTTGATGTGGCTAGATGTTTAAAATACTTAGACGAGGTGTGATATGTATAAACCTTATAATGGTCTGTGGTGTACTGTACCTACCACCTACAGCCCGAATTCATCACTTACCGACTAAACGTAGATTTTTAAACTACCATATCTCATAGGCAAGAAAATAAATAACGAAATAACCGTAACAGCTTAAATGGTACTAATCCGAGAATAATAATCGGAGGGAAACATACATATTGCAAAGATAAACAGTTCTGTCAAATACCCAGCTACATATCTACTCCACCATAGGTGTTAAAAGTAGTCGTATCTAACCGTAGTATGGGGCCTCAGTTCCACTATGAAGAGGCTGTGAGCCATTAACGAATGTATTCGTAATCGATGCCAGATACGCTTGGGATCCCAGACGCTCCTTCAGCCCTCTTACTATGAGGCCCTAATATGCGTCAGTGAGCCTGTTCTGGTCAACAATCCGAAACTGCACTTACAGTGAAGATTGTGTCGCACATGGAACTCGTTTGAGCCATGAGTAGATACGAAACAGACTCCGCTTCAGGATCTAGATTCATTCCGCCTGAGAGATATCGTGCAGTTGCTGGTGGAATTTCCCAGGGTGTCTCTGGCTGTCCAACGGATGGTGGTTGCGATTGTTCATCCGGCCAATTTTGCTGGGGATTGGATGGGTAGAAATGGTAGTAGGGGTCGTACACGTAAGGTTGGTGCAAATGATTGTTTGGAGGTATTGCATCGAATAGATCAGACCCCGCAGATCCTGCGATACCCGATACATGGACTGACCTGACCTGAGACCTGGTGTCTTCCGAGTCAGAATCACGGTTTAGAGCCTGCCCATTTGTTGAAGGAGATGGTAATTTCTCAGAATCTCTAGGGCAGTCGAGGCTATCGCGGGCTCGTTGTGTTGTGGGCTCCTCCACTGGAGCGGAAACCTCCGCCTGTCCCTGACCGACTGGTGCTGTTAATGATCTCGGATCGATGTAGCTGTTCTCCATTGGTGACTACTTTGGATAGGGAGCTTGACGGAGATATCTGTATCGGATATTTTCATATCGCCTAGCTATATATGCCTTTACCCCTCATTCCCTTAGCCGGTTCTTGACCAAAGGCTCACTTACGGATAGGGTTTATGGGTACCGGCTACTGCATAAATATATTTAGTAGTAGCTTGCGACAACATTCTTAGGTGCTATGATGGAGCCTTTTCTTAAAATATATCAAAAATTGGGGCCAGTTCCACATAGAGCAGACCAAATTTAGATATCCTAGTTGATTGGCAAATGGGATGCGTTGGAAATGAAGCACGATCTATATTAGGGATACTACTAGCTGAGGCGGCGATGTTTAGTCCGCTGCCTACGATGAAAGGGCCACTGGAATGTAGATCTATTGGCCAGCTGAATACGCGTATGAGCTAGTATCTCCGATCTATTGATAAAAATCCATCTATATTGAAAAGTGAGGTCCCTTAACTATCTGAAGTCGGACCGAGTGGGTGCTGAATAATAAGTGATATTGGGTCACGAACACCAATGATGTGCGTCAAATCCCTAGCCAGAACTATTGGGGCTTGCTAAAACAATCTAGTAGGCAATTTCCTAACACGCAAGTTGTACACAAATGAAGAATTGCCAATTAGCAACTGTGGAAATAGCGGTGCGAAGCACTCCTTGTGGTTTGTGGATTCAACCCCTGAATCCTTTAGTTAGTGGAGCACCTTTGACGTTGCGTACCGAGCACCCTAGATAGGAATGTTAAGAAAGTTGGTTGAGATACTGTGATTCGTGGTGCTGCCACAGATGAAATTACTTCTTAATTGAGCTAATTTGGCCTGTAGCTAATCTACACCGTTAGCTCCCTCCGCATCACTTCCCCTGAATTCCACAACAGCAACAGATATCCTTAGTTGTAGGAGAACAACAGCTAATGCGATGGTGTAAACTAGATTCCAGAGACTATTTATTTTGGCCGTACTGTAAGGCGGCAGTTCTATCGATCTTTGTTTTGTATACTAATGAAATAGCCATAATCGACTAAGTCCAGTTTAGAGTGGTGTGTAGGGCGCCTTGTACCTTATAACAAGCTGGTTATTTTCGGCGGTACACGGCTATAAGCACACCTACATAAACAGGATCATCCGGTTACGAGATAATCAATCTGAGCAAAATGGAGAGCATAAATCTATCCTTACATGACTGTAATTTAGTTAGGTGGTCAATATTACCTGTAGGTAGAACCTCCTTTCGCACCCTGTATTCGGATCATCGGTTGTCAAGGCCAGACTTCAGCCGGGAATCTTAACCAGGGCTGGTGCCACACTAACATAAAATTAATGCCAGAATAGTTACAGTAGCATTATAACGAAAATGCTGTACCGATCACCGATGCAAGATTACCGTAGTAAACCCGCTTTGGGAACACATTTCATTATATGTATCACCCAAACCGATTGACCGTGAATAACTCTCTGTTTTCGAAATTATTGTCTGTATGATGTTGGGCTTAAAAAGCTTCAAAGTGGATTAAGAAGCAAATAGGTTGCTTGGACATTACGTTATCGGTTCAAGGCAGTAATGGTCGACTTGTCAGTATCGTGCAGTATTGTGCTTTCAGCTTCAAATTCTAGCATACAGGGCACCAGTCTTTGAGGCTCTTTGTTCTGGGCAAGACGGACAGCATGGCGGTTGGATCCTTTACTCTCATTCGAATTGGAGGAAAAATCAAATAGCATATGTTTGGCAAACAGCTCCATGAAGCCAGTGTTCTATGTATGTCCAGCGCTGTCTTTGCCCTCAGCAGTTCATAAAGGAATCCCATTAATAAATTCTGTAGACTGTAGCTCAACACTTCTTCATTATTTGTTTTTTTGAAGGGATTTACCCGACTGCAAAAAAAAAAAAAAAAAAAAAAAAAAAAAAAATTTTAAAAAAAAAAAAAGGGGAATTTTCCCCCCCAAAAAAAAAAAAAAAAAAAAAAAAAAAAAAATTCTCAACAGAAACCCAAAATCTGCAAGCTTAATTGTGTGAGCGCCACCCCAAAAAAGGTCGATTCAGCGACAGTTAGGCATGCTCAAAATAAATAAAGGAGGAAATAGATCGGATGACGTCGCAAATAAGCAAAGCTTTATACATAAGGCGATTAGGAGATGCACCAGTCTTTGCCCTGTGTCACGGCGTGAGCATGGCGGAACAACTGGATTCTATTTTGACGAAGGCATCGCTTGAAGAACTCGTAAACAGAGCGGCGCGAGGTCAGAACTAAACTATCTACAGGCGGTGAAGGGAGGCAGAACCCGAATCCTGACACCCTGGCTGTTTTTGTTAGATAGCAAAAACGCCTCGAAAGTCGAGCAGAGTACGAAGCAAGTTTAAATTCTTAGTTATCGAATATCTAAGAGGGTCTCGGGAAGGTGAATGAGCCGGAAGTTACACTGAAGAATATTTCCTTTTGGAGCTGAATGTGGTAAATTAATACCTGGGACTGGCGAAAAAGCAAAGCTTAGACTTCTGCAAGCTTTGTAGAAATAACTACGTCTGTACAGTAATAACGTCTGTCACCACCCAACGCCCGCCACCAACCAACGCCCCGCTCCGAAGCCAGCGAACGAGGCAACAAATGAAACTATTCAGCCATGTACAACTTATATTTTGAAGAGATTTTTTGATGTATTGTTCTTGAGCTTCTAAAGTATTTATATACAAATTTTAAGCGTCACGAAAGCGGTGGGGGAGGCGTATTTGCCTGTCGCGACGACTTTGCGGTACAGAGGCCTCAGGAGACTCTTCAGGCGCTATAGAAGTAATATCTGTAGTATTTTGACCAGTATTTGTTGTAGATTGCTTCTTTTGACCACTCTTTGGTGTTTTGAAGCCATTTTGAAGCTGCCGATCTGCCTCTTTATCAACTCGCTCTGCCTCCTTTTGACGCTTTTTTTCCTCTGCCTGGCGCTCGCGAAGAACTTTATCAGCAGCTCGCTTTTCCTTTCTTTCTTAAAGTGATCGCTGTTTCTCTTTTTTGCCTGCTGTCGACGAAGCCTATCTTGCTCTTTTGAAGCTTTTGCGAGCTTTACTTCTCGGTCTTTCGCTGCATGAAACTCGCGCGCTTGCTGTATTTTCTTAGGCGAGTAAAAAATCGCACCACCGCTGTCTGGCTCTTGTAGTTAAAATACCAGAGGCTTAGCACGTTGCCGCTTCATTTTCTTATTAGATAAAGCTGTTCTGAGGCCAGTATTCTCTAGTCTTAGCAGAGCATTTTCTATGGCAAGCTAGTATATTATAGAAGAAAGCTTTTTTGCACTTTTATTATAGTAATTAACAACAGCAGCTCTGATCATTTGCTGGATAAAACGCCAGTTATCACCATTAACAACTGACTTGGAGGAGAGATAAGAACTACTAGATGTTAGCCGTTGGTCTCCGGGGCGCAGGAAACGTTGCAGAACTGCTTCAGGATTAAATAGCCATATACCAGTACTTCTGAAGTCAGATTGAAAGTTTTTGGGTGTCAAAGCCTTTTGCCATGCTGGCCAAAACATTCTGAAGAAGTCCCGCTTTGTAATACTGCAGAGGCCTTGAGATTGATGCAGAAATTGCTCCAGTTTTTCTAAATAGGCTTTAGCAAGCGGAGAGAAGACACTGACATCAAGCAGCTGCAGAGAATGCGTTGAATAACACGGATAAGTTATTGTATTAATCTATTTGCTTCACAGAAATCTAAAAACATTGTGACGTGGGATCGGTGGCCATCAAGAAATAAAGTCTCCAGCTCCGCTTTGCCTTTGGCTTCGTTTCTCGTTCAAAAACCGTAGTAAGCCATTGATATCCGAGCTCATCATTTGTCCATCCAGATTCTGAAGAGGCAAGGAAGCAATTATGAAGTTTTTCATCAAAATTTTGAAGCCAGGAATCTTGTATTTTGCCAGAGGATGCTTGATAGATCAGACCAGGCGCTATTGCTGTTCCGTCGGCGCAAATACATGCAATTGTCGTTATCTACTCTTTATTACCATCTTGCAAGCGTTGTAGAGAGCTGTCCCTCTCATATTTTGCTTTAGAAAAGATCCTGCGGCCTTTAGGTAGTATTCCGATAAGAAATCCCTTCTCGTCCATGTTGTAGATATTCTGCGGTTCTATATTATATTCGTCCAATTTAGCAGCTGCGTAATTAAAGTATAAAGAGTATTTATATACTGAATCTGACCGTTTTCTTGATTAATCGATTGCTCCGGTATATCGCGAGATAATATTATTTTGATGGCGCTTTAAGAAGCGCGCTGGCCACTGCTTTCCTGGCTTTTTTTCCACAGATTGTTTTAGCAAAATTCCGAAGCATCTCATGCGTAGGATACAGGCCTCTCTGCGACTGCTTATTTATATACTTTATAAGCATTTTGGACTGCGCGTTGTTGAGTAATTGCTGGCTTTTGTCCCTGACATCTCTTGGCGCCTGTTTTCCTTGATGGCGCCTCGCAAGCGTGGATCGATCAACACCAAACTGTTTCGCAATTTTAGTATATGAAAATGTTTCTCCTGGCTCCAATAAAGCGACTGCTTCCAGCGCTTCATCAATCGGAGCCATATTGACTGAGATATGTGGTGTTGAAGTTGCTGGGTTGAACAGTCGGTGAGCAAAATGCGGGGCGTTGGTTGGTGGCGGGCGTTGGGCGGTGACAGACGCTATCCTCTCCCTAGAATGCCCTTTTAAAATTGACACTAAAAGCACTTGCAGGCCTTGTCAACTAGGTTCGTAGGGTTTAAATGATTGTCTCTATAGTATGTCGTGATATCCTCACGGACTACGATCTCTCTCACTGCTATAATTCGTATGTAACAGCGAGCGACCAGGAGGAACGAGTTCCGCGTTGGGATGGCAGTCACGATTGAGAAATCTGGCCGGCCCCATCAGAGAATAAGTAACATTTCTCATTGCGAAATACACGACGCTAGTGTCAAGCCCAGCTCGTTCCAGCTCATCGTCAGATATACGGACTAAACTACTGATCAATATTCAATCGGGCTGCCTTTTTGGATTTCTCTTCTGGCACGTACTGTGGTTTGTGTTTATTGTAGAGTCTAGTTTCTATAAATTTAGTTTGGAGCATGGCCAATTTGTGCTGTAGAAGATGATTATCATATCCCTAAAGGAGCGTTAACACTTAATGGCACTTATTAACAGTATCGCGGCAAATTTCACAGTTTGATAATTGTGTAGGAGTTTGATCCCTCTTGCGGAAGCCTATTCTACATGATGGAGTAGAGTCTTATCCGGTTCCCCCCTTTTCTTACCCTACACCATCTCTTCCCCTCCCCATCTATTTTTCCTCTTTCCTGATTCCTAAAAGCTTCTGGTCCCATGTAGGCACTACCAGTTTCGTTTATGATTTAGGCTGTATAAATAAGGCATCTGCTTCAACCGCATTAATCATCGAGCCAGTACTCTCATCTCGCATACATATGCACCCCTTCATGTATTTTTTCCGCCCGTCGGTTTTGGCCTGCCAAACGCGAATTGTGATGGGAACTTCCGGTGGAATTGACCGGTAATATTTCACACTAAGCTGGGCTGTTACTGCAGGATTGCAGCAGTTTGCAAACATGTGGTCGAGCAGCAAAGCGGAAACACCCCCATGGAGCTTTCCAGGATAAAAGCAGACGCGCTGATCAGGGGTTAATCGCACGGTAGTTTCCGTTATCTGACCTAAAGGGCTAGGTACCGCGATAGCCTCTGGCTTCTGCGAAGGTAGGATGCGGCCAATTCGTCCTAGAGCGCTCATGAGCTCCGTATGCGAATTCATCTTGGACGGTTAGTATTCTCAGGACCTTTTTTTGAGAAGATGGACACTACCTTAGAGACTGCTGGGTGGCCTAAAAAGGCTGAAATAGAGCTGAATGGCCTACACAGTCTCCGAAGATTGAATTGATACATTGTACGAGTCATGACTGCCCAGATGTTGCGAATCATGATTGCTTGGAGTATCGAAGAGGAAGCTCACAACAATGTCTTCTGCCCGAAGCTGGATATGGCTATGCTGCAGAAGGGTTTTAAACCTGCTTAGTTGAGACTGATTGAGACCAGTGCGACTAATGTGAAATTCATCAAGCAGACATCGTTAATTTACGTGAGTTAACATAACGTTTCATATAATCTGGTTCTGTAAACTGGTGCTTCTTCTCCGGAATGACGATCTTGGGCTCTGTGACTGAACCTGGTTTTTTGTTTTCTTTTTTTAATATACTGTATTGCAACTGTTCTACGTACAGTATGTATGAATAACTAAAATGGTTCATATATTCCATGTTCTAGTATTCCATGTTCTAAGTTTGTGGACGGTGTACTGCTGCTTTTCCTTCCTAAACCAAATCATTTCGTCTGTAACTAAATAGTAACCTAGGTGCCCATAATATAATAGTATTGCGGAAAAGGACCGTAGAAAGGTTGCCCATCTAGCACAGATGTCCATCAAGGCGGCCCCAATGAGAGAACCATATTGATAGAAATATAGCAGCGGATGCCTGAAAAGCTTCAAAGTAGTGAGGAAAAGGACGATTGCTACGTGACAGCACAAGAATCTAAGCTCTTTATTTATATAAGCATCCCTGTAGTGTCAGGCCACGAACTACAGCATATTATGTGCATTCACTCTGTAATTTTTTTCACAAAGATATCACCAGTATTCTATTAGGTCACTATCTTAAAGTCAAATAAATTACCCCTGTGTTTCAGTGGTCCTAAAGGAATATTATTTTACGACTGGGACACCCCTGTCGAGCAGGGTGGCTCAAGTGAGATCAAAGTAAAACAACTCGGACGATATACGCTCGGAGGCTTTATTGGGAACAAACAGGACAGGCCGAAGCAATGCTGCTGTATGCCTTGGAATGCAATCTGCTCTGAAAAGAAAGTTTCAGGTACATTGTATCAATTATTACAGATTCGATTTTACGTGTTCTTACATAGCTGACTTACTCGAAGGCGAATGCTGACATTACCGAACAATAGGGAGATCTATTTTAATCCGATGACTGGAACCTACGACTCTTATAGCTTCCATAAACAATCGTGGCCGCGATAAGCAAGAGCATCACGGACATATGAAACTTCACCGTCAACCATTATCTGGAGCAAGGTACGTTGAACTGTCCTCACCATGTCTCCATTTATTAACCATGGCGACATGCGGGACCTGGCATTAGTTCCGAACGAGCCTACAACCACAAGGTAAAATAGGCACACGGTGGTAGAGCTGCCGTGGCTCGTCGTGAGGCGTCTGAACACTTCCCAGAAATGCGTTCTGCTGTGGCATCCACTCATTTCGTGAAGTAAGTCTCTACTCTACCCCAATCCGAATGGGAAAGCTACGAAAGTTATATGTAATACTAAATACACTGCAGGTTCCATCCCTTCCAGCAAAAGAGGAATCAGCTTGATGCTGATGCCAAGATCGCCCTCCGGAATGACATCTGGGAGACACTCAACAGTGGCCCCTCAGATTCTTCTGCCGGTGAAGGTGTTGACAATCTCACATCGGCGCCGACTGTCGCAGCGGTGCATGAAGATGACACAGGAGGCAAAGTTGAACCATATGATGTGGCCGGGCAAATGATCCTGCCAGTTGCCGTTAATAAGGCTGTTGAGAGGTTCGAGATGCAGGAGGCAGAGAAGCTTGTCAAAGAATATGAGATGGTGCCATACGAACAAAAGGCTGCTCCAGGCTATTTGGCCGATGATGATTTTGAGCTAGTTGATCATGGTTGGCTGTAGTTCCTTACGATCTATCTCTATTTACTGGTCTGTTCCTGTTCCTGGGAAGGCTAGGATGCGGTTAAATAGAGATTCTGCGGGTTTTGAGATATTCTGATGGTGCGTTATTGTTGCTATTAATCACATTCCCGAATAACATTTTTTTGCTTTAGACCAGCTGCTTCATAACTATTATATCATCCAAATCGTATTATAATCAAGAGAAGCTTATCAACTTATCAGCTCGTTTTAGTGCCAGAAATTGTACGTAAGACGATTTTAAGACCCCCTCTTCATCACCTGACTCTTGTCATCATTATTTGGTCCAGGCTTGGCAATGATTTGGTTACCATTGTATCTGACAAGGGCTAGAATACTCATACATGACAACCGGATTCGGGTGCGTGCAATTAGGGGTCCCAGACAAATCGCGCACCTGAGCCTAGTATGGACATAGATGCGGCTGCTGATGACATCTGTGAGCCAATGACGATGACCAAGTTCTATGCCTTTGCTTGATGAGTTTGCGTTCGCATATTCGTGACCGGGCATGGCGGAACGAGACGCGAGCTTAATTACTAATCTAGAAGACCAGTTTCGACCACATACGTACATACTCAAGCCCCAGCAACTGAATTACGACAGAAGCCCTCGACTTGCAAGGTGGACTGGGCAAGCAACGCCACGAAAACATATATGCACATACGAATGCCTTATTTAACCGTTGCCAAAGAGCTTAAAGGCATTTAGGCGGTTGCAATGCGTCTCAGGCCCCCCCCCAAAAAAAAAAAAAGCCGTGTTTCGGCCGTCCTTGGACGCAGTTATCGATCTCGTCAAAACATTCCAGGAGGCTCGGTCCATTATATGAAAAGAACGTGTCTTAAAGTCAAGATCTTGATAACTTTGATTAAATTGTTCAAGACCTATGCAAGTTCGCTCGGCCTGCAAGCTAAGATAAATATAAAAATTATAATTCTAAGTCTCCATATAATATTTGTACGAGTGCTCTTACATGGTGGTCTCAAGGTCAACAATAAAAGTGCTAGCCAAGGCTTTCTTACATAGCAATTAATATCCTATCAATTCCAGCAATAAGTGATGAACCTGAGCGTGTCTTTTTAGGAGCACGTCGTATAATCTCATGGGAAAGGGCGCAGCTATCAGCTCAGAATATTAAGTGGACAGAATGACTAAAATACTGGCAAACAAGTGGTGTTTTAGAAGTTTAAAAGATATTTTAGGTTGATTTGGCTTTATTTCTATCTCCTTTTCGTAGACCGTAACAGTTAAATACTTGCTGTATTTTTGTATGACAGCGCCAAGAAATTATTGGTGATAATCGACTGTCAATAATCGATTATCAATCGGCGGCGATTCGATTAATCGTTGCCCACCCTGAGTGAGTTAACCGTGTTAGGTCCTCCACGATCCTAGCTCGAGGCTGCTCGCCGCGGTACGGCTCTAGGAAACTACAACGTCTAGATCATATGTATCTATCTGGTTGGGCGCTGCTCAAACAAATGGATCAGCAGTCCCCAGCTCGGTAACGAGGACATCTGTGTCCCCAGCGTGGGCGCTGCCGTAGGACCACGCTCGCCGTGGTCAACCCCTTCCGACATAAGTACGAGAAACTCGTCAATGAAGTCAACCGAAAATCGCCGACAGCGGCGACGTGATCCTCACCGTCGGCAACATGAGGACGCCGAATTATTGCAACAAACCACGCCTCCATGGCAGACAGTCCTAGGTGCGAGTGCGCGCTTAAGCGCCGTGGATACCCAGTGTCTCTCCATCAGGTAGACGTTAAGATCATTGGAAGGACTCCTACGACCCCGAATTCAACGTGATCGGTATCAGCACATCTTAAAGTCCCTTAGCAAGCCTAGTGATGCAAAGCCAGAAAGACCTTTGCACACACACTGGGCTAGTATATAGATTTCAAAAAGTATATATTCAGCATTCATCTGATAACTCTGCAACTTCAACGAGGCATGCGTGGTCACTGTACACTGTGAGTTCCTTCCGCTAAAAAAAGCACAGATCGGTTACAAAAATAGGCCAAAGACGCATTAGCAAACTAGAGTAGCGGCAGATCTGGCGTTGAGAATATATATAAAGAGAGCCCTCCTTCAAGTAAAACGTTCATACTCCCACTCAATATCGTATGGGGCCAAAAAACCCATATTTGGAAAATCTCATCCAACTAACTGTTAAGGAATGCTGTTCGTCTTTACTCCCCTGCTATTTTGCTAACCGACGCTAGACTGCCTACGTGATCTGCTACCGCAAAGCCGCCAGCGTGCACTCGTTTGATTCTCCCATAGTCCTGTTTCCGAAAGCTCCACAGGCTTTGCACCAACTACACGAGAAGTTATACAACCTCGCCTATGGAGCTCGTTTGAGCCGGAATACCATTACCTTAGGGCTGCTGTTTTTACACCGACTCAGAATCTCTCTGGGCCAATCTGGCATTCGCTGGCGTTTAAACCAGGCATTGGTATTAGCAGTAGTTTTGGCACACAAAGGTACCCTCTTTCGCCATAACTCTCATTGGATACTTTATACACTGCCCACTGACCGAGTTTAGCATCCAACGACTGTACGTTTAGGAATCGTGACTGGGCCTTTTTCACGGAAGTCGAGCTGCCTTTCTTTAATCAACAGGAAAAAAAATTTCTTCGTGACATACAATGGAACGTCATAGTGTCCCCGGCCCAGTGGTCATCATGGATGGTCCTCCAGACCCGCATACAGCTCGAAATAGGTGGCCAAAGTCGCCATCTACAGATTACTTCCAAGAAAAGTGAGATAACCAGATCTCTAGCCTTACGTGAGCACCATCCCCCCACAAAGCGCTTTCTACGGGCACAGAGCGCCTATCCGCCGTCCACGTCCACGGCTAGCACTCCAAATTCCCTGGAACACATGGAGAGTGATAATACTGTTCAGAGGTACATCTCTACGCTAGCCAGCAGCGCCATCCTCGCGATACCTAAACCATGCTGCGGTTGCACAACATGATAAATTATATGATATTAGGAATAAGATAAGACTAGAGTGTAGGCTATAATGATCGGTAGGCCTTATTGGCTGTACTCTAGTCACATTGACTTTATGAAATACGGAGTATGTCTTCGGAGAACTGCCCCTCGAAAACTATAATAATATACATACATGCATGTGTATGATGATTGGACTACTATACATCCTTTTCTGCGTCTTTTCTTGGCTGTTTAGCTCTTTACTAATTGCTGCCTTTTATTGACTTCCTATCTCTGTCCATAGCATCCGTCTTAAACGGGCCAAATTATGACCTCCAATGAAGTGAAATGTATAGCTGGAAAACATCACTTCTACTTACATAAGAGGATCCGAAAGAAGAGAGAGATGCAGAAAGGAAATTTTAACAGGCCTTTAATGCGCTTTCTCGTCTAGATCCTGAAGCTGATGGAGTTTGCTGACCAACGCAGTGGTCATCTTCTGGGTCCCATTGGTTGTGTCTTGTAGTTGTTTCAGATCTCTTTCTTGAATCACTTCCTGCTTCATGTCTCGAATGTCTGTAGCGAGGGACTAGATCAAGTCTCTCCGATCCCCTAATGTCTCCTTTTGCCGCGCACGACGGAAGTCTTAGAGTTCCCGGTTCGGAAGCTCCATTATCAATTATGTAAAAGGCGAATAAACGTTTAAAATGTGGTGTAAAAGGTCACGGCCCAATCTAGGACAGGAAAGAAATGAATCAATTCCCACTAACTAGGTAGATCTTCAATGTGAATATTGAACATGAAGAGGAGAGGAAGAGAGGATAGACGTCGAGGCTAATATTACTCATTATTCAGCATCTGCTCGGTCCGACTCAGCTCTCCCAGATAGATTTCAGATAGCTAAAGACCTTAACCTTTTCAATGCAGGTCCATTATTATTCACAAGATTGGTGATACTAGCTCATACGCCTTCCCCTGATACCTACACACAGGTTTTCAACACTCACCTTGAAATAATTCATCCTTTCTATGGCGACGCCCAACATGGTTTCTCTGTGTTCGCTTATATACTCTATTTTATCTAATACAGGAAACTTCCGCCTCCAACGGTCTATTTTCGAAATAGAGGTCTATTGATGCTCTTTCGATTCAGGGAAGATGGGTGGTTTTTGGCCACAAATATATCTAGTTTATTGTGAACAGCTATTTTAGGCTTAGATCTTATGCTCTGTTTATATACTTATTTATATATATACATGCGTTTATTTGCCTTTTTTTTACTAGTACCCTAGCTTCACTGATGGATCGCACTTTTTCACGATTATTAAGCTTACTATGGCAAGTTAATATATTCTTTCTAATTGTGACTGCATTACATGCGCATACTAGCACCAGATCATACTCACACGGCTCGCATGGCAGCCACTAAGCGTGTGGTGGGTACTATGCTGACTGGGTAAGCTGTTTATACTGGATCTATTCCATACCGTCCTAACAGTAATTGCTAATATTCTAAAGACTGTTTACCAGAATTTCACCCCTACAGATCTGGATGCAGGGCTATTCACACATATTAACTACGCCTTCGCGGATATTATCCCAACGGAACAGTCTACCTCTTTGACCCTTGGGCCGCCACCCAGATGAAGTTTCCAGGTGACCGAAAATCGGAATCAGGCGACAATATCTACGGCTGTGTGAAGCAGCTATTCCTTGTTAAGAAAAAGTACCGGAATCTAAAGTTAATGCTGTCCATCGGTGGGTATTCCCTGTCGGGAAACTTTACTACTCCAGCTAGCACGAAACAGGGAAGAAAGGAGTTTGCCGCCTCCACAGTGAAACTGGTGCAGGATCTAGGGTTTGATGGCATTGATATTGATTAGGAGGTAAGGATTTCCTCCACGACGCTCGGCAGTTATTGACCTATAATCCAGTATCCGACGGAGAATATGCAGCCCGATGACATGGTGCAGCTCCTTGCGGAGACCCGGTCGGTAAGTTAAGTGATCTAGCCCAGAACATGTGTATTAATTCTAACAGTTGTAACTAGGCTCTAGACGCTTACAGTAAGAAGCATGCTCAAAACAAACACTTCGAGCTGACTGTCGCCTCCCCAGCAGGTAAGACAACACACAACAGATCTGGTCTATGGCTGACCTTATTTCTTTTTTCTCCTCTTCCATAGGTCCCTCCCGCTACGCGAAAATGAAATTGCACGAGATGGACCGTACCTTGACTTCGGAACCTCATGGCATACGACTATTCAGGCTCATGGGATCAAATTGCTCGGCATCAGGCCAATATCTACCCCTCCATTTGCGATCCCAATGCCACCCAGTACGACATTGACAGCGCCATTAAGTATTACAGGTCTCAGGGGGTTGCCCCGGAAAAACTCGTTCTCGGAATGCCCTTGTACGCCCGTCGATTCAACAACACTCTCGGACTCGGGAGGGCATTCACGCACAGTGGCCAGACCGACGCCGTCCCCTACAAGGATCTGCCTGTCAGTGGAAACAATGTCTACAATCTTCAGCAGCCGGTGGCTAGTTACCTGTACAATATCACGAGTGGCTCCTTGTTCAGTTATGACACCCCAGAAATTATCAGCATGAAAGCCCGGTACATCATGCAGGAGAGACTCGGCGGCGCATGTTCTGGGAAGCAAGTGGTGACCGAAAGGGTCCCGGCAGTTTGGTGCGCAATACAGTGAACGGTTTTGTGGTATAAGTAGCCTCGTCCAAAGTGAAAATATGCTTAACTACCCTGCCTCTAAGTATAAAAATGTCAAACAGCAGTTCCGGCAGGCGCAAGAATGCGATTTAAACTATTTAGATAATGCAACTCTAACAACTATGGATATAACAAACTCACCAAGTAGCTTATTTATATTGTTTATATCTAGCTTTGTTTAAATTGCTTATCTCCCCGCATAGTCCCCTCACCACTTTTCTTCCTCCTCCCCACGCTTGAAATTCTTGTTAAGATAGCACCAATTCCATAAAGTTGCTCGGCCGTCACAATGGAAACCGGGTAAATGTAGACATCTGGTGGGGGCTAATTATTTGTTTCTAACACTGTAGCATATTCCTGCACCTTCGCAATAGTAATAGTACGGGCCTCGTCGATCCGTAGCATGTTGGGAGTATAGCAGTAGAAAAGCTGACATAGACCCCCAGCATTCTACAAAAGACAAAGCAAGACAGCAGTTGGCAGACGGCAGATTTCTTTCAATTAACTCATGTATTGCCTGTTTTGGTAAGATATATCCCATTTGGCTAGCTACAATCTACCGGAGAGTTTTGCTGCAAAATAACATCACAAGGTGACTTATTTATTGATAAAGATTTATATAAAAGTATATATAATACTATGAATGTATCAGAGGCTATTAATTTTACAGAATATTTTATCTGCTTAGTTTATCCTAGAGTATTGCACAATATCCACAAATGTGGAAAGGTTTACGAGTAAGCTCTAGTTGAGAGTGCCTTGGAGGTTTATATTTGCCTACTTTTTTACTATCCCAATGCTATCGGGAATTTCTCTTCTTGGTATCCTGAAAAGGAAAATCTAAAGAGTTATTCGATCCACCACTCCACACCGAAGAGACGTCCCTCGGAGAAAGGAGCTAGTTCCCCGAAGAGGTGACGTGACAGGTCAAGGGATGTACCATCACAGCCATTGCATTTATCGACGACCCTTCCAGTCGCCAGGATCCTGCCGTAGCGGATGATCACGGTACGACCGCAGTTATTATCCCCCATGAAGCCCGCGGGTAGAGCCACAACATTCTCGGTAGAGCCATCATTGGTCCACTCACAGCTGCTCGGGGCGCTGGCAGAGGTGGCAGTATCGTAGTAGGTGGCCTCCCCCTTGCATGTGGAACTCTTGGAGCAGGGACCAATGTATCCGCCACCGTTGGTGGTCGACTGAGGGAAACCCGGAGAACTGGACGGGAGAGCCTTAACTGTGCTGCCGCCAGCTCGAGATGGAGAGAGACAGGCTACAGAGGTCGTAGCCGCCGCCCCCGCCGCCGCAGAAGAAGCTTGCCTAGCAGGCACACTGCAACATATTGAAACAGACGATCCAGTGAGAGCTAGGATTATAACTGCAAGGATCAAGAGCATTGTATGGAATTATCCTCTACGCATACCCTAGGGGAGAAGCGGCTGGATACATATATTTCTACTGTGAGGTATTATTAGACAATTGGAGCTATATATTTCAGGAGTCATATGACACATGCACTATGCCACAATAGAGCTGGAACATCGCAATAATGTCCATAGATTTCTGCCTCGGCGACAATAACGTAGAATCTCCATCGGGTACTACAAAAACCCGTCCCTAATCAACCACTAGGTTATGTTGTGGGAAGTGATGCGTAGGGAGCTATTCTATCAGCTACAGGCCAATCTTTAGCCTAAATAGGAAGTAGATGTCATTCGGTGGAAACACTAGGAATCATCGTATCTCAACCAACTGAGTCCCTTGCATTCCTACAGTATCTGGGTGCTCAACTCACTAAAGGATTGAGGGGTAGTTGGATTGTCAGTTACTTCCGCACCGTCAGGTCGAGCGGATTATTTATAGTGTTTCCGTAACAACAATAGACCTAATATATTGTGGCCAGAAAGCACCTATTTCCCCTAAATCGAAAGAACATCAATAGACCTCTATTTTGGAAATAGGTCCATTGGACGTGGAAGCTTCCTCGTCGCGCATCAGATAAAATAGTGTATATGTATTAGCGAACTGTTCGAGCTTCCTCCCGGGGAGGGGTGTAGATCACATTCCTAAACTTACACTATCAATGTATACGGTCAGCGTATTGATGCAGTATTATGCAGTATTGTGTACATTGGTATCAAAACAAGTACTATTGTTCTCGAACGGCAGAAACCTAGACTAATAACTTAGAATTATGGTATACATTCTCTTATTGAGCTTTGATTATCTTAGCTATTCAATGTGGAGAAGGGGAAAAGAGAGAAAAAGAAGAGTAAGAACGTACTGTAAATGCGTGACATATATCTTAAAAAGTTTCAGTTATAGTGTTACGTCTAGATCGGCCTTTTGCGTAAGTTTACGGGAGCCTATATATGCACGCAATAGGGATCCTAAACTTAGTTTAACATACATGCTGCCGTCGTCACAAACATATATTAGATACTTTCTATGAAAAAGCTAACTGCCAGACTATAGCGTGCCCATACCCACAATGCGACACATGGCCGTGCTATGAGCACTCGCCCTCAACAACAAAAAACATGTATGAACCCGGCAACTAAGAATGAGCTCTATCGTAAATCGTACGAGTTTTATACATCACACAGTTTGCGGACGCAACGAAAAGCATATGTGCTTGATCTACTCGATAAGGAACACCATAATTTGGGTGCTGCTTTTGGCAGGTTACTTGCAGTTCCTGCCCTCTGGGGTGAAAATGTGTTTTGCTTGCGCATTTTAGAAAAACTTCTTGACGGGCGCTGTGATCAGGTTCGTGGCCAGAAAAACGCTCTGCAAGCATCGCTGACTGTATGTCATATAGGAACTTATCCACTACCTGACTGTAATTTGGCGCTTCTGGGGATGGCTTGTAACTTTCCAGAAGCAAAATGACTTTCGGGAGTGCCTAGAACAAGTGGACGACGGATTTGACCGGCAATCGATGGCGAGGATCGACAAAGACACCGTTAGACAGCTCGAATTTACCATTCCTGGCTTGGATCCGAGAGTAACCAAGAAAGCTTCTTCGCAATCATTTCTCGGCTTTACTGTCGAAGAACGGGATCGTATACTTGGTAAGCTCAAAGCCTACACCGATGTAGTCCCTTCCTTAGCAACATTCTTTTATTATTCAACCACAGTTTTCTATCCGTGTGCCGAAGCCCTCGGGACATTTCTTGGTCAGCCCAAAGAAGATCTGAGAAACGCAACACGGAATGCCCTTGTTAGGAACAGAAGGCGGCGGTGCTTCATCCAAACCAATCAAAGGGGGGATGAAGTGGAAGGGGAGGAATGTACCACTCCCAGCACGAAGCAGGTTCTCGATTTGATCTACCGCCAGCTATGGCTCTGCGCAATGCGCCACTGGTACGCTTGGAAACGTGGAACTGAGGACGATAAGGAGCACGCCCATGGTGAGCTGGCATGCCTTGCTGGAGTATTGTCATCCAATACGTACCCTGCTGCTCAACATGTTGACTATCACGCCACCCAACCAACCTGCCCACCCCTCAAGAGAACACGGGGCAAAATCACAGAGAAGGTATTGGAAAAATACATACAAGGGGCGGGTCTCCTCTTCCTACGAAATGTTCATACCAGCCACGAGGCCAAAGTTCCAGTTACTGCATTTATTGTTCTCAAGCACATCTACTTAGCTTATCTTGGGAAGGTAGCCGTCCCTCCAGCCCGAAGAGTCCTGTCCAATGTGCCTAGGCCACGGAAACTTGGAACTGAAAACATTTCCGACAGTTGGACAGGGACTAGACGACGAGGATCGTTTTCTACGCATATAGCTTTGGACCACTCGCCGACGGCAACTATGGAGGCTCGAGCACAAACCTTTTGGAATGTACAGCCCGGACAATGTGCTCCGTGCCCTCAATGTAGCAGGCATATACCGGTAGCGGAAGGGGCACCACGGTCTTGCTTGCAGCCTACCATGCTGCCCGAAAGAGTGGACGACCATGAATTGCATAGTAGAATATCGGCTGGGCACGGGCCTTCAAAGCGCGTTGGATTCTCTCCAGAAACGCTCTTAAGGCAGAAACAAGATATCTATCGTCCGTCCGAGGAAGCATCCTACCCTTCATTACATCATTCGAATCTGCCTAGAATGGTGCCGGTCGGTTATCCCACAATCACAGTGGCGCCCGGGCCACCGACACAAACGTCACCATTTCTGCTAAATATCAGCATCACACGGCCAATAGATACTAGAACTAGCTCTAGAGATTCCCAACAAATTGCAACCAATCAACCAGCCCACTCTTCTGTTTCCAACCAAGGTGGCAGTTCCCCTGAGAGTAGTCGAGTACAGGGCCTCAGCAGAGAACCCGGTGGGTCGGGATTAGAAACTACTGTAAAAGAACTAATTTCCAAGCAAAGTCAAGGGTTCCATGACCTTATCCAACAACTAGAATCCCTGCAAGCAAAAAGAGATCAAAATGCGGAGCTATATTCCGGAGTTGCCGCTCGAAACCACACACTAGAGCTTGAGCTGGCTAGAACAGAGGAACGAGTAACCACTAGAGTTAACATAGTCGAGGAGAAAATGCGTTCGATAGCTCGAGCCTTGGAAAAAGCAAACACTGACGTGAGCAAGCTTCATAGAAAGGATCATGCGGCAGGTTTCCAAGAAGAACGGCTAGAGAAGACATTCTCCCTAATCCAACCTCTTGCAGCAGAGCTAGCCACAGTCCGATTGGAATCAGAGAGACGCCAAGAGGAAATATATACGGCCAAGCGACAGCATACAAAGAACCAGGAGGAGCTGAAGGCGTTACAGAAGCAGTTAAATGAAGAAAGGCTCGTCAAGGTGAAGGCGATCACGAGAATGAACGATCTGCGGGCCGATTTAGAACAAATCCAGGGCCAGATAGACGCCGAGAGGGCCACCCTCAGTGGTATGATTGCCGCGATCAAGGAGGCTTTAACCACCCAGAAACAGCAGTTCCATAAGGAAGTTGCCGAACACAATGTAAATGTGCAGAGACTACAAAGTAATCTCGATAGTGCATTGAAAAATATCGCAAGACTTGTTCAGGAACAAGAGTCCGCCACTCAAAAATTAACGCTCGCTGAAACAAGATATAAAAAAGCTGAGGCTGAGACAGAAACATTCCAAAGTCAACTTACAAATGAGATTGTTGCAAAAAGGAAGGCTGAAACCATGGTCAGAGAGCTGGAAACCAAACTCTCGGAGATGCAGGAACGTGATGGGAAGGCCAATGAGGAAATGTCGCTCCTGATTAAGGAACTAGATAACCTCCAGCACCATCTGCAGAAGTTAGAAAAGAGCACTAATCCACCTGACAACACAGAAGGAGCTAAGTCAAAAACCGTAGAGAACAGAACGCCAACGCCCCAGTGGGCTGGAAGTCCAACTGTCCGACCACCACTAGCAGCCTCCAGATCTGGACAACACCCCGCCCATCAACCTGCACACCTACAGAAGCAGAATTGTCAAGACAACACTCAAGCTCCAGTTATACATCCTCAAACGCTCCAAAAAGTGCCCCCAGAAGGTGAGGCGTGGAAAGAGCAATGGCAGTTCGTGAGAGCAATGGCACATAGTCAGCGTGAACGTTGTGGCACCATACGCCATGCGGTGGCTGGTCAGGTTACGCAACTCCAAAAGCTCATCGAATGGCATCGATGTGAAGACTCACGTGCCCGTGAGTTTCGCAGTGCCCTGACTAGTGAGGACGCAGGGTTGGAACTCTACCTCAGTAATCTCAGAGGTCTGGATGCATATGCTGCTCAGCAGTCTAAGAGCTGGTGTGAAAATGTGACGCCACTGTCGGCAGAGTATAGGGCTGCCTATAATGCAGCGGGGCAGTTCCTGGCACATGGCAGTGCATTGCTTGACGAGGTGGAGAAGCAGATTGCCGCACAGAAAAACCTCCTAGACATGGCAAAAGGTAAACTAGACATTAAAAGCCAACAACGCCTTCTCGAAATTCATGCCATGATTAATCCCCGCTGGGAGCAGCCCAATGAGAACCAGCTCAAGTCAATACTTACAGGCTTCCAGGAATTCGTAGTCCGTCAATTCCATTGGCTCGCCGGATCCCCTACCGAGAAATACGTCTTGGCACTACGGAATAGCCTCCAGCAGCAGCTTAATGAACAAACCATAAATATTAGAGACGAAATTCAAAAATGTATTACTCAATTAGAAAGCCAAAAAAACATGCATGAGGAATTTATAAAACTAAATAGAGAGTTTATCTCCATCTCATCCTTCTCTGGCCAGAGCCTCGACGGACAACTAAAATTGCTTTGCAGTGCAAAGCGGAATTTAGCTGCCTTTCATGAACGCCAAAGGTATCGGGAACAATATGCAAAAGAATGGGAAATAGGAAATAAAGAACAGGCCCTACAACCTCTAGAGACATTACAAATTGAGATTCAAGAACTACAAACTCAGTGGGCCCAGTCAGAACAAGACTTGGTAAACCTGCGACAGATGCTAAGAGAGAAAGAAGAAGAGAATGAAAAATTAACAGAAGAGGTTGTGCAATTGAAACAATCTCTGCAATTATATCATACTGAAATACTTCAAAATACGAAAATAACACAACTGCAACAACAGACGTACAATTGCCGAAATCAGATGGAAGAGATTCAACACCAGGATCCCTCAACGGGTCATCCAGAGTGCCAGAATCCCTCAGAGTACCAGGTTCCGGTTCATCCAGATCACCAGAATCCTTCGGACATTCAGGATCACACAATGGTTCATCTAGAGCACCAGAATCCCTTGGAGATTCAGGATCACACAATGGTTCTTCCAGAGCTATCAGAATCCCTTGGAGATTCAGGATCACACAATGGTTCTTCCAGAGCACCAGAATCCCTTGGAGTACCAGGTTCCGGTTCATCCAGAGCACCAGAATCCCTTGGAGTACCAGGTTCCGGTTCATCCAGATCACCAGAATCCTTCGGAGATTCAGGATCCCACAATGGTTCTCCCAGAGTATCAGAATCCCTTGGAGATTCAGGATCACACAATGGTTCTTCCAGAGCACCAGAATCCCTTGGAGTATCAGGTTCCGGTTCATCCAGATCACCAGACTCCCTTGGAGTACCAGGTTCCGGTTCATCCAGATCACCAGAATCCCTTGGAGATTCAGGATCACACAATGGTTCATCTAGAGCACCAGAATCCCTTGGAGTACCAGGTTCCGGTTCTTCCAGAGCACCAGAATCCCTTGGAGATTCAGGATCCCACAATGGTTCTCCCAGAGTATCAGAATCCCTCAGAGTACCAGGTTCCGGTTCATCCAGATCACCAGAATCCTTCGGAGATTCAGGATCCCACAATGGTTCTCCCAGAGTATCAGAATCCCTTGGAGATTCAGGATCACACAATGGTTCATCTAGAGCACCAGAATCCCTTAGAGATTCAGGATCACACAATGGTTCTTCCAGAGTATCAGAATCCCTCAGAGTACCAGGTTCCGGTTCTCCCAGAGTATCAGAATCCCTCAGAGTACCAGGTTCCGGTTCTTCCAGATCACCAGAATCCTTCGGAGATTCAGGATCCCACAATGGTTCTCCCAGAGTATCAGAATCCCTTGGAGTACCAGGTTCCGGTTCATCCAGATCACCAGAATCCCTCGGAGTACCAGGTTCCGGTTCATCCAGAGCACCAGAATCCCTCGGAGATTCAGGATCACACAATGGTTCATCTAGAGCACCAGAATCCCTTGGAGTATCAGGTTCCGGTTCTTCCAGAGCACCAGAATCCCTCGGAGATTCAGGATCCCACAATGGTTCTTCCAGAGCATCAGAACCCCTCAGAGTACCAGGTTCCGGTTCTTCCAGAGTATCAGAATCCCTCGGAGTACCAGGTTCCGGTTCATCCAGAGCACCAGAATCCCTTGGAGATTCAGGATCACACAATGGTTCTTCCAGAACACCAGAATCCCTCGGAGATTCAGGATCCCACAATGGTTCTCCCAGAGTATCAGAATCCCTTGGAGTACCAGGTTCCGGTTCATCCAGATCACCAGAATCCTTCGGAGATTCAGGATCACACAATGGTTCATCTAGAGCACCAGAATCCCTCAGAGTACCAGGTTCCGGTTCATCCAGATCACCAGAATCCTTCGGAGATTCAGGATCCCACAATGGTTCTCCCAGAGTATCAGAATCCCTTGGAGATTCAGGATCACACAATGGTTCATCTAGAGCACCAGAATCCCTTAGAGATTCAGGATCACACAATGGTTCTTCCAGAGTATCAGAATCCCTCAGAGTACCAGGTTCCGGTTCTCCCAGAGTATCAGAATCCCTCGGAGTACCAGGTTCCGGTTCATCCAGATCACCAGAATCCCTCGGAGATTCAGGATCACACAATGGTTCATCTAGAGCACCAGAATCCCTTGGAGTATCAGGTTCCGGTTCATCCAGATCACCAGAATCCTTCGGAGATTCAGGATCCCACAATGGTTCTCTAGAGCACCAGAATCCCTCAGAGTACCAGGTTCCGGTTCTTCCAGATCACCAGAATCCTTCGGAGATTCAGGATCACACAATGGTTCTTCCAGAGCACCAGGTTCCCTCGGAGATTCAGGATCCCACAATGGTTCTCCCAGAGTATCAGAATCCCTCAGAGTACCAGGTTCCGGTTCTTCCAGAACACCAGAATCCCTCGGAGATTCAGGATCCCACAATGGTTCTCCCAGAGTATCAGAATCCCTTGGAGTACCAGGTTCCGGTTCATCCAGATCACCAGAATCCTTCGGAGATTCAGGATCACACAATGGTTCATCTAGAGCACCAGAATCCCTCAGAGTACCAGGTTCCGGTTCATCCAGATCACCAGAATCCTTCGGAGATTCAGGATCACACAATGGTTCTTCCAGAGCACCAGGTTCCCTCGGAGATTCAGGATCACACAATGGTTCATCTAGAGCACCAGAATCCCTTAGAGATTCAGGATCACACAATGGTTCTTCCAGAGTATCAGAATCCCTCAGAGTACCAGGTTCCGGTTCTCCCAGAGTATCAGAATCCCTCGGAGTACCAGGTTCCGGTTCATCCAGATCACCAGAATCCCTCGGAGATTCAGGATCACACAATGGTTCATCTAGAGCACCAGAATCCCTTGGAGTATCAGGTTCCGGTTCTTCCAGAGCACCAGAATCCCTCGGAGATTCAGGATCCCACAATGGTTCTCCCAGAGTATCAGAATCCCTTGGAGTACCAGGTTCCGGTTCATCTAGAGCACCAGAATCCCTTGGAGATTCAGGATCACACAATGGTTCTTCCAGAGCTATCAGAATCCCTTGGAGATTCAGGATCACACAATGGTTCTTCCAGAGCACCAGAATCCCTTGGAGTACCAGGTTCCGGTTCATCCAGATCACCAGAATCCTTCGGAGATTCAGGATCCCACAATGGTTCTCCCAGAGTATCAGAATCCCTCGGAGATTCAGGATCACACAATGGTTCTTCCAGAGCACCAGGTTCCCTCGGAGATTCAGGATCCCACAATGGTTCTCCCAGAGTATCAGAATCCCTCAGAGTACCAGGTTCCGGTTCTTCCAGAGTATCAGAATCCCTCGGAGTACCAGGTTCCGGTTCATCCAGAGCACCAGAATCCCTTGGAGATTCAGGATCACACAATGGTTCTTCCAGAACACCAGAATCCCTCGGAGATTCAGGATCCCACAATGGTTCTCCCAGAGTATACAGAATCCCTCAGAGTACCAGGTTCCGGTTCTTCCAGATCACCAGAATCCTTCGGAGATTCAGGATCCCACAATGGTTCTCCCAGAGTATCAGAATCCCTTGGAGTACCAGGTTCCGGTTCATCCAGATCACCAGAATCCTTCGGAGATTCAGGATCACACAATGGTTCATCTAGAGCACCAGAATCCCTCAGAGTACCAGGTTCCGGTTCATCCAGATCACCAGAATCCTTCGGAGATTCAGGATCACACAATGGTTCTTCCAGAGCACCAGAATCCCTCAGAGTACCAGGTTCCGGTTCTTCCAGATCACCAGAATCCTTCGGAGATTCAGGATCCCACAATGGTTCTCCCAGAGTATCAGAATCCCTCAGAGTACCAGGTTCCGGTTCATCCAGATACCAGAATCCTTCGGAGATTCAGGATCACACAATGGTTCTTCCAGAGCACCTGAATCCCTCAGAGTATCAGGTTCTGGTTCATCCAGAGTACCGGAATCCCTCAGTGGTTCATCATACGCAGTGTCGGGACCCATCAGAGATTCCTGCAGAGCAAATGAACCTACCCCGTTCTCAACCGGAGTCTGCTCTCGATTATACAGTATTTCCCCCCTGCCTGAGTGGAAGCGGATCAAGTGTCTATAAGAAGCAGACTGCTGAGCTGATAAGTGCGGAAGGTGGTAGTGTGAAAGGCCGGGAGTTGGCTGTTGCTGAGAATAAGAGGGTACAATCCAATATTGTCGTTCCACCTATGGAACATCAAAGCAACAGTGGTATAGATTCTGGTGTACTACGTAGTATCAACAAAACAATGGAGGCTATTCCCACAGACCACAGTCTAGCTTTACGAATGGAAGCTAATAGTGTATTCACCGATTATGGAAGCGGCAAATACAGAGAAACTGCAGGCCAACCTACAATATCCAGCAATGCAGCCAACGCCAATTCATCAGCACTGCAACTTGATTTTGACTTTGCTTGCACGCTACCACGGCAAGAGAGGAAGCTCAGCGGAAATTCTCTGTCGGGGGTAACAGTAGTGCGGTATGATCTGCGACCCAGATTGAAATATACGACGCCCGATAATCCAACCAACTGTAATTCCTCGGCACTAGAAAATATCTTTACTCCTACTGACAAGCAGGGTGTTAAAAAACCCAACGCGAAAAAGAGGCCTAAGAGGGCCCGGCCTCGGCCTACATTGCCGTATAAAGCGCCGAGACAAATTTCCTACGCAAGAAACCGAAAACGTGCACCTACTAATTCAGCCAACACCAAATTATCTTCACCATGGGAAAAGCCTTTGACAGGCGACAATCAACCAAACCGCAAGCCACCAGAAAATGCGGATAAATTTATAGCAAACAAATTCGATGAAGTTGTTCTGCACTCGTGTCGGTGGTTAAGAAGTGGGAAGAAGAGGGCTAAGTCTCCACAGAACGATATAAGAAAGAAGAGGACTAAGTTCGAATCCTAGTCTTTTGCTCCTGGCGCAGTGGTTTTCTCAGTCGAAATGTTCCCCATTGGGTGTATTGTGACATAAGAAAGAACTGCAATGATATAAGAAAGAAGAGGACTAAGCTTCCACTGAACGGTATGAGAAAGAACAGAAATGCTGTTCCCAGGACCCAACCAGAGAATTACACATGCATCAGTCACTGAAGAATCAAAGTGTCTTCCCTAGGGAGTCGACAGGTTGTTGGAAGATATCGTTTGTCGGTTTATGGTCATGGATCCTCTACGGCCTAGCTTAGAGAAGATGGTGAAGTCAAGATTCTCGGAAAATTGGATTTACCATTATGTCGACCAAAGTGGGCCATTACATTATTCAGCATCCGCTTGGTCCGACTTTGTTCCCTTGTTTTCACCTTTTATATTCAGTTCTCCCAGATAGATTCAGATAGTTAGAGACCTTACTGTATACTTTTCAATGCAGATCCATTATTATTCATATGATTGGCGATACTTGCTCATATGTACGTAGTTCCGCGTTGTTAGCCCGAGAGCATGATATGATACTAGGAGAGTCATGGTTTAATGGTCCAGATGACTCGCAGATCGAATTCGAAAATAGCCCACCGCCTTCGGGATGGGGGTCCACTACACTGGTAGAACAATTCACACTCTGATAGAACTGTTGTGAAATTCAGGGGAGATGCGCAGGGAGCTATTCTATCAGCTACAGGCCAACTAGGCCTAATTAGGAAGTAGATGTCATTCAGTGGAAACACCAGGAATCGCAGTATCTTAACCAACTGAGCCTACTAAGCGGTTCCCTATATTCTCATTGAGGTGTTTAGTATCTAAATGATTCAGGGGTTTTGAACGGCTTCGTATACCCGCACCGCCAAGTCGGTACGGTACGGATCATAGTATTTCCGTAACACGTATTATAATAGGTAGATAGGGTGGAAAATAGCCCGACATCCAGTGGTTAAAGATGATAAGTCGAGTGTGGTGGCAACACTGCAAAAAGAATTTGATTCCGATCAGCGTAGTCAATAAATGTAAGATTAATGGCCGTCTAAACTAAAAGCCGGTCGCCTCGTCCAGCCTTTTGCTTGGTATACCGGTTAAATACTCGTTGAAGCCAGTGTAAACCCAGTGCATCGCAACTCTAGCCGTTTTCAGTACTGGCAAAGAAAGCTATTTCGCTCGAATGGTTAAAATCCTTAAGCTAGGACTCCTACAGGTTATTTGATTCCCCTTTGTAGATAAGGGCTAGTGGAAGGTGGGAGTAGTCAGCACAGATTGCAGTAGTTAACATAATTAGAGTAATAAACTCCCGGTTCTCATCTTGACTTGCTCCGAGAAGTTTCCCACGTCTAAGGGCATCTCGGGGGACTACTCGCTTGGTAAAGTGAGAGAGGCCGATTTGGAATCCATTCTCGTCAAAATTATAAACATTTGAGAGGTGGATGTTGTATTTTCCGATTTTCTCGTGGAGCTAGTTAAATCCTGTCAGCAAATAATAACCCAACAGCGTATATTCGCGTATTGTAGTTTAAAGCCACGGAAAAAAAAAAAAAAAAAAAAACGCAGTAAAAAGCAATCTTACTAAATTGAAGTGAAAATACCTGGAATTATCAGCGACCTTCCGCTGATAGTCTATGGTCCGCAAATACAAGCTGTGAAGACGGCCGTAGTGTCGCTTCCGGATGCAGCTCATCTAGTTGACACACAGCGTGGTCCCTGCAATTTCCTCGGCGATGTTTTTCAACATTTGAGGGCTATGTGGGATACCACGGTTGGATAATTTATTAACATGCTCAATAAGAACTTCTGAGTTAGAGTTCGCGTCCTGTATTGAGGCTTGGAAGCGGCGCCATGACTTGGACTTGTGGATATTATATTTTCTCGCAGTTTCTGCATATTTAGGGTGTTCCTGCTATTGCAATTCTAAAATCGCTTTTGCAATATGAGCGTTGTGGTCCATTTCATGCTTGGTTGAAAAAGACACGTCGTGATCTACGTTATTATGAAAGCACGGATTCCTTGTGCTTTTTGTGCTTTTTCTCGAATACATGGGACGGCCATGCGAAAGAAAACTTCCACTGGATACTCAGAAGTGAAGTGCTGTGATCCAACTCTAGATCAGGGAATTGACATTAAATAGAGAGAACTAAGCCACTGACTTTTATGAGCGTACGGAGTATATCGTTGGTATACAGGGCACATATAAGTGAGGACTTCGCGGATCTTTTGGATAATCCCTTGGGCCGATCCTATATTCATAACTGGGGGAATTGATTTTATGATTATGATCATGGTTTTTAAGTTTCTAACTATGTTCAAGGACGTGATACCAGTTGCGATGTCACTGAATAATGGCCGGATCAACCCATTAAAAATTCGGTACTTTGGCACGCCTGCCGATAGAAATAGTCGGTATCAAGACAAGCCTAGGAAAGTATCGTTAATCCAGAGATACTGTGTCTTCATTTAAGGACTTTAAAATCTCCCTGGATAACCCCAACAAGTGATAGCCAGATAAAATGTAAGCCCAGATGACTGATTTTGGTTTAGTTTATTTCCCACTGTTTAAGATTGAACCTGCATACTATCGGTGGGTGCAAATCTAGATATCATTTAGACTAAAATTGCTGAATATATTGATTCGCGTATGTTCAATTCCAATGTAGAGATAACATGTGTATTGCTGGTCGAAAGGTGAGTTGGGCAGGTATATGGAGGCCATGAGTTTCCTAAAATAGCATGGGCATAATTTATCTCTATACTCCCGGAATAGATAGTCTGGCTTTCTTCTTTTATAGCATAAAAAGGTACCATCTCCTCCGTGACCATGTATTCTTGTTAATTTCTGAATTAAAATGCACGGTCGTCAGTTCACTCCCATTAAAAAAAACATCGAGGCTTATCCCTTACGAACAAGCGGCAAGGGCGGGAAGGGGCTTGGTCGGGGAGGTGACAAGCGCCACCACAAGATCTTGCGTGACAATATCCAGAGTATCAATAAGCCCACCATCCGTCGCCTCGCCCGTCGTGGGGGTGTCAAACGTATATCCGCTGCGGTGTACGAAGAAACACGGAGCGTTCTTAAGGTTTTTCTCGAGAGTGTAATCCGTGATGCTGTTACCTACACCGAGTACGCTCATAGAAAAACTGTTACTCCCCTCGACATCGTGCATGCTCTCAAACTTCAAGGGCGTAAGTTTTTAATACATACAGTATCTTTTTACCCATCCTTATATATTCTTTGCAGGTACAATTTATGGCTTCGAAAAACCCCCCACTCAGTGCTCGCAGAGGCAGCCGAAAAAAAACCGACGCCGCCCACTTCCGCAGCTCTCAGATAATCTCAAGTTACCTCTGATAATATTAGATTCTGAAACGGATGATAACGAGGAACTGGCCTCCAGGAGTACTACAAGTAGTAAAACAGTGTGGTATAATTCCCTCTCAAACTGTTTCTTTCGAGATATGAACATTGACAGTATAGCAGGCAGCTGTCGTATCCCCCGAGCGGAAAAAACATGCTCACGATATACGAGAGAGATCTTTCCCAGCTTGATCCTCACAGTTGGCTAGGCGATAATCTTATTGGGTTTTATATCCGTTTCCTGGAAGATCATCTTGAACGACGTGACTTAAGCTTAGCAAAACAAATACATTTCTTCGACCCTCTGTTCTTTAGCATCCTGACGGAGGGCACGGCGGAGGGGATCAACTACGCACGCATTGAAAAATGGACCAAAAACAAAGACATATTCCAGCTTTCACATATTATAGTGCCCATCCATGAAGGCGGCCATTGGTACGCTGCGATCATCAATCGGCCATCCTCGCTGTTGGATAAGCAAGGCCAATGCACCATCATTATGCTTGATTCCTTGAATATAGACCACGGTGTGACTATTATGAAGCTCCAGAAATACCTCGCTAAAGAGTTGTGGTCCAAGCAAAGGCAGACGGTTGATCTAAATCTTTTCAATACAGTAGAAGCGAAAAACATTCCTCAGCAGGAAGACAATAATAGCTGCGGCCTCTTTCTTCTGGCTTACTTAGAGAAGATTACTCAAGACCCCGGGCATATGATCGGTCAACTCGTAGAACCCGCATCGGACAATATTGACTGGGCCGGGCTCGTACCGAACAGCCTTCGTAGTCGCATGCACGCTTTTCTGATGGAATTGCACGAGGAAAACAAGCAACTCAGTCATGAAGAGACAAAAAATCAAAAACGCATGGTGGATAGGACCCCGATATCCTATCTCCTCGGGACACCTGCGCAACTCTGAGCTACATATGGGAATTTAAGGTACCCTTATAACACTATTAACTGGTGTTTTGGAATCTTCCCAAGTTGAACTATGGCAGTAGCCGATCGCTCTTGTCGTTCTGGATACTATCGGCTTCCCATAGAATATGTTACTGGCAAGCCACGCTGCGGCTGTTGAGTGTAGCCGATGTTAAATAACTCTAGTGCAGTGACCAACAAATTACTTAATTAAAAGCAAATGCTCCTTACCACGAGTGTGGGGCTTCTGGCACTTCTGAAGCAGAGGAATAAGCAAACTACATTTAGCTTACTTGAGGTACGACGGATAAAACAGATACTAAAAGGCGAACTGTCCTATTATTATATATAATATTTCTACATTGCGAACGAAGATCTGTGATATAAAGATGAACTGCAGAGAGATACTTCCAGATCCGTGGCCATAGGCAGGCATGAGTGGCATAATTGTTATGCGGTTTGCTGTAAGTATGGCTTGTATTTACTGCAGGAGAACAGACAAGGGTACAACAGTTGGTTGTCGAGGTACCAATTAGCTGCTGATTCGACGTTTGGAAAGGGACAGATAGCTATACCCCACTGTTGAAAGATACTTATTGATATTGAGAGATCATACAGTAGTAGATTCCGTCAGTTGTAGTTTCTGGTGTATTCTATCTGTCACGTTGAGGGGACTTGGCTTGATTAACAATTTGACAGAGATACCACCACTATCTGCCTTGTGCAGTAATTCTCAGTATATAATTTCGCTGGGGCAAGCGAATACATCGGGTCTTTAGTGTCAGCCACAGACCAAAGGAATACATTAACATTGCATTGATTATATATAAAAAGTTCTCCCGTTGGGATGCAATTGGAGGGATGTGCAGGGGCATTTAATAGACTGGCAGCATGGATATCAAGTAGAAGGGGAATATATACAGCACTCTATTCAGCAGTATTATTTAAATGGATGCTGGTGTTGGTATGTCTAGTTAGATTCATACCAAAGAACAAAAATGGATAAAAAATTCGAGACACTATTTGGGCTATGTGTAATATCTCTTACAGGAAATCCAGGGAACCAACTTAAAGGTAGACATGGCCTAATTTCTGCATGCGGTGCTATTTTTATACCAATGCCAAGGTGTGGAGCATATACTATCAATTACAGAGGTGCTTCCATAGGTTGTGTAATGTAGATTTAAGCTGGAATCAACTAAATAGTCGACCGCCATACCCGCATGGTGATTAAAGAGGTAGGTACTGTAACAGGTCAAATGAGTTGCCATAGAGATGGTCTAAAAGGTAGCCTGCCTGTGCAGTCAACTAAAAAGTATGAAAAGCCACTACCCCCGCTACCAGGAGCCCAGGTTCCACTCGTTCCAGCCCCTTTAAATGTATCCAAACCGCCGTCGGCAGTCGTTTGTCGCCCATTTACCTATGCGTCTATAACCGCCAGGACACCCACGGACCCTGGCGGAGATGCGTGGCGGTCCTGGTGCTAATGTGGGCGCCGACACAGGGACACTCCCGAGAGGGCCACTTTCGAAGGAGCGCATTGGAGGATGTCTTGGCATATATACCTATGCTAGGCGGAGGCGAATTACTCCAAAAAGCTGCAGAGCACGTTCTGGCTCATGTGCCCGATCTGGAGGCTCTCGGGAGTCAGAGCTCAGTGCTTGAGGCTGTCTTCGGCCGGAGCGGGCTACCCTTTTCCCGGAGTGCTCTGCTGCGTGTATCACCAGCCTTTTGGGAGCTTCGCGAAACGGGATTCCAGCAGGAGCAGCACGACAGGGTGCGCAACACATCCTATCTCAGCAGCCTTAAAGACGAAATGTCCATCGTAGAACAGCTCCGGAATCATCTCCTCATGCCGACCCGGCCTTGACGGGGGCCGATGTGGATACGCTGTTGCTCGAATTTGGACCTTTTCTCTCATTTTCGCTGTGGGAATGTCCAGCAAGAAGTACAGCTCTGGCTGGCGGGTAAATCCAAGGCGCTTCCAAACACTCGTCCAGAAGCCTCCTAGACCAACACTTCGGCTGGGCAATGCAGGCGGTTTGCACCTGCATGAGCTGGAACTGCTGCTCCGGGTTATAGTGATCTAGAGCAAGAGATCTGGAAACTTCTGGGCACATATTCATTGGACAGTACCTTTTCTGGGATAGATGGTAGGTTATCGTATATTGCTCCCTTCCGGCCATCGATTCCTCCAACTAATCTATCAGCTACAGACAATGGGTTACATCCATCCTCTCCTCCGGAATACCGACTATACAAGATCTATTGACATCAAGCAACCCGTGGAATAAGGCTCCTCGGCGGCACCATACCATTCAGGAACCACTGTGGCCTGGTGTTCTGCGGGGTCCTGCCGGCATCGTATAAAGCTGCTCCTGCAGCGTGGCTTACCAAAGCAACAAGCCTACTGCCAAGCCGCCAAAGTGTTTTAATATTCCTATGTTCCCTTACAAGCAAATGGAAATGTGTTATTGTTATATTACTATTATGTTTCCGCTCATCTACTATAGCAAAGACATGCCAGTGGAATGAGCACTGACAAAGTCACAAATTAAAACTAAATCTTTAGTATTATTTGTTTTTCTCAAGACTGAGTGCTAGGAGGGCGCTTAGTAAGAAACCTAGCAACAATTCAGTTGGCAGGAGAGTTGTTGTAGTACCCCCGTAGTTTAGATTTGGGGTCGTGGTAGGTACGGTGGGTGCCCGAGATACGCTAGTCCTTTCAATAGAGGTGTTTCCGGAGGATGGAATCGTTAATCGTGATGTTGTGTGCGATAGAGTCTGATTGTCTTGTAGAGTTGTGGTGGCTCCGTGAAACGGGGTTCCGGCTGTTGAAGATATTGGGCTTTTTGACTTATTAATATTAATGTCAGCCATTGAGAGTGATGTACTGTAACGCTAACCACTGGCTCTGTGGTGGTTGCTCCTACTGCTGTCGATGGAGTGGCGAGGGAGAGACTGTCCGGGAGTGTGTCGCAGTAGAGTAAGAACTGCTGGAATTCTGGGAGGTGTGACGGCGTGTTGGGTATTATTAGCCACTGCTTGGCAGACCTTACAGTTGCAAAAGTCGCTGGAACGGTGATCCCGTTGCACAGCTGGGTGTTTTCCCCTCTGACTCAGCTTCTAACATGGCATCATTACACTCGTCAAAACACTGACCCGGCACCGTACTGGCCTTTCCCGGGTGATCTGGTGGCCGAAAGGAAAGCGGAAAATCCCATACGTTAAGCCGAATGCAAAGGGATTAAGATTAAAATATCCGGCGAGACGTCAAATGTCCGATCTATCTGATGTCACTGGGGGCCCCAATATTGCGTATAGAAGCGGCGGCCGGGGATGCATTCTTCGGGGCGGCATACATATATATCGGCGGGAGGCCCCGCTTCGAAGTTGCAGTCCCCATCGAGCGCTGACTTCTGTGGATGGCAGAGATAACCTGGAGGGCACCCCCAGGTGTAGTCTGTAGGCAGAGGCGTTGGTGGGGTATAGGTAGGATTCGTAATACGGGTAGGGCAAATTGATAATTCTGCGATGGTTTCTCTATACATGGCTCATTAGCCCTGTCTAACATAGTTATTCTCAAATCCAGAGGGATCAATACCGGTGGTGGCTGTGGCCGGCAAGCCCAACGAGGGCAACACAGTCGATGTAACTTCTAGTGTAGTCTCCCAAACAAGGCCTGCATCTGTGTTACCCGATGTCGTATCTGGTGCAGTAGGGGTATTTTTAGGCAAGGGCTCATCTGTAAAACGGCCGTCCCCTGTCCTGATATTGTTCTCATTATTGGAACAGTGACTGTTATTGTCGAGTGGGATAGTAGTAGTGATGGTAACTGTCTCCTGTCTTGATATTGTTTTGGTTACTGGGATAGAGATTGTCGTACCGTCAGCTGGAATAGTTGTGGTGATAGAGTCAGTTACTGTGTTGGTAGCCGTTTTCGAAAATGTCCCTGTAACAGGCGCTGTAAGCGTTGTGGCCTTTGTAAGAGAGACAGTACTCAAGTAGGTCGCAGTCTCCGTGGTTGTCGTGTTAACTGTTCTAGTCTCCCACTCTGTCGATGTGATAGTAGTACCAACCACTGAGGTGGAGAGCCGTGTGGAAGTTTCCGTCGAATTCCTCCAGACAGTGGACGTAGCCGGAGCTACTGGAGTCGTAGAAGTTGTGATGGTTGGGTTCTCAGAACTAGTAGATTTGGCAGTCGTAGTGCTTGGGAGTGTGGAAGGTGACACGGTAGCTGTGCTTAGCCAGGTCGTGCTTTCAGTGCAACCGCAGTCAGTTGTGTCTGTAGATGTGGAGGAGATGGTAATGGTCGTAATTAATCGTTTTTGTACAAGGGTCAAATCTGGATGGAATGAGAGACTTGTGGTATTCAAGCTGCTTCCAACCTTGGTGGCAGGAGAAGATTTACTCATCAACGATGGATTTTTGTTGAGGGCAGCTTGTGTTAGACCTCCGAACATTAGAGGCAGAAGACGAGCTAACAGGTAAAAGTATGCAAAGTAGCGCGTTCTTATCATTGTGGGTGGAAAATAATATATAATATGAGACTATACTGCTAGTACCATAGGACTGAAACATATCACTAGAAAAATAAGCTGCCACGTATCTTGATATTTATGTCTAAACGAAATATCATGACGACAGAGCAAACTGGCGGGTCGGTCATAGGTTTGTTTCTACTGTATCTAACCTAACCAACCCATTTAACTAACTTAGTAGTGCGTGACATAACACCCTGAACATAAATAATACATATGCGTCAGATTGGCGGGCAGACCTATACTGTCAGGTGAAAATAACAATATTCAGGACCAGTCGTTTATTAACTTTGGATCCCCAAAATTAAAGACATCCTTATGTCAGAACTACCTAGTTACTCCTATCTTTTCCTATTTACCATCTGTTATCTGTGGGGTCGGTAACGAGCTGAATGGTGCGCTACGGTGCGAAAGGAAATGTCTATATGGGAGAGAAGATAGGACCACGTATATTGCAGAACTAATCGCTCCAGGCCCGCCGGTACGAATACTCACGCTCGAGCGGATCACCTCTCCTGATCACTAATATCCCTACTGATTTCAACTACCGAGATTACCATCAAAAAGCTTATTTAAAATTATATAAAAATAAGAATAAAATCAAGCATCTTTATTAGGACATTTTACCCGCGTATGGCCTACTATGTTACATGTGGAGCACCGTGATGATGCGCGCTTTCTTGGCTGCTCTGTATTCTCCACCACTGCTTCAGCTGCTTTATCTGCCTCCTGACCACGCCTCTGACCCTCTTCTCCAGCAAGACCTCCACCTGAAGCTATATAAGTTCTCTTGTTAGTACGTATTTGCTTTATAATAGTGTTAGCAGCCTCCATTTGACCTTTTCATAGCCATGAAGCATTGCTTCCTCCATTGCTCTTTCGCACGCTTTGTAGACTTGATTCAATGCAGAAATAAGACGACTTGAGGGCTTTTTTTACGCTCTCGCCACATTCTTCCAATAAGAGCTGCCTGCTTATTTAATTCCTTGGTTGTTTGAGGTGTTTGAGCAGTCCAAATAGATGATCCGTCACTGCTTCTGCTTGGTGGTTATGATGATGTTGCAGTATTAGATAGAAGTTGCAGCTTGTCTAGCACTCTATCAGGTTTATGTGGAACTAAACCCGAAGCTGCAAGGCCTGCATTAACCTTTGGTAGTATCTGAATGTAGACCTGCGGAAATGGCTGTTTGTCAATATGATTAATACGGTACCTAATCGAATAAAGCTCTGTATCTGACCACCGTATGCACGCTTCGAGGGCCCAAAGAAGCAGGTGGGATGAATGAGCTGGAAGATAACGAGGTATAATCTTACTTTCAGTGCAATAATACTAATCAAATTCTGCACTTACGTGGCTTTTTATGACCATCTAGTATAAGCAATCCGTATACATCCTTAACAGATGCTTTAGTATGCTTATCAAATATCTCTTTAAGCCAAAGAAGACCTAGAATATTGTTGGTCCAGCCATTATCACTAAGCCAGTCTCATCGAAGTTATATCTTCATCCAAAATTCCATATTTTGCAATCATGTTGTTTACTAACTGAAACCAGTCATTTAACTAATATCTTTGGACCCTCAGTAAGTGCGCGTTGATAGTCATATTGACGCGTATATTTTGATCGAAGCTCTGGGTGGCGCTTAATATACCGAGAAACACAGCTGGCATTTTGCATAGAATACTGGCCATCTCCCGTACAGTTTGAATCCTAGGTGAAAGGCCACGCTGATCTGCATCAAGAATCCACTTTTTTAAGACATCTTCTTGTGTTTTGGTGAGTTTTGGCGATTTGGAGTGGAATAAACGCGTGCAAGGTGACCAGTTAACGTGAGGCAACGGAAGAATAAGGTAAATTATAAGACTTTGTAGCAGCTCGGATTGATTTTATTTGATTGCATTTTAAAGCCTCGATAGCAAGCTCTGTGATGACCTATACACCTTGGTAAAATGGATGGATTCTATCTAAGGTGGCGATCTAATGAAACATCAAACGTAGAGAATGAAGGACGAACGAATACTATTGTACAGGAAATGTGGGAAATCTCTACATTGTGGGATCAACAGTAAATAAAGCAGACTTGGTGCCTCAGGCAGGGTTCGACCTAGTCCCTGACAAGCTTGATTCTATTCTCTTTTTCAAGTGTACAGTAGTTTGCAAAACTAGTGCCGGTGCCCTGTACTCTTCATTTTCTTTTCCAATCCCACTGCGAATAATACGCTAAACCTCTTTCGGAATTATTCCGAGACCATTGTTTTATTACTATGTACTATATGGTATGAGTTGTCAGGGAACCAAAGACACTGTATATTACCTGTCCGAGCTATACAAGCGGTATCTTAATTCCACATTGACAAACCATCAACCTCACCAAGATGATCCTCCCGGAAGATCATGTGGATCATCAACATGGCGCCCCCTCTCGCACCTTCAACTCGGGAGTTTATCTACGGAATGATCATGAGTAAGGAGCTCACGGCCTCTCAAATGGCTGAGGCAGCCGGCTGCCACAAGCGAACAATTGAAAGGCATCGCTCCAATGTGCAAGTATTTGACAGTGTAACAGCACCTCCAAATAAAGGTGGACGGCCACGAAGCCTTACCCCGCTCATGGTTCAAGTACTTTGTGATCATCTGCTTGAAAGGCCTCATTTATATCTTGATGAGATGGCAATTTTTCTATGGGACGAGTTTGAGGTGCTTGTTACAACATGCAGCATTAGTCGTGCGCTGAAATATGCAGGTTGGTCGAAGAAGGCTGCCAAGCAAAAAGCAAGAGATTGAAACGCCGATTTGCGTGATGCTTATTTTCATTTTATTTCGGATTTTTCCTCCTATCATTTGGTTTATGTGGACGAATCTGGGTGTGACAAACGGATAGGCTTCCGGAAAACTGGCTGGTCTCCCCGAGGCACCACACCCTCCAAAGTTACCAAATTTCATCGCGACCAGCGGTATCAAATTCTCCCTGCATATGCTCAGGATGGGATTGTTCTGTCTCGTGTTTTTCAAGGTTCAACGGACGCTTCTGTTTTTGAAGACTTTATTGGAGAGCTACTTCAGCATTGCGGAAAATGGCCAGAGCCAAAATCTGTAATTGTTATGGATAATGCCTCCTTTCACCACTCCGAGAAGATTGAACAAATGTGCACACAGGCAGGAGTTAAATTGGTGTATTTACCCCCATACTCACCAGATTTGAATCCGATTGAGGAGCTATTTGCTGAGCTAAAAGCTTTTATTCGGAAGCATTGGCAATACTACGAAAACAATCCCGAGCAAGGATTCGATTCTTTCCTTGAATGGTGTGTTGATACTGTGGGTAGAAGAGAACATAGCGCAGAGGGACATTTTCGGAACTCTGGTGTGACGATTGAAAAGATGTGGTGAGAATAAAGTACTATACTGCACATTTTTTATTTAGTTACTGTCAGCCAGGATAAACTACAGTATCATGCCTTAATTGGTGTCATGGCATCTTTTTAGTGCAGTGGCACCGTCGACAGTTACTCTATAAGATACATACAGTCAGAGTCGAAATCGGATTCCCCCCCCGAACACTCACGAATTGTTTCTCGAACCCTATCTTGAAACACGGTATTCCAAGTTCGGTTACGCTCTTTACTGGAGACCAAGATGGAAAGGAGGTGAATGGTTGGAAAATATCTCAATAGCTCGAGCCAGAGCGGGAGGTGGCTGTAGGCCTAAATATTTCGACTTGTATCCGTACCAGATATAGATGCGGTCTTTGTGTCGTCCCTACCTTTTCATAAACATTGCTATATCCAGTATCACGCAACTCAGGTAGCGTAAACCGAGGAGCAAGTCCTTGTACTGTAAAGGTCGGAATTCCCAAACCTTTTCTTCCTTTCCGCAATTCAGACAATAGTAGCTCTGCTTTTGTGCTACTCTGCCTGCCGTCCTTCACCACAGCTCCTTTTACAATCGTCAATAGGCGATAGTTTGAAAGCTATACCCAACGTGTGAAGAGACTTGTTCGCAAATGCTCTGCATGCGTTGCACGGTGGTGAGTTTACAGTGCTATAGTATATTGTTCCACTGCTACATTGTGAAGTCCAGGCATTTCGCGAAGGTCGAGAGTAGGAGTCATCGGAGGAATGGATGCAGAGCCATTTGTGCTAGTTAAGACCTGCGATGAATCATTTGGAAGAAAGGTGATAATTAGTGGAGGGCACACACCGACCCAGGAGGAGAGTTGGCATAGCCTTCTGCTTTCTAATTACCTCGTTGTCCTTGGCGTAAAGTTGCTCACCAAGACTGTCTGGAATGTCATCATGGGTTTCGAGTATCCCGTCTTTCTTAACATATCTGACGAGACTCCTCAATTGATGTGTTAGGACTCTATAGTGTTATTTTCCCCACCTGGTCATGCCAGCATTACTAATCTTCGTGGCGGGCATGGTGGTCCAGGGCATCGTATTGTCCTGTATACCTCCCCCAAACCGATGGCTGCCCAGAGATGTCTTTTGCGTCGATTTGCGCGTCTCTGTCGGCGAGTATCCGCTTGGATACCAATATTCTCCTTCTTTTGGTATACCTTGATGGAGAAACTGTCTTCGATGTAGTTCACAGATATAACTAATAAAAAGAAATTATGTAAACGAGGGTCAATGAGGGTCATTACATGTAACACTCCCTCAACCCTCCGAGGGTCGAAGGGTTGGGGGAAGGCCCCTGAGGTTTAACCCCGCATCGAGTGTGTAATACTGTCAATAAATTACAGCAAAGGGTAGATAGGACTCGTACCCAGAGCAGACGGGGTTCACGTTGTCAATTAGACATTCGTTGGGCAATGATCTACAAGATCCATACGCACTTTCTGCGGAGCAGAATGATAAGCGTTCTGCTTCCGACCAATGAGATACTCTACCGCGAAGATCACTAAGTGCGCTAACAATGCTATTGCTGGAAATATAATTTCCAGTTGTTAATGCGAGCGTTCAGAGCCTTCAAGGATAGTAGATTCCACTACACCACATTGGGTAGCTTACCGAGGGCCGAGCCGCTGTGGGTCTAATACTTATCCCTAAAGTAGATGGTTGCTTCCCACCCCCCAAAATGCGAAGTTTTATATGACGGATTACTTATTATTTCGCTAACCAACAATCTCTCACGTATCTCCAATTTGCTTCTCGTCTTCTTCAATTTATTCTCATAGAAAGTCGTTTTTGGTTAGATTTTCGCTATGTCCTGGTCAGAAGGCTTGAATTTTAAACGTTCGAATTTTGCACGCGAGCGACCAAACGAAGCAAAAAATCCTCGTTATGTGGACGATGAAACGATATTCTTCAACATGACCGAGGCAACTTACGTTTAAGTTTCCTAAGCAACTGGGATGAAGTTGTTAAACACATGAACAATAGTCATATATATGCGATTCCGATGTACTTCCCGTCAAATTTAGGCATCCAGTTCGACCAAGAAACAGAAACTCGACTCGCCCATGATATACAATCTTGGCCATTTATGAGTTGTTTCGGATCGCCGCTTGCTGAACTGGCAATTAGTCTCTCGCGCTTCTGCTCAATCCAGTCAGAAATTAGTTACGACCGCAGGGTTTTGCTTCATCGTTACTTAGCTTGGATCTTCCTGATGGATGAAGTTACCGAGAGATTTCCGATCTACAAGCTGCACAAAACTGCAGGGAAGACATACCGGGATAACCTTAAGTCTATTACGAGAGGGGAGCCAATCGAGGATATGTCGCAATTCAATGGTTTATGCCCAGACGAACTACTTCAGTCAGCCATCAATGCCCAGCAAATTTTTGCCAAGGATCTGATGCCACTTAAGAGGAGGCTTCTTTCACCGCATCACTTGCAAGTGTGTATCGACACCTTCAACCGCTACTTTGACGCTCAGTATGAAGAGGGCCACAATTTCTGTACAGAACAGACGCAACAGGATGTTCTCAAAACGAGAGGCGTCACGGTTGGTTTCTTGATAACTTTGGTTCTTTGTATGCCATCTTCTCAGGCTGAACTATACAGCCCTGAGGATCCCTGTCTGATACAGCTGTCGCTATTTGTTGCCTTTTTTAATGACTTGATTGGTCTGTACAAAGACATTGAGTCTATCGAGCAACAAAACGATGGTTCTGCTTATCTTAACTTGGTCCGAATAAGTACCAGGGAGCACCGACTCAGTGAAGAAGACGCCATACGCCGTTACTCGCATATACTCAATTACTTCACTTATCACTTTGAGTTCTGTATCGGAGCTTACCCCCCTCTGCGTCAGAATTTCTATCATGAATGCTTGAAAGTATGCTTCAACCTTCATGACTATCACTTGAAAGGAATCCTTGACAAGCCTAACAATCGTTATGGTTGGAAACAAGTAGACCATATGACGAATACGGTCAGCCCCGAACAAATTTCCAAATTTTTGTGTTCCTTCCCTACATGTGTACGCAATTCTTACTCTCTTGGTTGTGTTCTTTTCTTTGTATTCCTTCTTTTGTCCTCCTGTTATTGCATTCTCCACGAACTGCTTTAACAGTTGAACATTGGCAGTGAACTTGGTCAACCAGCTGCGCCAGAAACAGATAGCTTATTTAAATATATAGTTGGGTATTTCTCTACATGTGTATACTTATCACGGTTCCGACAACTGACTGGTCCCCATATTCTAGAGCCTAGTGTTATGACTGAATCCCAACACCTCTCTGACCATCAGATGCTAGCTGAGATGTAATGGCTGCAAGAAGACTTTAATCACTTTAGTAAAGTGTAGATCTGGGGTAGGTCGTATTCAAAAAGAGGCTTTGGATTCTGCGGTATGATGATAAAATGGCTGTGTAGTGTGTGGTTATTTGCTGACAATTTTTTGCCCCCCTCATCGTAGTTCTATAACTACCATAATAGTATAGGATGTATTATGGTGTTTCAAGATAGGGTTCGAGAAACAATTCGAGAGTGTTCGGAGGGAAATCTGATTTCGACTCCGAGTGTATCTATATAAGTGTTATGCGTGGGGGTCGGTAACGAGCTGAATAGGGCGCTACGGTGCGAAAGGGAGTGTCTATATAGGAGAGAAGATAGAACCACGTATATTGCAGAACTAATCGCTGGCCTTCAAGAGTTCAGGCCCGCAGGTGCGAATAACGTATTTCACAACCGAGCGAGCCCCACAACCGAGCGAGCCACGTCTCCGGATTTCTACGCGTCATATTATTTGAAGCAATTCAATCACCAACCATGCCTCCAAAAGCGCGTACAAATTCAAAAGATTCAGCTGAGAAAGAGAAGAGGATCTTATTAGCAGTATCCGCTTTAAAAAAAAAAAGAAATCAGCAATATTCGTGAAGCTGCGCGTGTTTATAATGTCCCCCGCACAACTCTTCAACACCGAATAAACGGACGTCTACACCGGGCAAATATACGCGCGAATAGTCATAAAATGACTCAAAATGAAGAGGAATCACTTGTACGATGGATCTTATCATTAGATCAACGTGGAGCTTCTCCCCGGCCATCTTATATACAAGAAATGGCTAATATTTTGCTTTCCAACCGTGGTACTACACCTATTCAGACAGTTGGTGTAAATTGGGTATATAACTTTATCAAACGGCGTGATGAGCTTAAATCAAGATATTCTCGACGGTATAATTACCAGCGTGCCAAATGTGAGGATCCTAAGCTTCTTAGGGAGTGGTTTGATCGCGTACAAATCACTATAATGCAACATGGAATTGCGCAAGAAGATATCTACAATTTTGATGAAACTGGCTTTGCAATGGGCCTGGTAGCTACTGCTAAAGTAGTTACCAGGGCTGATATGCATGGAAAGCCATTTCTTATACAGCCAGGCAATCGAGAATGGGTTACATCTATTGAATGTATTAATGCAAGTGGTTGGGCCTTACCACCATGTATTATTTTTAAAGGAAAGGTCCATATTGAGAGTTGGTATCAACAACCTCTACCAGCAGATTGGCGATTTGAAGTTAGTGAGAATGGATGGACGACTGATGAAATTGGACTACGCTGGCTTCAAAAGCTTTTTATTCCTGCTACAACTAGCCGTACAACTGGACGATATCGCCTGCTGATACTTGATGGTCATGGAAGTCATTTAACTCCTCAATTTGACCAGATATGCAGTGAGAATAATATTATTCCTATTTGCATGCCTGCACATTCATCACATCTCTTGCAACCTCTTGATGTTGGCTGTTTCGCACCATTAAAGCGCGTATACGGGCGCCTGGTGGAAAACCAAGCTCGGCTCGGTTTTAATCATATTGACAAAAATGACTTTTTGGAAGCCTTTCAGCAAGCGCGTACAGAGGTATACAAGCCGGATACTATTAAAAATAGCTTTGCAGCAACTGGCCTGGTTCCATTTAATCCTGAGCGTGTATTTAAGCAGCTTAATATACAGCTCAAGAACTCCTACACCTCCAGGCAGCCGATCAACCAATTCAGCATCCAAAACTCCTTACAACACTGCGCGATTTGACAAGCAGATAGCTGCAATTAAAGAGATGTTGGAAGATCCAGACCAAATCTCTTTATCTACCACTCAAGTACGGCTGGACAAGATTGCCAAAGGATTTGCAATGTCTATAAATGAGACAGCCTTAGCGCTTAAAGAGAATAAGGATTTACGGCGGAAATGGGAAAAAGCGTCAAAAAAAGACTCTATCCAAGCGACAGACAGCTGCTCCAGAGGGACTTTCTATGCAGGAAGGCCAGGAACAATTTCAAAGTAGGAATCAGGTTCAAGAAGCTCAAGATCCTATACCAGTAGAGGCAGAGCTATCTACTATTAGCGACGCATACGGGCGCCACGAAGTGTTCTGGCTGTGGTATTCTGGGTATAAAATTAATGATGTCCTAATCGGTGTAGTAATTAATTTTTATATAAAAATGCAGATTTTTTAATGTTTTGAATAGCTTCCATTTCACCGATCCGGAGACGTGGCTCGCTCGGTTGTGGGGCTCGCTCGGTTGTGAAATACGTTATAAACACTTCGCACCTGACTAAGCATCTTAGCTAAGGATCTAGCTATCGCGCTTCCGAGCGCTCCTAACAATAAGCTTATTACTGTTTTTACCCAGCTGTGCTGCGACTCTGACGGAATCGTCATGATTGGCTGAATCGGAGTATGAGTTAATCCGGGACACCTCTGAAGTTGCCAAGACTCTTGGAAATCAGGTGACTCGCGACAAAAACTTCCTAAATTCAAATTCGTCATAATACATGATCGACTCCACATCTTTTCTCTGTAGTATTAACCATTATGAATGGCGCTCCAACATCGGCGTCATCAACTCTCCCTAACGGGCTTTATTCCGAAACCCAAGCCCCCATCCTTGACTCCAGAGGAGTATGGAAGTGTGCAAGCCCTGTTTAAGACTCTTATCGAGTACGCTTCCAACCGAAAAGCCAAGGGGCGCTACAAGCCAGCAGCACTTATAAGTCAAACATTTCAACATGTTAAGTCCACTGACGAGTTTCTTATCCATTTCTTCGTTTACACTTATGCTCGTATACATCCTGAAGTAGAGGACGAAGCTGGCCCTGAATTCCACCAAGCATACACCTACTTTGGAGATTTTTCGCTGTGGAATTCAACACGCAAGGACGAAGCTGCGGCTGCCATGGACAAGTTCGCGCAATATATGATTGATAACTTTTTTATGCCGCGTTAGTTGATTTTCCTGCCTTATATTCTCTCATTCTTAAGGCTAACTAACCTTTGTATGCAGTTAGAGCCTCCTCTGTGAAAACGCCACAGCCCACTCCTGCATCGCTGTCTTCAAAACAGTCCACACCGACAGGTACACGAAATCGAGTATCAAGGTTACGACAAGCATGCCTTCTCCGCGACCACCACCGCTGTGTAGTATCGCGAATGTTTGATCGAGCAGAATTGAAAAGGCGACTCGATAATGATGAAGATAGCACAGATGATGATGGAAAACCATTAAAGGATCTCAGCGGTAATGATTCTGAATACCTAGAAGTGGCTCACATAATCCCTCACTCTCTCACATCCCTCTCGCCTGAGGAGTCAGAATTAGTATGTCACCTCGAGAAACGGCAGTAGTTTTGTTTCTCTAATATATATTCCAGAGTGAATCAAAAAAGGCGGCACATCACTTTCTTACAATGTTTGACCCAAGCATTGTTCATCTTATTGAAGGCCAGGAAATTGATAGCCCAAAAAACGCCTTGACACTAACGCACAAATACCATCGGCTTTTTGGCGAATTTGAGATTTATTTTGAGCCCACTGATACTAAGTACGAGTACAAAATAGAATCGACCGAAGAGAGGGCCTCCTTACGTGACTCACTATTCCCAGTTTTTCGTCAGCTTCACCTAAGCCCTGAACACACTATTGATCCACCATCCTCTCAACTTCTGGCTGTCCACTATGCTATTGCCCGCATTTTAAAACTAAGTGGTGCCGGTGAGTACATAGAGAATATTCTTCGAGAAATGGAGGACACTAGCGTGAAGGATGATGGGTCAACAAACTTGGGGCGCCTCCTAAGCTGGGGTCTTAGGGGCTGGTTTAAGTTCGCCAGCACTGGAATTCTTGCAAATTGATTATATACTTTCGAAAATACTAAACATGGTGGTTTTAAGAGACTGTAACCTATACATACCTGCAATCTAGGGAAAGGATACTTTAGTTAATCTGAATGCCTGCAACTAGGTAATTATAGTTGGATTATTGACCTCTCTGACATAAACTGCAAATATTTATGGCACTGCAATACATCTGTCTGTGAAGGCGGTTCTCTAGTAAATGTATAGTGTATAACACCCGCTAATCCAAGACTTCCTCATTTTCCTCAGTAGTTCTTTTTCGTTTACGATTGTTGAGCCATTTATTGGTATCACTGACAAATCTGTAGGCGACACCAATTTTCACACCCTCTTTGACAAAGAAGTCGGGTCCGATGTTAGGATTCAGGAGCTGACTAAGGTCAAGGCAATTATCTGTCAGATAAGTTGGTGGTAATAGTGACGTAAACAAGGTCATAAAAGAGGGGTAAAAACGAACTCCCCTACACCTAGCAGAAGAAGCAACCTAATAATCAATAATAATCACAAGAATGATCATATGTTGATCAATATAATCAAGAAACCATCTAAAACAATCATTTTAAGCACCTTTCAAGAATAGTGTCTACTTTCCTATTCGGTATTAGCCGAATATCGGATATTATCCAGCACAATATCACGCGCTTTCCGAATATTTTCCCTGAAGTTCTCAGTGCTCACTTGTGATAGATGCCAATTGGTATATTCTTCCACCGCTACTTCAGTCGGCCCGGGAATATCCATGGAATCAACTTGAACAGTAGGAGTTGTTTCAGTACAGCTGTGGGAAGTTATTGGTGGATGAGATGACTGGGTCGGGCCAAAATTGATATTAATTGGAGGATATATAGATCCACTTGTGGAAGGATCTGGGCCTTTTTGTCGTTTCTCGGTTCGCTGCCGCTCTTCTGCGTATAACTGGTCCCGAACCGTATCGGGAATATCATCATGGGTCTCTAGGATACCCCCTTGCTGTACATACTTTACCAGGGCTTTCATATGATGTGTTCTCATTTTATAATGTTTTTTTCCAACTGGATCCACCCAACAGTACTGCCCTTCGTGATGACACGGTGGTCCAGGGCAGCGCATTTTCCTATATACTTCGCGCCACACTGAAGGTTGTCCTGTGGAGTTCTCGGCAGTCACCTGATCATCAAGGTCACAAAGCATTCCATTGGTTGTTGATGTGTTTCCTCTTTTGTCGGTCTTTGATGGAGACGGGTTGCTGTCCTCTAAATAGTTAATAGATATAAAGAGTCTGAGCTTCTTGCCCTGACGAAATAGATTCTCCCACTGCAGAAGTTGCTTCTCTATAGCGGTCCAATCAATATCTGTGTTTTCAAAGCGCTTAGTAAGATCACGTTGTGAACGTTCGTTTACAGCAACAACAACAGTGGTATCATCTGGCCGCACTCGTTGGTTACGTGATTTTTTCCGTTGCAAAATACGTTCAGCCTTCTCTTTTATCTGCTGCCAGTACGAACTAGGCTTAAAGACCAGGTCCTGTTCGGTGTCCTTCGCCAAGGGTCGATTATTGAGTGTCACCTTCCACTCGATAAGATAATTTGTAGACTTAGGAGCATCCTCATTATATGCCCCTCTGTTTAGTTCAGCATCATCAAGGAAGCCAAGACGGCCAGACTCGAGTCGATGCAAGGGAGTAGATGGTTCGCCATCTGTACGGGAGGGGGAGGGGCAATATATAGATGGTGTATATTCGCGGCCGAAGTTACCAGGAGTGGGGGCATATGAGGGAGTTTGCTCCCATCTGCTGACTTGAGTGGCAAAATCGTAATTAATGGGGATAGAGTTTATTTCCTCGAGGCAATAGATGCCGCCGAGAAGCCTAATGTTGAGAACATTTAGTGTTAGCTTTCACACAGTCGAATATGCTGAACTTGAAGGAAAACTTGACTCTGACAAGCCGAGAAGAATAATAAGCAGGGCCATTAGCGTTACACCACTACTCATTGCCTGCATAAGCCCTATATGCCAGGGGTAAGATAGGAACAGGAAAGTGGTTGTTGACAGTTTGCCATTGCAGTCAGGCACTCATCAGTTTGACTTGTTTGCATGGAAGCTTCTAAAGTTCTAAGTTCTAGTTCTAGGGTTCCAGTTCCCGCCACGTAGATCAAGCGTATGAAACAATACACAGTACACACTCCCCATATGACATCATGTTATTTACAGTTTCATACTGTACAGTGAAACATTACGGGATTATAGTTCATCCGAAACCTTTCCCAATGAAGTTTAGTTCAAAGTATACTAGGGTTTGGGAAAGAATTAAAGCAGAACACCGGCACTAGTTTTGCAAATTATTGTAATATCGGAGGTTATCGGTGAGGCCCCGAATAGTGATTGAAGGGGATTGATCCGGGAACTTGAAGTGATCGTGGGATATTCAAAATTGTGGTGGTGATTGTGTGCCGAACGGAAGCTAAACACGGCCCGATGGCGGTTCCGCCCGCGGGGGATCCCAACAACACCCCAAAAACACCGGAAAATTCAGCAAGAGAGAAAGTCGGCCATCACTCCCACCGGTCCCAAGAGGCCAGAGGCGAGGCACCCAAGCGCAATCGGCACCGATACCCATCCTTGATTTTGTCTCACTAAGCGACAGCAATGGAAAGGTCACGAACCAGGAAGTCCGGAAGCTGATCGACAGCCTGAAAGAAATCATCAACCACCAGACCAGAGTTATTGAATCAGCCCGCACCGAAATCCAAGAGGTCAGAACCGAACAGCGAGAGCTAAAGGACCAGAACATAGAGCTACAAGAGGAGATCCAGGCCCTTCGGGAGCAAATCGAGGCGCAACCGGCGAGCAGACACCCCCCCAAAACATGGGCAGAAGTAACATCCGGCACCCCCCGGGGTCCCAGCGTTACCACTCCTCAGCCCCGGAAGGAGCCTAACTGCGTCCGGATCAGCACACAACGCACGCTGGACACTGAAGACAGCGATGAAAACCGGTTCACACGATACCTACCAACAGAGAGCGCCAACACACATATTAGGATGGCCCTACTAAGCTCGGAAACCACAAAAGACGTGCAGGTAGCCGGGGTTGGAACTACCAAAACAGGATACATTATTAGATTTAAAGATGCCCAGTCAGCGGACACGGCTCGAAACAACACAGAATGGCTAGGGGAGCTAGGCAACGACACGAAGCTAGTAAAACCACGGTTTGGTATTGTGGTCCACCGCACCCCCACTGCAGACTTCGACGTGGAAGGGAACAAGACACAAGGAATAGAGAAAGTTATGGAAGAAAACGACCTAGCTGCCCGGGGTTATCAGGTGGAAGATATAGCGTGGCTTAGAAGGACAGATAAACCTCAAGGTAACTGGGGTACAATGGGCATCTGGCTCAACACAGCTGAAGCCGCAGAATGGGTTATCAACAACGGCCTTCTGGTAGGCCAGCGATACATTGGAAGTATTGAACCATACCAAATCAAAAGTAAACGATGCTTCCGGTGCCAAAGATACGGCCACCTGGCGTGGTCGTGCAAGGAGCCGGCAAGATGCGGTCACTGCGCGGGCACCCACGAACAGCGGCACTGCCCCCCAGGGGTCAGGGCCAAATGCCTAGACTGCAATGGAGACCATCCGACTGGGGACCGCAGATGCCAGACCCCTCTAAACAGAGACCTGCAATGCTAAAGCGGAACCTACGCATACTACAGCTGAACATTATGAAATCTAGACCGAGCATGGAGGCATTGGTTAATGACACAAATACCCAGAACTTGGATGCCCTTCTTATACAGGAACCACCAATCTCAGCATTCCGAACATACGTAAACCACGGCGCCTGGCGTGTCTATCAGCCAACATACACAGACACAGACGCAAGGAAAAGGAGCCTACTCTATATTAACAGGAGAATCTCAACAGCATCACACCGCCAAATTAAATGCAATCACCCAGACATCACAGCAGTCAAAATATGGACAACAGAGACGCAGATGCTTTTATTCTCTGTTTATATCCCACCGGCAGACATCTACCAATCCCAGACAAATATTTCCATACAGCCCATACTCGATGAAATACAATCCACGATTCAAACGCACAGCCAGGAAGGGAACCAACAGTCCACAGTTGTTCTAGCAGGGGACTTTAACCGCCACCACCCAGCTTGGGAGACAAACCCAGTCCACGAGACATTTATGGAACAGGCGCAGGAACTAATTAACTTTTTCCAGCTGCGCGGAATGCGATGGTGCCTCCCACGAGGCACGCCAACATATTGGTCTCTAAGCTACCCCGGAAAGACATCTACAATCGACCTTACAGTAACAGACTCCCCTACAAGGGTGCTTAAATGCTACTTGTACTATGACAACTACGGATCCGATCACCGAGGAACCTACTCTGAGTGGTCTATCCAACCCGAGAGAAAACCCAACCTGAAGCCCAGGAGAATGTACGACCGAGCTGATTGGCCAAAGATTGGTCAGACGGTGCAGACAGCCCTCGAGCCGTGGCCGATAGTCAACTCTAAAGCTGAGCTCGACCACATAGTAGCGAGACTAATTTTGTTAACCTCCGAAGCAATTAAACAACATACTCCACTAGCAAGACCTTGCCCCTACTCCAAACGATGGTTCACCCCAGAGCTAAAGACTAACCAAGCGGAGACCAACCGAGCCCGGCGGAAGTGGCAAGAAAGCTGTGCTAGCCGAGGCAGCCATGACCCGTACTCGTTAGCACTATTCGAAGAAATGCGGTGTAAACGCAGAGCGTGGACCAGACTAATTGAAAAGACAAAATCTACGCACTGGAGGGATTTCCTGGACAAGGCGGGTGAAGGCCACCTCTGGAAAGCAGCGTCATATATGCGACCCCGAGACTCCTATGCAAATATGCCTCCTCTAACAGTAGGAGATAGAGAGGTCACAGACAATAAGGACAAAGCTAAGGTCCTGATGGAGTCGTTTTTCCCGAAGATGGCTGAACCAAGTGAGGACATGGTCACGACAGAAAGAGAGGAGATTCCGTGGGAACCGCTCACAGAGCATGAGGTCTATAAAGCAGTTATAAAGGCGAGAGGGACAACCGCCCCTGGAGAGGACGGCATCCCAACACTAGTGTGGAAACGCTTATGGACGCACATTGGAAAGCTTATTACCTATATCTTTACCAAGTCATTAGAACTGAACCACTACCCCAAGCAGTTCAAGCGAGCTAAGATAGTAGTCCTGCGGAAGCCGGGCAAACCGGACTACGCAGTACCAGGGGCATATCGGCCCATCTCGCTGCTGAACACACTCGGGAAGCTTCTTGAGGCGGTAGTGGCTAAGCGTCTGTCATTCTTCGCCGAGAGCTACGGGCTGCTCCCAAACACACAGTTTGGAGGACGACCGGGTCGGAACACGGAACAAGCGCTCCTAGTCCTAATGAACGCAATCGATAGGGCATGGATGAATTCTAAAGTGGTCACATTAGTGGCCTTTGACCTAAAGGGAGCATTCAATGGAGTCAACAAGACCAGCCTCGATACCCGCCTAAGGGCGTTAGGAATTCCAACAATAGCTCGGCGCTGGATTCAAAGCTTTATGGAGGACCGGGCAGCGAGTATCGGCTTTGACGACTTTGAGACTCGAGTTGCACCCCTAGAGAACGCAGGACTAGCCCAAGGGTCCCCACTGTCGCCAATCCTCTTTACATTCTTCAACTCGGACCTAGTAGACCAGACGGTGGACCACCATGGAGGCGCCTCAGCCTTTATCGATGACTACTTCCGCTGGCGCGCTGGCCGATCCTCGGAAGAGAACCTAAAGAAGATCCAGGAGGAGGACATCCCACGAATTGAAACGTGGGCCCAAAGAACCGGGGCCTGTTTTGCTGCAGATAAAACCGAGCTAATCCACATTACAAGAAAGAAAGGGGAGCAGGGCAAAGGACAAATCACTATGCAAGGCAAAGTAATACAACCTTCCAGCACGGCCAAGCTCCTCGGAGTGGTGTTCGACCAAGAATTAAGGTGGAAGGAGCATGTCCAACACGCAGTAAAGAGAGCCACAAAGGTAAACATCGCAATGTGCGGCCCGAGACACCTCCGGCCAGGACAGATGAGGCAATTATACCGGGCATGCGTGGCCCCTGTCATGGACTACGCGTCAACAGTCTGGCATGACCCGCTGAAAGACAAAACACACCTTAGAGCTCTTTGCACGGTACAGAGGGCTGCACTAATCCGAATTATGTCCGCATTTAAAACAGTGGCAACGCAAACTTTAGAGGTGGAGACATACACATTGCCAACCCACTTAAGACTCCAACAGCGGGCACAAATTACTGTCGCCGGCCTGCACACCCTTCCTAGTGACCACCCAATACGTGAAGTGCTAGAGAGAGCCCGAAAACGGAGTCGTAATGCGGTGGCAAGATTCCGATTCCCTCTGGCGCAGACAATAAAAACCATGAATCTCGAGCGACTTGACGCCGTAGAGACTATCGACCCAAAACCGCTGGCACCATGGATCCCACCGGCATTCGCAGAGATCGATATTGAGCCGGATCGACAAAAGGCTAAAGAGAAGGCCGCTGCTCTGCGGGCAACTACAAACACAATCGTCTACTCAGATGCATCTGGACAGAACAACCAACTCGGTGCTGCGGCGGTAGCCCTAGACCAGAAATTGGAGGCTGCAGAGTACCGCCAGGTCTGCATTGGGCCCATGGAATTTTGGTCCGTCTACGCCGCGGAGCTTATGGGGATCTTCTACGCTATTAGCCTGGTACTTAAGATATCCTACAGAACATGGGGATCTTTAGCAGCAAATTGGAAGCCCGCTACTATTCTCTGCGATAGCATGTCAGCATTGCAGGCTATTAGGAACCCATCTAATAAGTCAGGGCAACGGATCATCTATGCCATTCTACAGGCTGCAAGAGAATTGAAAACGCGAGGGCTTTCCCTCCGCCTCCAGTGGATCCCAGGGCACTGCGACGACCCTGGGAATGACGCAGCAGACCGCCTCGCCAAAGAAGCCGTAGGCCCCAAAGGCACGCACCCGTTCCGACACCTGGTCTCTCGAGAAAGAGGATTCATACGGGATCGGATTCTAAAAAAGTGGGCACATGAATGGAACTCCTCTGGGAAAGGTAGCCACCTACGTCAGATCGATAACTCATTACCTTCCATTCATGCTCAACGTCTATATGACTCGTTACCTCGCAACCGAGCCTACTTACTAACACAACTACGATCCGGTCATTCATGGCTTGCCCCCCATGGCAAACTCTATTGTCTGCGTGAGGACGATAAATGCGAATGCGGGGCAAGAGAGACAGTTGTCCACGTCCTCGTGGATTGCCCTAAACTAAGGATCCTACGACAAAAGTTACGGAAAGAAGTCGGTGGAGGATTTAACAACATCTCAGTTCTTTTAGGAGCAAAGAGTCAGCAAGGCAAAGAAACGCCGAGCGGCTCTGCCAAAAACAGCACTATAAGCGCGGTGCTGGACTTTGCGGAAGCATCTGGTAGGTTTCGCAGCCGCGAGCCCAAGGGGCCGCCATGACGAGAAACCAAGGCGCACAGGCCACGACAGGCCTTGACGAGGCTCTAAATTCGTTCGCATGAAGTGGTACATTGTAAATAGACACTCAAGGATAGCTATAGTTGTGGTAGCCTGTATATCGCCGGAGGCGAGAGGTCAGGGTAAATGAAACCATCCATCCATCCATCTATTGTAATATCGGCTGCTTTGGTGGCCATTTTGGTGTTGTAAATGATCAAGAATTAATGAAGTGGTTTTGGTGATCCGCTCGAGTGTGTGATCCGCTCGAGCGTGAGTATGGCAAGCCATTACATCCTCTCCGCAACAAAAATAATATCTCATTTTCAGCCGGCAGAACTATCCCATGTGACTACTAGTCCTAAGCACCACGTAAAGGTGCAAGTCATGCTTAGGTGTTGTACACAGGGCCCGTACAACTAGGCGTGCAGGTGCAGGTATTGGTGCTTGTGCATGCATATATACGGCGCTAGATGCGACTGATCTTTGATTAGTCGTCTTGTACCTTTTTATATAGTTAAGTGGTTTTATCTCTACTAGCGCAGAGACAACCAAACTATTACAAGTCTAATCATTTGGCCAACTTCATACGCACTGATATAGGTCGGTAGCTGCTGACCCTTCCAGGGCAAGACATTGTATTTATTCGCGGCAGGATAACTCCTTGTTATCTTGTGCAACATCGTCGGTTAACTATATATTAATACCTTGCTTATTTAATCCCGTGGGCGGACGCTGCCAGCGTCTTGTAAAAAAAATGCCTGGCACTCCACAAGGTATGCGTCTGTTTACCAAATATCACCATATATTAGGAGTATTCGGTAGTGCATGCGCCAACTGCAAATAGCCGGATCTAGCTGCCTGCTGTACTGTACGAGATAAGCTCTGGCGGTCAGTAGCATATCCACTGGATAGACTACAAGAGCGGGCTGTTGGCCTGGGTACTGAAGGAGAGCATTAGCAGGCTATCGGTTCTTCTTAGCAGTATCTAATTAATTTAGACATTGAAGAAGGTGAACAGGAGAATCCGATTGCTCTATCAGACAACAAGGAGAAGAGAGGGAGGGGGATAAGAATCATCCTATTCTTCTTTAGATAGGTATAATGATTTATATACATGCACAAGCATCAGTACCAGCACCTGCACGCCTAGTTGTACGGGCCCTGTGTACAACACCTAAGCATGGCTTGCACCTTTACGTGGTGCTTAGGACTAGAAGTCACATGGGATAGTTCTGCCGGCTGAAAATGAGATATTATTTTTGTTGCGGAGTGGACGTAAAGGCTTGCCGTACTTATAAGCTAACTTTTGACCAGTTCTTTATTCGGTGCCTGCTGTTACTGTATGACCTATGAAATAAAGATGGAAATAAAACTAAGTTAACTCTATTCGGTGCCTGCAATGAGAATATTAAAGCATGGAGAAAAAAGAAGAGGATCGAGGTAAGCAATGGGGATAACGGCAAATACAATGATCTAATATCCACGAAGGGAGAACGCAGCTAAAAGCTGAGAGGGCTGACGCTCCCTTCCAGTCTTCCATCTCCTTTCCTTCTACCCCCCTTCCTCACTGGCAGGAGAAATAACTATTTCACCCGCTTCAGGTCTAGTGCTCGCGTAGTAACTTGTCGGGGTAGGAGTAATTGAAAATCCGCTGTCAGTGGAGCCGGACACGAGACAACGCTCGTTATCAGCAGGTAGCTCCGGGAGAGAAGGTAAGCTCGGCTGCGGTGGTTCTATGGATCGCTGGTTTTGCAGTGTCGGCGGTGACGGTTTCTCGGGATCCCTTTCCACTGGCGTGCTATCGGCTTCCGCCGGGCAGGAAGGGCGAGGTTGACTTTCGCCCTTTATACCTTTCGTGGATTTTATCCTCCGCCGCACGCACATGATGGCCAGAAGGCCATTGGCGGCAGCAACTGGTATCAAAACGGCTAGGAGAACGGGCACAAGCCATCTGGAATGACTGGACTGCTTGGCATCGGCCGTATTGTTCGACGAATGGGGAGTTCCCTTCACATTTCTGTATGGGTACCACGTAGTAATTGTTTTAGTGTAGGTGCTGTTGAAAAGGCTGGCAAGGCGTTGGTCGCTCCACTCATCCGGCGCGGTGCGACTGGCTCCCCCTCGGCTGCTGTGTATCGGTCAGCCACTGTCGGTCGGCGTGTCTGGAGACTGGGAATATTCACCTCCCCCCCAGCCGATCCACGACCTTTTTGGGCACCCGGTAATCCGACCACGTATCCGGAGAGTACGAGTTCTGGAACTGCAGCGTGTTGAGATTGAAGACCTGCACCACTCCGCCGTCCAGGCAAACGGTCGGGTCCTTGAATCGGCCCCCCAGAACCAGCATCTGGTCTGGGAATACCTTGATGCATTGGTGGCCGCTACGGCCATGGCGCGGTGAGCCCGTGTATGCGCGGAACCAGGTGAAGGACGGCAGCGACAGAATGTAGACATCATCGTACGGGGTCTGTTCTGCGTCTGTACCGTCGTACCCACCATAGAGGTAGATGTTGTGGGAGCTTCCATCCGGTGCGGATGCCAACTCGGTGCAGAACAGCGATCGTGCCCGTGGTGGAGGATCTCCCGTCGTGTTCTGGAGGTACCTGTTCGGCAAGTTTGTTTGTTGACAGTTAGCATTCAGGGTTGGCTGAGATGGTTTAGTCTTTGCGGTGGCCCACCTACCATTGTTTGTTGGCAATGTCATAGATTGGAATCGTAACCAGAAAACTTGAGCCTGTCTCGTTCTATCCACCATCCTGATCAGCTGTTGCTGCGCCCGATCGGAAACTCCTCGGCGTCTACGTACATTTTCTTGGGCCTGTGTCTCCGAGAGTCCTCCGGGGTAGAGGTTTTCCGGATGAGGAACACCCCCGATCACCGCCAAGGCTCCCTGCGCAGAGATCGGGAGCCACACCATCTGAGCATTGGCTCTTGTTGGGATCTCATTGGGAAGGGTCATGTTCGTCCAAGCCTCGTGGCTCATCGTGCTTAGGCTGACGGAAATCAAGGTCGACGCACTAGTGTTGGCTGAGGCGTCGTGGGACGTGATCGGCCCCCAGTTGGGCCCTCGCATCCCGCCGAAGTAGAACCCCAGGCTCTCGCTGGCGACCGACACTCCGGCCCCGTGGGTGATATACCGTGTCATATGGGAAGGCAATTTTGGGCGGGTGAAGCTGGGGTGCCAAGTTGATCGATATGGGCCCCATTGGTACCGCTCGTATCCTAGGAGATCTTGGGCCCCAGGAACATTCCCGCTGTTGGTCAGGCGTGCGACACCGCTGCAATTCGTCATCTTAGTCTCATTCTTCCGTCAAGATAGGAGTGAGGGAAAGAGAATACAGACCCAAAAAGCAGAAACTCATTGTCTGTCGAGAACATTGTGCCATCTTGGAAGTTGACCGGCACGTCATCCGGCTCGGGATTGCGAGAAAACAGGCTGGTTAGGTTTGTTGTTGTGACATCGAAAGGGTCCGTAAGAGGAAGGGTGAAGAGTGTTCCCCTCGAATTTCCTAGTTCATGTCAAGCCGATGTGGATAAAACAGTGTCAGGCATGTGCCTTGCGTGTGCCTGTTTAGCTTACCGTCACTCTGCGGAGTCCCATACGTGCCATCGGAGAATCCACTGAGATACGCATCAGTGCTTGAAAAGGTGATGGGCTTAAATGCTCTTACCTTCGCCACCACAGCGACCCCCCATCAAGGTAGATTTGATCTCGGATGACATTGGCTAGACACAACAAGAGAATTAGAGATGAGCCAGCGGTCACCACGTGCCCCGAATCTTACCCCGAAATTGAGACCAATTACACATGGATATATTAATCTGCTCCAGCCACTGCTGAGCAAGACTCGCTCGCAGGAGGTGTAGATATACCCAAAGAATTAAGGGCTGCGGAGACATCATTTTCAGGCCATCCTCAAACTCATGTATTCTAAGGAGCCCCAAGAATTAGGAGCAGTTGATGTCCGTGAAGGCTCTAGCGCTGCTTGTCTTATTTACGCTGGACGACCAAGGATATGCTGACGGTACTGATGCGAGCTCTGTACAGTGCTGGCCTCCTCCGATCATGTATGTTGTCATCACTGACATAGGGGGCATTGTACAACTGCATCTGATGTATCTGGGTTGCTATTGACCGAGAGGCTTACGAGATACATACATAATCCATCAGCTCTAGGCAGGGAGGGAATCGCAGATCCATTTCATCCAGTGCTAGTAGGAATTTTTTTATTTGTTTTACCTGCATTCCGCCAACAAATAAACTAAGGCATGTAGAAGGTCTGAATTTGTTCCCACTGTGCACTACGATGTACCGTATAGGCTGTATAGTGTTGTCGGCATCTTGGAGAATGCAGACATTTGCACTTTCATTTACCTGTATCCAGGATCCTTTTTAAAATAAAGCAACCAGCTGAATGTGATCCTTCATTGAATTAGGTCTCTGATTCAGCTAAACTATCAGAACATGTCGCGTTTATAAAGGCAAGGTAAACAAACGAAGAATTTAAGCTAACAATCACAGGAAATATACGCGATCCGATGATGTTGTCACATCAACATCATTTGACCGAGAAAGGTGCTGAATAAACAATACTGTACTGTAACCTTCAGTTAATAGAGCGCCTATATGGGAATGCAAGAGACTCAGTTAGTTGACATACTGTGATTCCTGGTGTTTTCACCGAAGGACATCTACTCCTGTAGCTGAGCTATACAGTAGCTCCCTGTGTATCCTTCCCCTGAATTCCATAACAATTAACATTGCCGTACAGTAGCAGTACAGTATCAAATCAATACAAACATGACTATTCCGCTGACGGGGGGAAGGTGCCGGTGAAGTGTCGCATTTTCGTACCAAGTTCAGTTCTTCGGTTGTGTCATGAGTCTGATTGAATAGTTTGTCTAAGTCCTAGTGACGTTCTTTGGTAGGTGTAAAATTCACGTAATGTGCTATCTCTAGCCCGAAAACGCGGCGAACTTCGTGCCCTACCTTGTCGAAGTAAGGGCCATCGTGATAAGATGGCGGATCTACGTACTCCAGTTGCTAGAGAGAAACAAATGAGATGATGCTGGCTACGGGGCTTTCTTCTGCACAATAGCCAGCTGTTGGTCTTACGACAGCTCTTCAGATCACGCAAGCAGCCCCATTATACGACAGAAAATGTACACATGTACCACGATATATTCAGGGATTAGGTTAGTCGAGCCTTGGTAATGAGTCACTGGGGGCGAAACTGACACCAGAGTTGACGATATCAGAGAAAGTGTTCAAGTTGAGCCCAGTCCTTTATGGTTGGCAAGGGTCAGGTTATACAGGTGACATAAAATGTATTTAAGTATCATCCCACCCGAGGTGGCGGAAGCGTATGTATTCGCGCTTATTCGTCACCACCTAAGATATCCGTAGAGCTTTTTCTACGATACCACTTCCTAAGGAGACACTTAGTGAGACTGAATCATCAAGCAACCACTGACGGCGGTTTAGGGAAGCCCATAGGTTTTGTGCTATGAGCGGTTGCAATGGATAATGGTGCAATAATCGATGAGGGTGTTTATATCCTCAGACCAGAAGATTTGGCAAGGTTAGAGGGCTGGAATGGAAGCGTCCCAGATTCCATTAATAAGTGCGTGCACTGGCTCATCCAAGACCGCTGCAAAGCACAGCCCGACGCTCCCGCTATTTGCGCCTGGGATGGTGATTTTTCCTACCGAGAACTAGACCAGCACTCATCTCACTTGTCTCGCCACCTGGCAGGTGTCGATGTTCAACCGGGCATGTTTGTGCCGCTCTATTTCGAGAAGTCCAAGTGGACAGCAGTGGCCATGTTGGGTGATGAAAGCGGGTGCCGCGTTTGTGCTCTGGATCCCTCGCACCCACTGTCACGCTGAAAGACATCTGTGAAGACATCCGCGCAAGTCTCATCGTGTGTTCTTTGCTAAACCAGATGGCTGCTGCCGCGCTTGCTCGGGAGGTAGTCTGTTTGAGTGACGGGTTACCGCTCACAAGTAACCGAAATGTGGACAAAATGACTGCCATGCCTGGTGACCCTGTATATGCCGTGTTCACCTCTGGATCTACAGGCAAACCCAAAGGAGTCGTGATTACCCATACCTCCTTCGCCACTAGCGCACTTGCTCAGATAGAGCTCCTGTCACTGATGGCCACCTCTAGGGTTTTTCAGTTTGCCTCCTACGCCTTTGATGCAAGCATCATGGAAACCCTAACAACATTGACAGTAGGGGGTTGTATCTGTGTTCCGTCCGAGAAAGAGCGCCTGGCCTCTATCACAGAGGCTGCAACCAAGCTGCAGATCACTTGGGCTTTTTTCACTCCCTCTGTCGCTACCCTGTTAGTAAACAGTCAGATTCCCACTCTTACGACGATGGTCCTCGGAGGTGAGCCTTTATCTCCACCCGATATTGCAGTGTGGGCCAAACGTGTGCAACTTATCGTGGCCTACGGGCCTACGGAATGTTCCGTAATCACGGCAGCTCACCCGTCCGTGGAACGCACGGGAGACCCTCGATGCCTTGGGGTCACCAAGGCCGGGGTATGTTGGGTTGTAGATCCACAGAACCATGAAAAGCTCACATCAATTGGAGATGTCGGCGAGCTGATCATTGAAGGGCCGCTTGTGGGCTGTTGCTATCTCAATGATGATAAAAAGACTTCGCAGTCCTTTATCCAGGCGCCGCGGTGGTTGAGCCACTTTCGCGGACTTGGTAGGGGCGACCAACTTTACAAAACGGGCGATCTAGTGCGGTATGCTAAGGATGGGTCGCTTTTGTATGTTGGGAGAAAAGACACCCAAATCAAGGTTCGTGGACAACGTGTAGAACTTGGAGAAATTGAACAACAGGTAAGACGTTGCTTCAGTGACTGCCAACATGCCGTAGTTGAGGCCGTAGTGCCCACCGAACAGATTAGTCCACCGATGCTGGTCGCATTCGTGTACGAGAGGCCGGCTGTCTCGCTAGACAAGCTTCATTACCCAAGGCGCTTTGAGCAGGTCGTCGCTGCACCAACGGACTCCTTCCGGGCCAAAGCAATCGCAGCAGAGGCGCAGTTGTGTGATGTACTTCCCACATACATGGTTCCCAGAATATTCGTCCCATTGCTGCACATACCCCTGACCATGTCAGGCAAAGCCGATAGACACCGACTGCGAGATGAGGCCGCAAGAGTATGCCGTGATCAAATAACTGCATACCTGGAAACCGTGCCTATGGCATTAGGAAAGCTACCGACTGGAGTCGAAAGAAAGCTACAGCGCGTCTGGGCCAAGGTGTTCAAGATCGACCTAAAGTGCATTACCACGGATGCCAATTTCTTTCGCCTTGGTGGCGACTCCATCACCGCCATGCGATTGGTAAACCTGGGGCGTGAAGAAGGCTTAGAGTTATCAGTTGCGGAGGTGTTTGATCATCCCCAGATCTCACACTTAGCGTTGGTGGCCCGATGTACCAACCAAACAGCAGTTGTCGAGGCTGAATGTTTCTCTCTTCTTCCTCCCAGCGAGGCTCAGGATATCATGGCCATAGCGCTAGGACAATGTTATGTGAACCCTATTGACATTGAGGACATCTACCCATGTACGCCGCTTCAGAAAGGGTTGATGTCGATCACAATAAAAAAACCGGATGCTTACGTTTTTTGTGAGAGGTATAAGCTATCCATGGGCATCGACATTGCCCGACTCAAGACGGCATGGCAGGCTATAGTCCGGGGTAATCCAATACTTAGGACTCGTATTATTGAGGCCGGCTTGCACGGAATGTTTCAGGTTGTGACTAAGGAAGGGATACCATGTGAGGTGATAGAATGTCCTACACCGAGCAAGAAGATACACGACACCCCCGTCTCATTCCAGCTTGGAAGCCATCTTGGACGCCTTCGCCTTGTACTTAGAGACAGCTTGCGTACCTGGGATGAACTGGAATTAACCATACACCATGCTGCATATGATGGGTGGTCGCTGCCTATGGTATTCCAGCAGCTTGAAGCGGCATATCATGGGGAACCGCGCTCAGCCCGGCCATTTAATATCTTCATTAAACATCTCTCCCTGGGGAATACGGCTGATGCCGACGCATTTTGGAGATCACAACTCCAGGGCTATAAGGGACAACCGTTCCCGGCACAGTTGTCTATGGATTACACACCAAATCCGACGGAGTCACTCGAATGCCGTATAAACACTGATTTAGAGCTCAGAGGAGATTTTACTCCCACTATTGTCCTGCGCCTAGGCTGGGCGCTTGTTTTGTCCCACTATACAGGCTCTTCTGATGTAGTATATGGAGTAACAGTTTCCGGGCGACATGCTCCAGTTACTGGCATTGAGGATATAATGGGGCCCACAATTGCCACTGTGCCGGTGCGAATCCAATTACAAAGCCACTGGACTGTTGCAGAAGTACTCCGTGTGATACAAGATCAAGCTACGAATATGATTCCATTCGAGCATGTAGGTCTGCAGAGCATCGGCCGCCTAGGTTGGGAGGCAGCAGAAGCCTGTCGATTTCACAGTCTGCTTATAATCCAGCCCCCTACTATGCCAAAGTGTGCAGCAACGATATTTGAGGAGGGCCTGAACCTTACGAGAAAGCAGGAGGTTGGATCCTACGCCCTGACTATGCAATGCGAATACGACAGGAAATCCCTTAAACTCCGGGCAGCTTTCGACAAACAAGTCGTGCCGAGGCTGCAGATGCGGAGGATCATACACCATTTCAAGCATGTGCTACAGCAGGTCAGCACTCGACTAGGCATGCATTTGGCAGATATAGAGCCACTGAGCCTAGAAGACAAGGATGAGTTGCAAGAATGGAATGGAAGCGTCCCAGACTCCATTAAAGAGTGTGTACACTGGCTCATCCAAGACCGCTGCAAAGCACAGCCCGACGCTCCCGCTATTTGCGCCTGGGATGGTGATTTTTCCTACCGAGAACTAGACCAGCACTCATCTCACTTGTCTCGCCACCTGGCAGGTGTCGATGTTCAACCGGGCATGTTTGTGCCGCTCTATTTCGAGAAGTCCAAGTGGACAGCAGTGGCCATGTTGGGGGTGATGAAAGCGGGTGCCGCGTTTGTGCTCCTGGATCCCTCGCACCCACTGTCACGCCTGAAAGACATCTGTGAAGACATCCGCGCAAGTCTCATCGTGTGTTCTTTGCTAAACCAGATGGCTGCTGCCGCGCTTGTTCGGGAGGTGGTCTGTTTGAGTGACGGGTTACCGCTCACAAGTAACCAAAACGTAGACAAAATGACTGCCATGCCTGGTGATCCTGTGTACGCCGTGTTCACCTCTGGATCTACAGGCAAACCCAAAGGAGTCGTGATTCAACACAGTTCATTCTGCTCCAGCGCTCTCGGACATGGCAAGTTATTTGGTCTCTCTTCTGGCTCCAGGGTCTTCCAATTCTCCTCCCATGCGTTTGACGTAAGCATTACGGACCACCTCACGACCTTGATCATGGGCGGATGCATTTGCGTTCCTTCCGAAAACGATCGACAGAATTGCCCAGCAAGAGCCGCCAATGACCTGGGCGTCACCTTCGCTGATTTAACACCATCCGTGGCCAGGATGCTTTGCCCGTCGAGAATATCTACTATGAAGACAGTTGTTCTCAGCGGCGAAGTTGTTACTGCAACGGACCTGGAGCTTTTGGCCATTGGCCCGACAATAATACGAGTGATGAACTCCTACGGTCCGGCCGAATGTGCTGTGAAGTCAACCTTAAACTGCGATGTTCGCCCTGTAACTGATCCACAAAATATTGGAAAAGCAGTGGGCGGTATCTGTTGGGTTGTGAACTCCAATAATCATGAGAAACTGGTGCCTATTGGTGCCGTTGGAGAGTTACTAATTGAGGGCTCCATTGTCGGAAGTGGTTATCTATGCGACCCAGCAAAATCTTCGGCCGTGTTTATCCAAGCCCCGTCATGGCTACGACGCTTCCGAGCTGCCGACTACACTGGAAGACTGTACAAAACTGGCGATTTAGTACAGTATGTCGCTACTGGCGAGCTACGCTATATTGGCCGCAAAGACACGCAGGTCAAGCTTCGCGGTCAGCGCTTGGAGCTTGGCGAAGTCGAACATCAGACACAAAAGTGCTTCCCGAGCGCCCACCAGGTTGTGGCGGAGATAATCATCCCAGTAGTCTCTGGCAGGCAGCCGAGCCTGGTTGCCTTTGTATTTGATGGGCGAGGCAGCCGTCAGGCAGCTGACCCAAATGCATTGTCAAACAGCGCGTTATTTGGTCCGCCTGATGGCAAATTCGCGTCCCAAGCTGTCGCTGCTAGGCTACATCTACCACAGACACTACCCACTTACATGGTCCCTAGCGCCTTTGTCCCGCTCACCCAATTGCCACTCACGCCATCAGGCAAAGTCGACCGACATCTCTTGCGGGAGGCCGCCGCATCGCTTTCGCAGGAGCAGCTAACAGCCTACACCACCATGGGGTACAAAAAGAGAAGTCCGTCGACAGAAAATGAAAAAAAGCTACAGCGCGTCTGGGCTAGTGTGTTGCACCTCGATATGCATGATATTGGCAAGGATGACAGCTTTATCCCCCTCGGAGGCGATTCTATCACTGCAATGAGCATGGTCAGTGCAGCTCGGAACGAGGGCCTGCACTTGACAGTCTATGACGTCTTCCAGAATAAGCAGTTGTATAAGCTCGCTCAGCAGAATACCAGTATCCAACCCATTGACGGCTCCTGCAAAAACATTCCTTGGTCATGGGCCAACTGTACATCTTGCACAGAGCTCTTCGAATCCCATATCGCTCCGTCTCTCCCTTTTTCCGTGAAGATAACGGATGTTCTGCCAACCACGGAATGCCAGCAGTACTCACTAAATACCCAGGCATTCACTTATTTTCGTCTCCACATTCGTGGTGGAGCCAATATACAACGCGTAAAATCTGCATGCACAGCTCTTGTCGAACGCCATGCAATACTTCGTACTATGTTCGTCCCATACCAGAACCGTGACTTCGTCCAGGTTGTGCTACGCCGCATGGAAGTTCCTTTGAAAATATGCTGTGGTCGGGACATAGGTCCCCTAGCGTATGCTAGGTTGCTCTGCGAGGCTGGGTGTCTGAATCCTCCCCATATCGCAGTACCACCTCTCCATTTCACTCTTGTTGCGCAGGGGAAGGATGCACATGTTCTTGTTATACGTATATCCCATGCACAGTACGATGGAATCTCTCTACCCATTCTTCTGGGTGATCTGGCCGGGTTGTGCGATAAGGAGACACTTGTGTCTCCGGTCACTGACTTTCCAATGTATGTCCGCCAGCGGTATGCACAAAGATCCAATGCGGCGGTCAACTTTTGGAGAAGAACATTAGACGGTTCCTCCATGACGGTACTCAGCCTCAGTCCTGGTCCCGGCTTTACGTTGCAGGACACGCCTGTCAAGACCTCGGGGGAGGTTCGAATATCACACAGCTCTATGGATGGGATTACTATCGCCACGGTTGTCAAAGCAGCGTGGTCATGGGTTTTGTTCACGCATTCCGGGCAGACCGATGTCGTATTTGGCCAGTTAGTAAGTGGGCGCAACTTTGAATTACCAGGAATTGATCGGGTCGTCGGTTCCTGTCTCAACATCACGCCGGTAAGGGTGACATTTCCACAATCATGGACTGTTCGCGAACTTCTTCGTCACGTTCATGATCAGCACGCCCAATCCTTGGCATTCGAAACTACAAGCTTTCGAGAAATCGTGAAAGAGTGTACCTCGTGGGCCAGTACTACAGAGTTTGGAAGCGTGGTCCAGCATCAAAGTACGGACGAAAACCCAACTATCAGCAGGGGAACACATACATTCACTACCAGTCGCTTTTCCCACGCGCAGACGCCACGATATGTCTCTGTCTCATCTAGGGCTTACAACTCTCGACTGCGGGTTGAGATTAGCACTTCATCTGCACTTCTTGAGCAGAGCGCTGCTGACCAGCTTATTAATGCTTTGTGCAACTTTGTGTCTGATTTTGTGACATGCCCAGACATGGTTTTAACCTGTATTTCCACACCAATCTCATGACCGAAAATGGTCGTATACGGCGAATAGGAACCACACAATGATTCGATATAACCTCCGTTGTTCCATTCGTAATATTTTTATTTTTTCAACTTCTTAAACATCAATCGCAATTAGAAGTGATGTTCTTAGGTTCTTCTAATACACCCATACATGATAACCTTAAAAGGTTTCTCAGAATCGCTTTAAATGGCGTTAAACCCATACCTACCGTAGACATGTCAAGACAATCGCCACAAAGTCATGACATAAATAGTATTACAATAGATTGGCCAAGTAGTTGAGACTCTACTATTCGGGCTATAGCTTCCTCATTTCACGTTTCATTTCCTTTTCTTCTCTGCCGAATATTACCATTCTTAGTAGGGGAATGAAATGTAGATCGTGATCTTAAAAAGACTCCATTTCCAAGGGAACTAAGACATACCGTGACAACGAAACCCTCAAGGAAACAACATCATGGTCCTAAGACATGAATCAAAGGAATCGCTGGTAGAGATACCTATATTGTGCTGCTAAGGATCCTGATCCGTAGAAGCTTGTCGCACTACACCATGACGCTTCCCGGTCTCCACTCTCCGCTTGAGCATTCCCTAATGTATCAGTGTCGGGAGTTTTCTGGGAGGATCAAAAACAGTCATGCAGCACAAACAACTACTACGCTCCGTTAGGAATAGGTATTTGGCGCCCATATCTACAACCCCATGCTGTGACAGGTTTCCACAGAAAGAGCCATCCACATAGCTCCCTTTGTAGGACGAACAGTTCCAAGTAGTGCACGATTTTCCGAAGCACAAGATCTGCCTCCATAGAGCCATAGGCTTCCAGGACTGGGTCAACGCTCTAAATAAAAGGCCGGGATATTGGCACATTGCTGTCCTCTACGGGAACAAGCGGGAGTTTGTTGACGGATAAGGACCCCAAGTTCTCTCGTATTGCATGGTGCCGGATTTTAATCGGACAAACCGGGCACTCTAGATCCATTGCACTATAGAGTATTTACTGGGGCACTAGCTGTGGCCACCTCTGGTTGGCCGTGTTTGTGGTACCAGCCGGACGTATAGTGATATTACCCAGCCATCAGCCGTTAGAGTGGGGGATAGAAGGAATCGCGCTGCATAACCAAGGTGGAACGGGGGAAGTTAGAATACGACCGAGTCCTTTAGGGGAGACATTGATTTTTCCCACAAGGTGCAGAAAAGCACACGGGTAAGCTACTTGGAGGGAGGCACCGTTAATACAGAGAAGTGCCACCAAATAGATTAGTTTCCATTCTGGGCCATCATCGTATATCTTTGCTGCAGCAACTGGAATGTGAAGCTAAGGTTGTTGTTATCTCCATTTCTATCTGACAATATATTTCCCTTCTATATGTTACTATTTCTCTCACCGTGCGTAGCATCTTTGACGCCTAAATAGGGTACATACTCGGAAATGGAACACCAAGTCGAAGTAGCTCCAGGATAGCCTATATTTATTCCTTCTCGCACGAAATGACCTGAATCCAAATGGTTTGCCAAGTTCACAGCTGTCTAACATATTGTTTCTTCCGCAATCGAGTAGGCATTCTACTGATGAAGAGGAATGAGTTGCTTGGGTATGGTATCTCTCGCGCAGTATTTAGGCAAAGACGTCCTTTTCTTGAAGTAAACATTCCGAGATGGGCACTGATTTGCTGGGTTGTAGATCGCCTGCTATAAGGCCTGTAGCTATATTCTGCCACCAGCACTATTATGCAGACATAAATCCTACACATATAGCTTGAAGAAGCCGCTGTCTTCTCAATTACCCCAAGAGCGTGTGAATATTATTTCGTGTAGTTTCGTAGACTGAATCATACTTCTAAATTATGAACCCGATTGTAAGTGGAGCTGTCTCTAGAGTGTGCCAAGTTCTCTTTATACTGTCACCAAATTTAAATTACTTCTGCACGTGGATGGCAGCTTCTTTATAGGGCGCATGTAATCAAGGGAAAGGGCTTGCAAGTTACAGCTTACCGCTGATTTAAAAACGTCCTAATAGCACATATACGTACTCGTAGTAACATTTACATTACCCAGGTGTAGTGTATGTGAGTCATTGGGTTTTCCAGTGGGTAGATTTGTATTCACCTCCTTTTACACCACGGCTTTGTGACTAATGTGCCATTTCCTGCATAGCCATCATTCTCACTCTCTTTCTGGCTGCTACAATCTACGCAATGTTCGATTACCACTGCATATCTGCACATCCTTAAAGAAACAAAAAACGTTGAGTGGAACCACTGTCTCCCTTATCAACTAACACCCTTCAAGAGGTTTCAATATATGCCTCTGAAAGCTGACAAATGTACTCGCGGACTAAATTGATGCAATGCCCTGCGCACGGACGTTTCCCTGGCTTGTCATTCACTAGTGATGCCAATACAAGGTTGATCTCGGCTGAGGTCCAATATTCTCTATCCCTTTTTTACTGTAAAGGAAGAAGAATGCGCATTAATGTTGGCGTCTATCCGCCCACGAACATTATCCGATAAAGGTGGAGGACAGTCCCCCTGCGAGTGCAGATAATTGTGCACCTGCTGATGCTTGGAGATAAAAACTGGCAGTGTATTCCGACGAGCATATTGTGACTGGTGTTTGCTGATCAGAATCAATGATACAACGTGCAGAACCCGCTCAACATCCTCCTTAGTCAACTTGCGGCAAGGGTGCTGGCTTAGATTTAGTCCCGATTTGGTCGTGCAGTTCAACCCATATGGCTGGAAAATTGTGAGGGTCCATATTACCATTTTGGCCACATAGATGTGCCACAGTGCCTTTGTCACCTACGAGGCCAAACAACCATGCGTGCTGGAGGGCCTCCTCGGGTGTGATACGTTTGCTTGGGTCAAAAGTTAAGATACGTCGCAGAAAAGCGAGGAATTCTCAGTTGAAGGAGGTGGTTGGTGGAACAAGTTCCTGTAGATGGACCTATCAGCGCGCTGGCTACGAAGCAAGAGCTGGCTCTCACCTCTAAAGTCTTCTTCGACTTCATTCGATCAGTTACCGAGCTAGGGAAGGAAAACTTATCATCAGAGACAAATCTAGAGCAGTTGCTAGAAAGTGGTCTACTTGGGTTAAAGAGGTGGGAAATAATACTGAAAGATTGTATTTTCTGTCGTTCCTGTCGGACTCCCTCTTGATTTGGCTTGTTGGATCATGGTTGGTTCAATGGGTCGACACAAGACATGCTGCATCATTGCTAGTAGTTCCCTATCTGTATCTTGCGGGCCTACACCTGCATCCACAATAAATAGCGTGTTTCCCGTAAATAATTCGACGATTATACAACCTATGCTCCATGTGTCGACAGGGAAACTCCACCCTAGATTCAGGATTATTTCGGGGGCTCTGTATGATGGAGTTACCGCACACATGTAGTGCTTTGTGTTTTGTGATGTCGCCCAACCGAAATCGATCAGGCAGATTTCCGTATTACATAGCACGTCGTGATATTTTTGAGGTGAAATTGCCGGAAGGCTGACTTTGCGGAAACTGTCCACCAAAAGAATATTGTCGGTCTTAAGATCCGTGTGAGTTATGCCCAGCCAATGCAGGTCTCTTTGGGTCAGTAGTGATCACAGTCGAAGCTTATTGAGGGCAGGTAATCTTACAGGCAACACTTGTGCATAATTGGTTGGCAACATGCTGGACATGACTGGGCGGACGTGGCGCGCAGCCATTGTTCTTTAAGAAACTGGATAGACTTTGCGCAAACAACTCCAAGGCCAAGCAGAAGTGATCCTCATATTTAAATTCATCCCACAAGCGAACACACAGGATTCTATATGCTTTGTCTTTTTCCTCAAGCCATCTTAGGACTTGGGCTTCCTTGTTGGTTTCGTTCTGATGCTTTGATACCTTGATCGCGCACGTGCGTTTGTACTCATTGTCGTATGCTTCTACAACAAATCCAAATGTGCCACGCCCTAAACTTCGGATCACCTGATCTTTAATAGTATTTCAGATATTAGTGGCAAGGTGGCATGAAAGAGAACGTACACCGGTTTGATAGCAATTTGCCGGGTTGTAAAAAATGAGGCCATTCATTTTTCCCAATGCCAGCATGTTTCTCTTCGTCAAGCTTAGATCCGGGGCGTCGTAGTTAGTAAACCTGTCAAAAATGGCAAAGAGATAAATAGATGGAATAGCCATACGTCACTTACGGGCCCACTACCGGCTTGCCTTGAAGTGGCGGATGGAGAATAAGTATTCTGGGTTCTCGATAAGGCGCAAACTATATTGGGAGAAGTCATATCAGTCCCCCCCGTTAGACGATTATGACAGGAATTATCGGATTTACGTGGACGGGGTTGTTATTCGTCCCATCCGAAGTGGAGTTGACAAGCAAGGGTGGCACCAGAATAGCAACGAGGCACCCAATATAGGACCGGAGAGTACTATGATCACGCAAGCCGAACGTCCCCCAGTTTCCCCTCCTGTCCTTTTCTTTTAGGAGACTACACTGGAAGTCAAATATGTATTGATTGTTATTAAATCACGGCTCGATTAGGTAAACTGCAGAGTTTCATGTACGGAAAAAATCCTGTATACAATTAGATTGGTTTACAGTTAACCTGATATAATCGTAAAGAGACGCTCTTTCCACTTTTTCTGCCGATAAGGTTTTTGGTGGTTTTAGGTGGCCTAGTCGATTCACGCCAGTGCAGTATCACAGCGATCCTGAGGAGAAATGTTAAGTAAACTATAGAGCTTTAAATACGGAATAAATTCCGTATAGAATCAGGTTGATTGAGATTCAATCTAATGTTCATCTTGTATATAAACTCCCAAGTTACGATGCAATAAAATATTTAATCTGCCTCTGAACTACATCAATTTCTTCAGCTCCCGTCTAGGCCAAGTAGTTAGCGGAAGCTTGAAAATCCCGTAGGCTCTAGTTGGAATATATTGAATGTCAACCTCTCCGCCATCGGAATCCGCACGTTGATAGTGGAGTTTCACATTAAAATGCTTGGTCTGTTTATGAAACTCACGATTACGCGATTTGGGAGAGGTGCGAAGTCATTGAAGGTGTAGGATAGCATTATACTGTGCAATGTATTCGACATGTGTGGCCGATATGGCGATTTCCTTTGTTTCTTGGAAGACTAGGAGACTGGCCCTCTTGCGAGTTTGAAGATATATGCGGACGTGGAATATGCCCCTTTAGCAACGACAGATCCCCCAAAAAAATCTGGTTTGTTTGAGCGGCTCTAAGATAGCGCAGGAGGTGCAGCAATGCGGCTTAGTGAAGCGACTGAGGCTATGACACGAAACAAACATGTCGACCAAAGTGGGCCACTATTACCCATTATTCAGCCATCTCGGTCCGACTTTTTTTCCTTTGTTTGTTTTCACCATTTATCCAGCTCTCCCAGGATAGATCGTCCCCATTCTCTCTTGTATCCGGGAGCCCTTAGTGTTGGTGGGTCTCCATATAGAAGTCCATGTTGTGGAATTCAGGGGAAGTGATGTGCAGGGAGCTATTCTATCAACTACAGGCCAACTAGCCTAATTAGGAAGTAGATGTCATTCAGTGGAAACACCAGGAATCACAGTATCTCAACCGAGTCTCTTGCATACCTGTCTGGGTGCTCAACTAACTAAAGGATTCAGGGGTTGAATCGATCGTCAGATACTCCGCACCGCCAAGTCAACAGTCCGCAAGTACTTTCTGTGCGTAAAAAACAAATTGGATCTCAAGAAAGGAACACGAGGTTCCCGGATTATTGTACACCTGTATTGCAAAAACGGTGACTGGGTGCCGTACTCTCTTCTTTTTAATTTTGTGAATCCTTTAGTTCAAACATAGTTAACTAGGAGGATTGAGCATTAGTAAGTCAACATTGATCGACTTTAATTATTGGCATTTAACTTAATTATTGTCACATATACGGCTAGTCCCGAAGAGGAAATAGAGTACGATTGGTAAAAGGGTCTTACTAGAATGAATAGAGCTGGTTGGGCTCTTCTTGATTATGTTGATTATTCTCTTGTTGTTGTGTGCTCCGCGGGGTTTTACCCGATCTAGTCACATGATTCTGGTCCACCAACGGCCACATTATTTGACATTTATTCTTGTACTAGCAGACCTATGAAAATTAAAAGAAGAGAGCACAGCACCTGGTCACCTTTTTGTAATCCAGTGTAACTTAAACCCCAACGATAGGCAGACACCTCTTCGTGGTGCTTGGGACGAGTACTTAAGCAGTTCGCGGTGGTGCTGCTTGAGGAAACCAAGATCTGCCCAAAGGAGATGAAAATGGTGTTGGATGGTGGGACGCGAAGCCTGACACGTCCGTGAAAATTCTGACAAGCAGCCAACAACAAACAACGACGAATAGCAATATTCTGTGTTTCCCTCTTGTCTCGCTACAATTGATGAGCTGAAGAAGTCTGCTGGTCTCTTGTCTATGCGGTGACTAGATTTGTTCTCCAGTCTACCCTGTTGCTGATAGTCGACTGACTTGGATTTTAAGCGATGCGCTTTTGTCTCCACCCAACCGTACCAGCGACAATGAAGAATAGCTAAGGCTTGCCTGGTTGCCTTATCTCGCTCAGATCGACTCGATGGTTACCACTACAATCATTAGTGGGAGGTGACTAGACCTCCGCTGTCTGGGTCTATCGCGACATCTACACTAGAGCAAACCCATTCTCCAACATTGCTCACTGGCTGTCTGCTTCCTGCCACGTGGTTCTAAGGCTATATATACAATGGTTTCGACAAAAGAGATCCTTCAATGCCTGTCTCTTCATGTGTTCAGCTGCTGTCTGTGGTTCTGATAGTGCTATCACAATTGATACAAAGGGTTCTTCCGGTGCGGTCTTCTTCATGCGTCCGCTCAACTGCTCGCAGTTGTGTCCAGTGGAACCATCCTTCTGAATACAATCAATTTAGACCCCTCACAAAATCAGTTATGGAAACACTATGATCCGCCCGACTTGGTGGTGCGGAAATATCTGACGATCTATTCAGACCTCAATCCTTTAATTAGTTGAGCACCTACGTAGGAATGTAAGAGACTCAGTTGGTTGAGATACTGTGATTCCTGGTGTTTCCACCGAAAGACATCTACTTCCTAGTTAGGCTGGTTGGCCTGTAGCTGATAGAGTAGCTCCCTTCGCATCACTTCCCCTGAATTTCATAATAAAATCGAACAGGAACCGGCAAGGTGCGGCCACTGCGCGGGCAGCCGCGAACAGAGGCACTGCCCCCTAGGGGTCAGAGCTAAATGCCTGGATTGCAATGGGAAAATCAGACTCGGGACCCGCAGATGCCAAACTATCCTTAACGGAGGCCTGCAATGTTAAAATGAGACCTACGCATGCTACGATTGAACATTATGAAGTCTAGGTAATGCATGGAAGCATTGGTTAATGATAAAAATACCAAGAACCTTGACATTCTTCTTATACAGGAACCACCAATCTCAACATTCCGACCATATGTAAACCGCAGCGCCTGGCGTGTCTAATCTCAATAGCATCACATCACTAGATTGAATGCAACCACCCCGACATCACAGCAATGAAGGTACGGACAACAGAGACGCAGATGTTCTTATTTTCCGCGTACATTCCACCAGTGGTCGTCTACCAGCCTGGGCAGACACATCTATACAGTCTATACTCGACGAAATACAGTCCACGATTCAGGTGCAAAGCCAAGAGAGAAATAAACATCCAACAATCGTCTTAGCGGGCGACAAGTTTGGCGCAGCACCGGTAGCCCTAGATCAGAACCTGAAAATCTGGAGTACCATCAGACGGTCTATGGCATTCCAGTCAGTTTATACCGTAGAGCTTATGGAGATCTTCTATGCCATAAGCATTAACTCTTAGTATAACGCAGAAAATGCTGGGATTGTCAAAAACAAGGTGGAAGCCTGCAACAATACTCTGTGATAGCATGTCCGCACTGCAGGCAATCGGGAACCCATCTAATAAGTCAGGCCAGCGGATTATTTATGCCCTCACAGGCAGCTAGAGAATTAAAAGTGCGAGGGCTTCCGCTTCGCCTCCAGTGGATCTCGGGGCACTGTGACGATTCCGGGAATGATGCAGCTGACCGGCTAGCCAAAGAAGCCGTTGGCCCCAAATGAACACACTCATTCCGACACTTGATCTCGCGAGAAAGGGGGTTTATTCGGGGTCAGATTCTTAAAGAAATGGGCACAAGAGTATAGGTGGCCATCTGCGCCAGATCGATAGGATGCTACATTCTATCCATTCCCAACGACTATATGACTCGCTATCTCGTAACCGAGCATATACACTAACACAGTTGCGGATGGTCATTCATGGTTGGCTCCCCACGGCAAACGCCATCGTTTTCGCGAAGACGATAAATGCGAGTTCGCATGGAACTGCCCCAAGCTGAGGGCCCCTCGACAGAAACAAAGGCAAATAGACCAAGACAGGCCCTGACGAGGCTCCAAGTTCGTCCCCACGAAGTGGTACTGTAAACTGTACATAGACACACAGGGATGGCTATAATCGTGGTGGCCTGTATATCGCGGAGGCGAGGGTCAGGGTAAATGAAGCCATCCATCCATCCATCCAGTGTAACTTCAATTCCGATTCAAGAGCTTTCTTTACCTGCTCAATCTCGCAGCACTAGTTCCGGCCACTATAATATGCGCAGACGACACAGTTCCTCCAGTAGAAGACAGAATTGTCGCACTGGGCCTTCGAAAAGTTTATTTCGCGATCCACGCTCATCGGCGCCTGAGACTCTGTGGATATATGTCTTCAGATTTCACGTTATGTGTCCTTGAAAGCTGAGGGAAATAAGGCAGGTCTGTCTATCAATATTATGGACGGGCGAGTCGGTGTGTATTCCACAGCGTTTCGTCGTAGTAATTAATAGCATTGGGCCAAGGATTCAAGACTAAACAAATATTCAACTCGCGCACAATTCCAAGGAGCTATAATTTGTTACACGAACGTCGTTTACCACGGCATGAGATAAATATACATATAGAGGACGCAGAGGGGTGGTGTATTGATCTCTGTGCGAGGACTGGGAGGCTCACCCTCTACTTCCCGTCTAGCCCATCTGTTGTTGATCTAAATATAGGAGCTAACTATACATAGACACTCTTGGAGGATCGAATAAAGCATAACAGCTATAACCGCACTTTTCAAACACACTTTTTTGATCTATCGTACCAATGATTTCTTCAAGCAATATATGGTTTCTCATACTGGCAGCCGTAAGCCAGGCGTCGTATGAGCTCCAGGATGACTTTGGAACGTCAGCATCATTCTTTGACCACTTCACATTTTTTACGGTAGGAGTACAGTATCCATCGGAGCTTGCGCCCGAGTAAAGCCCAGCCAGTCTTACCAGATGTGCAAATAGGATGCCGACCCCACACACGGATTTGTCCACTATGTCGATCGCGCCACGGCAGAACAGTCCGGGTTGATTGGAGTCCGAGACCAGATGCTATATGTACGGGCCGACCATACCAATGTCTCCCCCAGCAGCGGTCGGCCGAGTGTGCGCTTAACCAGCATCGATCAATACCAACATGGGCTATTTGTTTTGGATTTGGCGCATATGCCGGGTGGGATATGTGGTACTTGGCCAGCATTGTACGTGACCCCGGCAATCACGATACCAATTGGTGACGACTGATGGGAAAGTATCACAGCTGGATGGTTGGTGCGAATTGGCCAGAGAAAGGGGAAATTGATATCATCGAGGGCGCTAATCAACAGACCAACAATATGATGACACTGCACTCGTTGAAAGATTGCAGCGTTGATAACGAGGGATTTTCTGGCACCCTCATCTCCTCGGATTGCTTTTATGAGGCACCTACCCAGCACTACAATGCGGGGTGCAGTATCGATGCACCGTCCAATCGATCATTTGGTATGGGTTTTAACGAAGAGGGAGGCGGAGTCTACGCCGTTGAGTGGACGGAGATTGGGATCAAAATGTGGTTCTTCCCTCGCGGGCAGATACCCTCGGACCTGGCATGTGGCTCGGAGTCGATAGACCCCAAGTCCTGGGGCAGACCAACTGCAATGTTTAAAGGGAAATGCGACTTTCCCTCACATTTTGGGCCACAGCAAATTGTATGTCTACTATCCATTTTCCTATCCAGTTCTCTTCTAAGTATCCCCTTTTTGTTCATGTATTCCTTTGCTTCTCACTATGCGTCATTAATTCATTTTATTTCCCTATTCTTATTTGATTCAGAGGGATGCTTGAAAATCGTCAACCTTCTGTCTTGAGTCAAAAGCTGGAGGGGCATAAGAAGACTCACTGGCTTTTAGGTAATTAATACCGCTTTTTGCGGCGATTGGGCGGGACAGGTATGGGGTACAAGCGACTGCGCTCGGTTGGGAAGCACATGTGAGGACTATGTCGCAAATAATCCGTCAGCCTTCACCGATGCATACTGGCAGATCCGATCGCTCAAAACTTATCAACGGTCGAAAGCGTAGTTTATCCAGGATGTATTGGCTACAAACAAAACATGGATGTGACTCGTGAAGCTGTCTTTATAGGTGTACAATACTGCTAGACTAGATGTAGTTATTCTCTTAACATCTACTATACGGGGGAACAAAATAACGCGCGGGCGGAAAGCATCAGTCCATGAGGGCAGCGATCTAGTTGCTTGTGATGGGGTGTTTATTGTACAAGACGTGGTACAAGATAAATGAGCTATTCTTCCTATTAAGATACTAAAGAGACAGGGAGTCCTAGTAGAAAACCAGAGACCTAATTTCATCTTCACAATCACGCCGTGTGTGTCTAGCTTGCAGTCCGTCAAGCCATAGACGCATGCTCGGTTTCAGTGACGGATTTCCAGCCCCATTGTGCATGAGATAAAATCTGCAATACTCGCAAAATACAGTGATCCACGGCTAAAAGCTGAGAGGGTTCACGCCCACCCAGTCTTCCGTTTCCTTTCATTCTAGCCCATTCCTCACTGGCAGGGAAAATAATCATTTCACCCGCTTCTGGACTTACATTCTCGTATAAAACCTGTCGGGGTAGGAGTAATTGAACGTCATTTGTTAGTGGGGCATGACACGGGACAATGCTCGTTGGCGGGTAGGAGCATTTGAAAAGGCTGACAAGGCGTTGGCCGTGCCACCCATCCGGCGCGGTGCGATAGGCTCCCTCGGTTGCTGTGTATGTATCGGTCAGCCACTGTCGTTTTGCCTTGCATAATAATACACCTGTTTGCAAAACTTCTGCCCGCATTTTATACTTTTTGAATGTTTTTCTCAGATATACGGCTAGTCCCGAAGAGGAAATAGAGTACGATTGGTGAAAGGTCTTATTTGAATGAATTGAGCTGGTTGGGCTCTTCTTGATTATTCTTCTTGGTTATTCTTAATTGATTATTTTGTTGTGTGCTCCGCGGGAGTTTTACCCCGATCTAGTCACATGATTCTGGTCCACCAACGCCCATATTATTTATCCGATATTCGGCTAATACCGAATAGGAAAGTAGACACTATTCTTGAAAGATGCTTAAAATGATTGTTTTTGATGGTTTCTTGATTATATTGATCAACATATTGTAGTGGAGGAATTCGGGGGATTGGCACGTGACATTTGTATGGATAGCTATTATCTTAGGTCCTCGTTCGAAGAGGTAATAGACAATCAACAACCTTCTCACAGACCACAGGACGCAGTTGCGTAAAGGGCATGTTGTCTTTTCTCCTGCCAGGAACTTGTGGGCTCGGGGCCCACAACTTCTGAACTGTCTAAGATTGTCTCCTTGACCTACTCCTTCGGAGTTCTACCATTTCACTCTCATTCAATATGATCATTCTTGTGATTATTATGGATCATTAGGTTGCTTCTTCTGCTAGGTGTAGGGGAGTTTGTTTTACCCCTCTTTTATGACCTTGTTTACGTCACTATTACCACCAACTTATTTGACATTATTTGACATTATATCATAGCCTAAGCCATTAACTAGTTAGTTAGTTACCCGTAATTAAAGTGGGCGCCGCGCCTCTGTATTCCATATAAGATGACACTTTTAATATCTCAACAATAAAGCACCTAGAGGGCTTAAAATTTAATATGCAGTATAATATAATACTGTATATATATATATTAAGCAGAGAAATTTCCGGAATGAATATTTCTCCAGGTAAAATAAATTACAGCTGTATTTTTTATATTTTTAGTTGCCCTAGTATTTAAAGCTAAGTAAAAACATGAAAATATAAAAACACCCTTTTAGAGTTCATATTGAATGAGAGGGAAATGGTAGAACTCCGAAAGAGTAGGTCAAGGAGACACTCTTAGACAGTTCAGAAGCCGTGGACCAGTATCTGACGACCGAATCCTTTAGTTGAACACCTCGATGAGAATATAGGGAACCGCTTAGTAGGCTCAGTTGGTTGAGATACTGTGATTCCTGGTGTTTCCACTGAATGACATCTACTTCCTAGTTAGGCTAGTTGGCCTGTAGCTGATAGAATAGCTCCCTGCGCATCACTTCCCCTGAATTTCACAACACCCCCAATATAGACTGCGTCCCATCACCCACCTAGGCCCGTAAGCAGTGTGCAACTTTATTTATCAACACTTCGCTGATATTTTCTTTCTTTTTCTCCATGCAAATTTGTACTGTACCTACTGTGCGTCGAATAAATTACGCCTAAATTTGTCGATGTCTAAATTTGATCTCTATTCGCACACATCAACATACATAAGGCCGAAGAATTTTATTGACAACTTTTATTGGAAGTATAATCAGAACCAATGGCCCAAAGACGTTTGGTGATTGCTGTTAGCGGGGACTTTCGTTCCATTGATAAGAAGTATACTCATGGTATGTCTTGTGCTACACAAAAAGTGGTATTTGCCATCTATACTCTGGCTTCTAACATGTTATACTTATCTAGAAGAGTTGGGTAAAATTATTCAAAGCATTGGGGCAGACTACAGAAAGCATATAAGCAACATCTGCACTCATTTGATAATAACACAGAAGGCAAAAACCAAAGGGGGGGGAACGGAGAAGTGTATGTCTTTCTATCAGCTTCATAGATATCAAGCCACGCTTGAGGGGCATTGCAATAGACTACTGACGGTCGGAGATGTAGATAAGATGACCCAAAAAGATGGCTCCAGTTGTCAGGTTGTTGGATTTCAATGGCTTATGGATCTAGTTGAGAATAAGAGAAGATCTCATCCTGTAGAAACAGATAGGACTACAAAAAAAACCGTGAACCAAAATAAACGAAGCAAAGAAGCTAATATTTTGGACTCGAAGTGTAAGCAAAATATCTCCTAACTCTAGTAACATGTGCCTAACTGTGAACAAATACCAACAGCCACTATCTATTATGCTTATCTAGAAAAAAAGGCAGGAAGAAGAACCTATTTCTACAGAGTCCAAGCGCTGAAAAAGAAAGAAGACAAGTTCGTGATCCGCATGCAAGATGGGCTGAAAGGGGAAAGGGGTAGAGCTGCCGAGCTAATTTTCAAAAAAGAGGAAGATGCGACGTCCTTATGCAGAGAAAAGTTCAAGGAACTAAAGGAAGCCAAATATGAGTACATACCGGAAAGCGACAGGGCTGTAGACATGTCTTTTTAGAAAGTCCCTTTCCTGATTTTTGGATAAAAGACTATACTCTGAAATGTGCGAATTTAGATAACCTACAGTTCCATGCCAAACAGCGTTCCAAAATGAATAGATGATTTCATTAGCCCCGAACTCTTTGTTAGGACGTAGGGCCCTAACATACATACCTCTTATGTAAAGAGCTGGGACCCGCTTGACTTCTCGGGCCTATGGTCCCTGTAGTCTCTTGTCGACAGTACCACTGCACTAAAAAGATTCCATGACACCAGCTCAGGCCTGGCACTATCGGTCAGCTAAATACGCGTATGGGCTAGTGTCACTGATCTATGGATTACGATCCGTCGATACAGTATTGAAAAGGAAGGTCTCTAGCTATCTGAATCTATTTAGGAGAACAAATGAACAAAGTCAGACCGAGGGGATGCTAAATGAATAATAAGTACTAATATTAGCCCACTTTCGTCGACACATCCCTATTGTCCCCATTGTCCTTATTGTCTTCCTGGCTCGAATATGTTGGAAGTATGAAGGAGTCTGGGATTCAGAGGGTACGGAGGCACCCGCGAACTATTGCATCTCTGTAAGCAAGAATGAATGGACAAATAATAATATAGGTTTGGATTGGCTACAAAATTAAATATTTATACAGCACCACGTACAGTTGGGGGATATCGTCTATTAATTTTAGACCGGCACAGCAGCTGCACCACTGTAGAGTTTAACAAATTATGTACAGATAGAAGCAAAGCCTCATCAAGTAGAATTAATAGACAGTTAAAGTCACCCATTCACCATTCCCTGGTTGTAGGTAATTTGCGCGGCTTTCTCTTGTTTCTGAGCTGCAGATGGCCTTTGCAATTCATATATGTACTTGCAGGACTCCTTTATATATTAGGTTCAGTATTTCCGTGTCAGGGGCTGAAGTTCTAAACCCGTAGACCCTATGGGATAGGTTATGTACAAAAAGGAATCGTTGAAGAAGGGAATACAGTAAAGGAAGAGGAAAATGAGCAATAAACAAACAACGTGTGGAGTCACGTGACATAGATCGAGGGCCAATGGGCCAAAAGGGCCAAAAGGGTTGGTTGTCGGTAGGGACAATAGGAACAACAGGGATAATAGGGACATCGGCCCGAGAGGTCAAACGGGCTCCAGCCCTTTACATTCACCTAGATAAGTAGCATGCTTGTAGCCTAGTGGTAAAACACTGCCTCTGTTCCCTCTAGAGAGACTGGGTTCGATTCCCAGTAGGCGGCTTTGACGTGACACATGAAGTCCCTGCCCAATCCCATGGAGGACCTCTAGAAACCTTTAACTATTTTATACATATTTTAATATAAACCCAATAAACTAATAACTTCCTACTCTAGTAAACAATATCACAGCTACCTGCCGTAAGGGGATTTTCATACCGGATTTAAATTTAGTCATATTTTCGTGGGAAATCTGGTTATGCTTCTCTATGTACAGCCGATAATAATTATAATTCATACCTCGACCCCTCGCCTAAGGCGATAAGCAGGATACCCCTATCACTACTCTGGGTGACGGCGATACATTAAGAAAGTGATCATCGTCCACATTATCCAGGATATAGACCAAGTCTGTGTGTCTCTCGTCAAGGAACCATTGGTATACTAATTTAAATGTGTTGGCCGTCGGATCCTTCCGGCCGCTATTCTCGCTCGGTCTGCAATTTCCCAAAAACTCTGCTCACTCAAAGCGATCCATGTTACTTGCATAGATCCAGAAGACCCATGTTGTTGGCGAACGGTCTCGCACTCGGTAAGCATATTCGATGGCGAGTTGTGACTTCCTTCCAAGCTGTTACAGTAGCAGTGAACGCGTTATGCACAACCTGCACTTACCCAACACCCCCAAGGCTGACCAGCGCAACTCTAGGCACCAGTGACCTGCATTTCCGATCCATCTGCTTAAGGAGTTCTCCATGATCAACAAATTATGGGTCGGGACGCAACAGGACAGTGGATGGTGGGTTTGGCGGTGTTTCAGGCCGTACTGCGGAAGGAAGCTGTCAGAAGCGTATTTTTGCCCAGTATTGATTATTAATATGGATTCACCGGGCGCGAGAAACTGGGCTGTGACTGATCCGTAGTTGGAACCCGTCTGAAGTCTATAGCTGTTATCGCCGCCGAAATATGACTGAGATGCATAGGCAGTCTTAATAACATATCTGTACTCCTCTACTCACTGGCTTTTCTCTTGCCTGGTGAAAAGGACCTTCTTTGGTTGTTGCTATAGGTATAGGTAGCTTTTTATGTGGCCGAGAGCTTGATGAGTATAACCCACAGCTCCCTGGAAAACAAAATTCAAATCCGCTTGGGTTCAATATTCCATGAATGAGGAAAATTGTAGATCTCCTATACTACACTCTTCCAAGTCACATAACGATGGGGAAGCCCATCGTCATCGATTGAAATGTGTTATAATCATTTGCTCAGGGAAGGAATGGGTGGCAGAAGAACACTGTACCAGCTATACGCTGGTAGCCTACTAGGGAGAATAACAATAATAAATGTATTGACTGCTGACGCAACCAACGCGCTCACCAACGTGCTCTACATATTATAATACTCTTTCTGGTTTCAAATTCTTATCTCTATCTCTTCGAGAATGACTATACATACATGTAATAACCCCGTCTCTTTCCCTTCCGCTCTTTTTGAAGCTCAAGTGGCTGGACAGCGTGCATGTCATTCAATTTTACATAATAAAGCACAAGAGTAGACTAATATAGATAACTCTAGCAGTCTTCTCTAAAGAAACAGCATCAAGGTAGACGAATCAAGTCGCCACCCGTCGCACCGCCTCCCCCTACTTTTTGCAGTAGGGGTCGGCTACATATCTCAACGCAAAAATCTATTTTTTACTACTTTTGAAGCTATTCCCGCCACCACAATCATGGAATCAACATATAAAGGATAATATTATTCAAAAGGCCGTACATGAATACAATATAAAAAAATGTGAGATATTAGTTAACTAAGTTAACTAGTTAAGTAGTAATGTTGATTATTCAGCACCTTTCTCAGTCAAATCTTCTTGAATCTTGATGATACAACCTCATCAGATCGCGTATATTTCCTATATGAGTTAGCTTACATTCCCGTTTGTTTACCCCGCCCTTATAAAGGCGAGATGTTTTGGTAGTTTAGTTGAATCAGAGACCTAATTCAATGAAGGATCGATACTTGCGAATACATGTAATTTTATGGTCGACACATATGTACTATATGGCGTTTCTCCCGTAAATAATTTGGCAAGTATACAGCCTATGCTCCAAGCATGGACAGAGAAACTCCAACCTAGATTCAGAAATATTTCTGGGTGTTGTAAATCGAGGCTCGACCGAGTAATCTATAGAGCTTCATGGAAGGAACAAATTCCGTATGGAATCAGATTGATTGGAAATCAATCTAATACTCATCTTGTATATAAACCCTCAAGTTTACGATGAGAATAGAACAATCAATCTTCCTCTGAATCACAACAGGTTATAGCCCGGAGCAAAATACCTCTCGGCTAATGTCTCTAGTTGCTCAGAGTCTTTCAATATTACGCACCTCTATCTGTACACATCACGCGACAAATATTTCGTGTATGTGCAGTGTATGGTTTGAGGTACATGTCATCATGCGGATTCCCCACACTTCATGCGTCGCAATCTTAATATGTCTGGCAGTCCTCAGATATGTTTACCATGTACAAATATTGGTACTCACGGAATTGAAGTAAAGTGGTCCCCTTCCTGTTTTCGAGCCTATTATTTCCCTTCTCTGACCGGTAATTTTCATTGAAACAGGTTTAGTTCTAAAAGTACTTATAAAGTAGATGATCTTTATGGGTATCAAATGTTTTTCTGCTGCGGAAATATAAACATCATAGCTTTTGTGTACTGTACTATACATGTAGGTATGTGGCCTGCTTCTATTCTGCTTATATTTCAAACACCCACCCCACATCAAGCATAAACCCGGAAGGAAGAAAACGCCTGGCAAGACAATGGAAAAAGAAGAAACCGCAGCAGCTGAAAAAGGGTATTGATCCAAGTAATCAGATAAGCAAATCATGAAAATAATAGTTGTCAAATATTCAGGTGGGTACTAGTATCCCCCAGGTCCAAAACCGTAGTATGGGGCCCCCGTCCCGCTATGAGGAAGCTGTGAGCCATTAACAAATGTGTTCGTAATCGATGCCAGATATGCTTTGGATCCCAGACGTTCCTTCAGTCCTTTTACTATCAGGCCCTATTATGTTTCAGCAAGCCCATCCTCGTTACATAACAATCGGGCACTACACTTACAGTGATGATTTTGTCGCACATGGAACTCGCCTGAGACTTGAGCAGATACCAAACAGACTCTGCTTCGGGATCTAGATTCATTCCGACTGAGAGATATTGTGCAGTTGTAGGTGGAACTTCCCAGGGTGTTTCCGGCTGTCCAACGGATGGTGGTTGCAACCGTTCATCCGGCCTATTTTGTTGGGAATTGGAGGAATTGAAATGAGAGTAAGGCTGGTGCGAATGATTTTTTGCACCGAATAGACTAGAGCCAGCAGATCCTGCGAGACCCAATGCTTGGACTCCCCCATCCCGCGACCTGATGCTTGAACCAGGACCGCAGTCCACAACTTGCCCATTCGTTGAAGGATATAGTACTTCCTCGGAATCTCGAGGGCTGTCAGCGTTGTCGCGAGCTCGTGTTGTTGTGGGCTCCTCCACTGGAGTGGAAACCTCCGCCTGTCCCTGGCCGGCTGTTGCCGTCACTAATCTCGGATCGAAGCCGTTCTCCATTGGCGATTACTTTGAATAGAGAACCGAGAACCTTGCCGAGATATCCAGATCGGATATCTTCATATCGCCTAGCTATATATGCTTATGCCCCTCATCCCCTTAGCCGGTTCTTGTTTAAAGACCCGCCTATAGACAGGGGTTCGGTGCCGACTACTGCATGAATATTTTTAGTAGTGGGATGGAGACTTTTCTTAAAATATATCTAAAAACCGGGGCTATCTCCACTAGGACATACTAAAGTCTAGATAGCTAAGTTAACCGGTAAATGGGATGCGCTGGAATAGTCCAATAATGCGCGGTATATATTAAGGATACGACCAGCTAAGGTGGAGATGTTTAGTTCCGTGCCTAAGGGAAAGGGCCATTGGCACAAGGGCATACTGTATAGCTCATATTGACTTGCCAATCAGCAACGCATGTATGACTATTGTGCCTAGTTGTAGGGGTGGAGGAAAGGGAGGCATCCTTACGGATTTGATGGAGATATTTCGTTCCGACAATCACATCTAACGCGAAGGTGTAAAGTAGAGACCAGGCCATTTATTTTGGCTTGTACTGAGGCATTTTCTGTCGATATCTACTTTGTATACTAATGTAAATGGCCACGATCGACAGAACTTATCTTAGAGTATTAGGGAAGGCATATATGAACCTCATGTTGAAAGCCTTGTATTTAGTTCCTCATTTATATGCTGTTGGGGAACGAGCCGGATATTTTCCACGATACATAGCAACCAGACATAATTAGTCCGATAAAATGAAGACTCATTTAACCATCCTTATATAGCCATGTATATTTAATATGGTCGTCAATGCAGTCTATCGCCAAACTCCATGGCGCCTCAAAGATCGACAGTATTTTGCTTTCAGCTTCAAGACATCCTTGCATGCAGAGCATTGTTTGAGGCTCCTGGTTCTGGGCAAGACGGGCAACGTGGTGGTTACATCATTTAGTCTCAATCAGAATGGAGGCATATACCGAAATAGCATATCTTAAGTTTTTATTTTTAGCCAACAGCTCTGTAAAGCCGGTGTTCTATATTTAGCGTATTATGTGCTTCACAAGGGAGTCCGATTAATAGACTCTATAAATGGCCGTCCCAGATGTAAATTTTATCTACAGGTCTTACAAAATGGGCCGTAAGAAAATACTAATCAAGCGAATCCCATCCAAACGAGACCGAGACAGTACCTTCAGAAAGCGATATCCCGGATTGACGAAGAAGGCATATGAACTAGGGGTCCTTTGTGATCAAGATATATTCCTCTTCGTGCGCAACCGCACAACGGGAAGGGTTCGCATGTATGCCTCTACAGACGAGCGTTTTATCCCAGAGTATAGTAAAATTAGCCGAGGAGATAGGCAGGGACCATCCGATATGAAATTATACTACCAAAACATACGGCCGAATTCGCACGATTGGCAGCCCACCCCTCTCAAAGTAGCACTACAGCTCGCAGTTCCAAAATTACTCGACGATAGTAGCCGGTGTTATCAAATTTTCAACAGCCTTTCGGGGACAAGATAAGCAGCCAACGCTCATGTTGGATATGCGCAAAATGTGCAGAAATTTAGTACTTTTGCAGAATATATATGGCGGTATATTCCGAGACAAACCCTCATAGGATGTGTGATATTTCTGTTAAAATGTGTTACGAAAACACTATAATCCGTTCGACTTGGCGGTGCGGAGTATCTGACGATCGATTCAACCCCTGAATCCTTTAGATAGTTGAACATCTCAATGAGAATATAGGGAACCGCTTAGTAGGCTCAGTTGGTTGAGATACTGCGGTTCCTGGTGTTTCCACTGAATGACATCTACTTCCTAATTAGGCTAGTTGGCTGTTGGCCTGTAGCTGATAGAATAGCTCCCTGCGCACTTCTTCCCCTGAAGCTCACAACAGCTTGACTTGCTGAAATCGTTTTAATCCCATGAATCTTCGAGGAATGTGAATCGCTCCTTGTTAGTCCTCCAGTAATATTCATCACTAGGAGATGTATGAACTCCCATATAGATCAGGGTTGCAAGAAAGATCTTAATCTTTAAAGCTGTAGTTTCATGCCATTCTCGCCCCGATTGGTCCACACGCATTCTTAGCCTTTGCGTATATGTTGGTAATATCCACTCCAGACGGTAATTGAACTTTAGGAGAGGAAGGTTCAGCCATTTTAAGAGGTCTCAAAGTGATGATCAGATACGATCAGAAGATGATTCATTCTTGTGTCTCCTCTCCATGATATGATCTACTCTACCCGACTACATACAGAGGTGTTAGCTGCATGGGCTAACCCGAAAGGGGAAGCGGTGGACGACACATCTTGATAATGCGACATCTTATGAAGCATTTGTGTAAGATTTGGCTTTGTTTCTTCCTTTTTAGAAACAGGAGAAAGAGGAGGAGAAGTAGAGACACTAGATAGGGTTACAGAGAAGCTATAGAATAGAGGCTCTTCGGCCTCTTCAAGAGGCAAACCCCATAAATCCGTGGTATATGGGGATGCGTGGATATGCGTGGCTGGGCGCGTTCTAGTTAATGTAGAATAATGGTGCGTGAGAATTGGGGGGTTCGGAGAACCTCATAACTGAGTATACTGACCTCGCTTTATCTGTATCAGTGGCGGTTCCGACTTCCGCCGGTGGGTGGTCGGCAGCGTAAAGGAATTTTCAGCGTAAAAGAAGAAAATGAAGCAATTCGCATTATTACCACTAAACACCTGTAGAATCAATAAAATAAAGTTGATCGCCCGACTCCTCTGCCAATACTGCATTTGAATCTGTGGTTTTATTTTCTATATAGGGCGCTGGCGGGGGGTGACCGTACGCCTTCAAATACGCCTTCTTCGCCGCTTTCTTATTCTTTTCATCATCTTTGGCCTTCCTGTCCGCGATAGACCGATTCGCATCCTTTACACGTACTATGCCACTATCCCCGAGGCGTTGAACCTCTCGCTTAGTCTTTTTGCGCCTTCGGGATGCTTGCGCGCCCTCAATTCGCTCGAGAGTTGAATTCATGACGGCAAGCTGTTCGGATTGAAGTTTTTGCTGATGAAATAAGCGCGCTCAACGCGAGGACTGATCGGTGTATCGCTATTTAGGAGTTTAAATAGCTTCTTCTGATTCTTTTCAACTTGCTGAGCGCTTTTTGGAGGCGTATTCTGCGATACGTGCGAAGATCGGGTGCAGAGATCTCTGGCAGCGGTGGTAAAGCATTTTGAATAGCTTCAATAATTAAAGATCCATCTGTATGGAAGATACCGCGTTCTTTAAAGGAGTTGCGAATAAGGTGTGGATTAAAGGTCTTCTCACGTACGGCAACAATATCGCGTAGAAAATTCGCTATATCTCCCGGAACTCCACACCACTGCGCGATGAGGATATTCGCACTGCGAAAATGCGTTTTATATGTGAGAAAGGGCTTTCCATCAAGCGGTTGGCAGAGATGAGTTGTATGAGGCGGGAAGCAAAAGGGGAGGATCTTATAAGTCTCGCAAAGTTGAAGAAATTCAACCGTTTTATGAGCTGTATGGCTGTCGAAGATAAGTACGCGTTTTTCTCCTCTTTTTGTACGATCTTTGGTCTCCTCGTGAAATTTTTGAAGCCATTCAAGTATGATTTCATTGTTTATATAGCCTTTATCGGTAACTGCAGTATAGTAATTGGGAATCACTTTATTATACTAGGCCTCTATAAATTTCTTTCCTTTGAAGATAAAAAGCGGGGTCATAATCCAGCCATCTGCAGTAATATTTTTTGCATGCTCGGCTTTAGGAAGATCAGGAACTCTCCCCTTTGTACCAAGCACTTTTTGAGGCTTTCCACCGCCTGGTTGAAAGCCGCATTCATTAAAATTATACACGAGGCGAGCGGAGATATCTTTAAGCAAGTTAGCAAGCTGATTATACCAGAACCGAAGCTGTCCGACATCCTCTGCATCCAAGCGCTTCTTCTCCGTCCTTTGAATCACAGGGCCCAATTTAAGGTCAGGAGGAAGCCTTTTAGCGAAGCGATACGCCCACGATCGGCTGATGCTCTGTGTAGGATCAACGCGCTGTACGGTAAGGTTTGCCCATTCTAAAAGCAATGAGATAGTTTGGTACATTTCGAGCCGTTCGAGGCTTTCTTTGATTATGGATGCGGCCGTGTAGTGTGCGACAAGGAACCCCGAATTCTCGCGCGATCTTTGTGATATTGGTTTTTTTTTTTTTTTTTTTTTTTTTTTTTTTTTCGAGATGAGCGGCTTCAACGGCTTCATTTACGCGCATATCTGAAATTTCGGACGATTTAGGCATCTTTTTTGGTTTGTATAGCTTCAAAAACGTAGGAAGTTGATTTTCTTCCTTTAAGCTGAAAATTCCTTTACGCTGCCGACCACCACTGATAACGCCGAATTTGGTGCTGGTTATCTGGAGTTTGCTCACTGTCATGTAGCAAATTTCACGCAATGAAGGATGAAAAATAAAGTCAAGCCGCTCCGCTAGCGTTCCTGAGGGCTGAGGCGGCTATGCTCTGGAGAGATCTTATATTTATCAATTTACTTATCCAAACAGATCTTCTGGCTCCCAGGAATAGTTGAAATGAGTTATCGAATTTATGGTTTTGAAAATTCCCCATGTCTAATTTACTGTACTGTAGGGCATGTCTACGGGCAAAATATAGTTTGTCCGCATCCAAAAATAGTTCACTGGTGCAGGAAACCCCCTTGGCTATTGGGCCTGTGGCAGGTATAAAGGCCGCCCTGCTCTTTTTTCTCTCAACATTTCGGTCCATTTTCGACTACCCCTATTTGATTTCTCTTGGCGATGTTTCCCGACGATGTGCCACAAGAGAGCTATTTGAAACCTTTCATTTTACGGCAGACACCCAACTCCGTAGGAGTATGGCCTTTCTTTTCGATCTACGTGGGCTCTAACCCCAAGCCTTTCAGTATGAGCTTGGACACGGGCAGTTCTATAACGTGCAAAAGACTACTGGGTCATTAGGACTGATCTTGACGCTAATTAATATTAGATGGCTTTATTCTTCGCTATACCCAGATTGATTCGTCACGGTCGCAATACATACGACCCGACAGCCAATGTTCTATCCAGTAGCCTAAACACTGGCGTCAATTATGGAGATGGCCTCGTCGTTGGTTTTGACAGAGTGTATCTTGACAAGTTGAAACTAGGCGACACTACCCAAGGAGACCAGATGGTATTTAGAGCCTCATCTATTGTGGGTCAAAGTGGTATAGCCCGGAGCATTCTTATGGAAGGTATATTTGCATTGAAGCCTCGCTATGATGCAGATTGTAAGTGCGTACTTCTTTAGAAATGCCTTTCATTTTCAATGTGCTGAAAGGGTGGCTAATGAAGGACATATAGCAAACTGTCATACCGTTTGGGCGAAACTAGCAACCGATCTGCCCGAGCCTGTTTTCGTGGCCAATTTGAGGTTCAACGACAGAGGCAAATACGTTTTCGGCAAAATCCCTTACGAAAAAAAGGACGTAAAGTTTTGGGAAGATGATATTGAGAAAGATTTTTGGAGACTTCCAGTTACATCATATTCAATCGGCGGAATCGAGAACGGCAGAGAAGAAGCAGCAAAAAAGACAGATTTCAAGGCCATAGTCGACACTGGTGCCAGCTCCCTTCATCTTCCATCTGACATTGTACAGAATTACTATGCCAAAGTACCAGGTCATATTCAACAAAGTGGACAGCATCTTGTTCCATCCGGCCAGGTGCTTCCGGATCTCGTCCTCTACATTGGTGAAGAATCTTATCCAGTTAGAATTCCAGGGAAATTCCTCCAACCTCAAAGACCTGTCAACGAGCTTTGTGAGTTAACTGTATCTAAGCCCCTAAATGAGACAAATACTAATACCCCCTTCCATAAGTCTGTCTGGGTAGGCTCGAGGAGAGTACGAATCCTCACGGCCATATCTTAGGTCACCAATTCTTTTTTGCTCAAAATGTCATTTTCAAAGGTATTGATGTCCTTTCTGTGGGCCTGGTGAAGAAAGGCGCCGAGGAATGTTATTAAAGGGCTCTGTGCTATTTGAAAAATACAGCAGGTACGGTAGCTCTAGCAGGTGAATTCATCTTCCGTAATTTTTCTTGGACACATACATGACAAGAATACGTTTCATGAAGAGGCTCGAAGTAAATTGAGTTGGGACTGTAGGGGCATTATTCTACAGAGACTCACACCCATTATGTATGTATACTATTTATACAGGGTCTCCATATCAGTTATGTAGATCTCGTCGCCCGAGTAGGTGGAGCCCGTAAGTTGACAATGCAAAGTCCATTTTCGAAACCATGCAGAGATGACAGTATGCTAGCGTGGGCTATTCTTTATTCGTTCTACCTAATTCAAATGACTATACTATCGCAAGAAGTAACTTCTGCCTGTTCCTTAACCAAAGGCTGATGTCGTGTATGAACCGCCGAGCAGCACCTACTTTCAGGGTATGCTTGACGAAGAAACCTGGGTCCCTATCTTCATAAGTTTGCGAAAGATTGAGGCAATTATCGAGAGTCACACCCCAGACGGTCACTTAGACCATGCCATGGGAGTGGTAGAGGGTAGTAGCAGCTCATCGAACTTTCCAAGTCTGGTATTTGCTTTATTTGCATTGCTTTGGAAAATTCCAGTTTCCTCGGATCGCTAATACAATCACGAGACATAACGTCGTATTTGATTAGAGTAAGGTCAAAGTATTAGTACTGACACAGGAGTATTGATGGCTATTCGTAATAGGCAAAGTGTGGTTTTGGCATGGGGGCTGGAAAGACCCATATCTGGAAGTACTGTATCTTCCAAAAATATTACTATTGCTTACTTTGTATCTCGTATTCTGTGTACTTGGTGCATATAGTACAGTACATATTTACAGGGCCTTCAGATGTATTGTGAGGGAATTCATAGGAAAAGCTAAACTTAAAAACTTGAGTCACCAACAAGGCATTCACCTCAACTAACGAGCGAAGGCCAACATGACCGAAGAAGAGCTCTATATGGCGCCGGGACATTGGAGCTTCTTCTAGAACAAATTAAGCAGAGAATGTTATGCAATTCTGCCTGCTTTTCTGAACCCGCACTTACAGTGTCACCTCACATGGCTGCGGAAACCGTAAACTACTCAGTATTATGATGGCCATCCCCAAAATATCAGTGTAACCCAGCCCCACCTATGGTGGAGATCCCGGTCCCAGTCTGTTAATAAACGCTGTAGTAATGGTTCGTGGAAATGATGGGTAAAATGTTCAACGAGTTCAGCTACCTTTTTTCCTGGCTTAAATTGCAGTATTAGCCGATTCCAGCTACACAAATCAACACTCATGAAACCACTAATATGTCAATTGAACCTGCGATCAACAGCACTATGTTAAATTAAATCTTCTAAACGCCATGTGCGCCAACGCCAAAGCAGGTATTTGCTAAATTATCTCATAAATAGGGATTGCTTTCTTCACATTCTCGACCCAGCGCCGAATGTCTTCTACGAAACGTCGAGCAATACCTATCTTTATGCCCTTTCCGATAAAGAATTCCGGATCTTGATCCTTGTAGACCTGCTCAAGATCAAGACCATTGTCGATCAACATGTCACAAATCTCTCAAAATGCAGCCTTGAGAGTGTCATCAGTGACATTTGACACCTGCCATTCAGCATATTCCTTGAACGCTTCATCCCTAGGTCCAGGGATCTCAAGCGGGCCTGGAGATTGCATGGACTAGACCAAAAAGCACTAGGGGCCAAAACAAGATCTTCCTCCGTGTCCTTTGACACCTCTTGATTGCTGACTGTAACACACCACTCTACAAGGTAGTGTATACAGGTCGGCGGGTCCTTGTCGTATACTCTTCCTTCTTCCCATTCAGACAACTGGAGCAGCCTAGGAATATCTGACCATGACTGATCTTCTAGCACAACAGACGGGGAGGGACTGTAGTTGAACCGTGTCGCATTGGGACTACCGAAATATCCAGGTGTTGGATCGTACTATGAGTAGTTTTCCCATGTTGCAGGATCTTCGGGCTGGCAGATGAAATCGTCATGATACAGTACGCCTTATGCGTTACTATCACTTAATGTTTATGGAAATCAGAACAAACACACTATGTACAGGGACCATCTCTACTCAGTCAGAAATTACTACAGTATTACTGTGGTTCCTTTCAATAAAGACTTTATAATTTTCCCATCCTCCCAACAACCCCGCAAAAGCTTACAACACATATACTGTACGTATAACCAACAAAGGCTCAATCTATACGTTAGTCACTCGCCCGGAGGAAGAAATTACCTTAGACGAAGTTTTGTGCCTTGCCCTAAACAATTCGCCAAGTACGTCGGAGAATAGCATCCAAACGAACCAAATGAAGAGGGCACACGGGACACCAAAAACACATGGATATGACACTAGCATATGCGCCAAAGAAATGAGGACCCCTAAATTCCTACGGGTGATGGTATTTAAACCTATGGGTATTAGGGGTAGAATTGTTAAATCGGAACCTCTAAAATTATAGCACGGATCCGGTGGATTAAAAATAAATGATTCAAATATAGTCAACGATAATATTCCAGGCCATAATCCCAGAAATGGTTTGTCACCCCACTGTACTAAATATGGAGTTCTTGTGCACACAGTCTTGTGGGAAATGGATATATAGAATAGGGGACAAGCTATTCTAGTTCATAAATATTGGAGTAGCACAAAACTTGCCCCCAAATGGCCGGATTGACAGCCTGGACTTTGCGAAGGAAAAGGCCATTAGCCTGCAAACACCTGCGTAGACTTTCCTCTCATAGAAATACGAATCTTGGGCGGCGGGGCTACCTAAGGCGACGAAGACCACATCGCTTTTCCTTAGATACAACAGCACCATCAAGGCGAGCCGCGCGCACGGAACAGGCAGTCACGTTGGTCGGCCTGAGGAGCTCCTTACCGATACTCGATGGGGATTCCCTCGAATTTCTGGTACAATACTCTCGCAGTGGCTCTAGAAATAGAAAAATTCAACTATTGGGCAATGCACACGTCCGTAAGTAGCTTCAAGTGGGTTCTTACTTGAGAATATGCTAGTAACATATACAAGGACACGTTCTGTTCATGGCTGCCAGTCGCATAACCCGCACTCTGACGGCGTACCCAATTGCTATACTTGCAAGCGCGCCAATCCACTCTACGGCAGCAAAGTTTATGAGAATAGTGGGGAACCCACCTCCCTGGGCAGCGGGTACTATTCGAACTCTGCTTCAGCGTGCCCAAGAAGCTGTTGTTTCCAGATATCTCTAAATATGGAACTACAGGCTATATACAGAACTCACTATTAGTGTAGGCATAAATTGAAGGCACGAACATTCTAGGAAGTGGTATTTTCAGAGAAAGTTTTGCAGAAAATAGAATGGGGCGGAAATGGCTGGAAAAGCGCGAAGAAGAGGAAAAGAACACTCACTAATTCTATCTAAGGCATATAGTATTTGGATGTTGGGGGTATGTCTGTCTAGTGTATATATAGTAGATAATTGCATGTACGAAGTAAAGGCTTAATTCATTATATAATGGCTTACGTATATACAGTACGGTGTGACATAAAAAAACCCTTGCTACTCTTGTATGCTACCCTTGTCAGCCTTCAAGGATGCCTCTTCAAATGTAAAAAACCTTCATGCACCCATTTCATTGTTGTCTGTGGTTCGGATAGCCCACCAGTGCTATATTTAGAAATACTATACTTAGGTACTGCTGGCTTAGCAACCTGAGCTACTTTGGCGAGTATGCACTTCGTCGAATATATTCCACCTGAACCACCAAACTAATTCTTTGGAAATCGTAGGAGTGCTAACACCAGGACCATGCTGGGAGAGACAAAAATTATAATCACTTACCGTGGGCGGATTGTGAGAGAAACCGTCATCAAGCATGAACATGCCTCTGCTACTTCAAAATACAACAAGACAAATGAGAAATCCGAACTTTTCCAATTTTGTTCCTCGCACGATCCATGCGAGATATGATTATATGATACATCTGAAAAGCAAAATGCCTAAAATCATCAGCATAAGTCGACGTTCAGGATTTGTCTACATAGAGGACTTTAGCATCATTCCGTGCCTTTTCGCAAAATGTCTGACGTATAACTATGCTCTAGAGGGAGAAAATTTTCTCAAAAAGGCGAGACATCATTGAAATTAATCTAGTCATAGCCACTTCCGTAAGGGAGTATGTTTTGAGGCTATAATAAAAGTTATGTCATGTAAAACTCACACGCCATTTGACCGTCGTAAGCCATGTACCATAAATATAATGGAATCACTTAGTATGGTAGTAGTCAGTCGAGAACGCTCAAGGAGCGTGTAGAAGGTAGCTTTTAAAGATGTTCAAGCTATCGAAAATCTTATCGAGTGGCAGGTATAGCGATCTGACATTAACCTGTGATGGGCAAAAATTCAACGTTCATAAAGCTATCGTGTGCTCTCAGTCACCAGTCCTTGCTGCAGCTTGCAATGGGAATTTCCAAGTGGGTGCTCCCATAGGTGGTCTCGAGAGGTGTATGCTAATTCCACTCTAGGAAAGCATCACAAACACTATTCATGTAAAGTTTAAGTCTGAGACAGTGAACCAAATGGTCGAGTTTTTATACAATCAAGACTATACAGCAGATAAAAGCCATGCTACCACCCACGGTCAGTCTACCAGCACAGCAAGTATCTCCTATGCTCATATCACGTCCAATTTGATGGTACTTGGATAGAAAGAATAAGAGAAATAAACCAGGATAGGGGGACAGGGGCAAAATAAGACATAATTTTCGGGCTTAAGGATCAATTCTCAGAGCATTTCCAGAGCTGACGCCAAAATACAGCCGCAAATGTGCTTCTACAACATGTGCGTGTTAACGCCATTGCCGATTACTACAGAATCACTCCGCTATGCCATCTAGCCACTTTGAAGCTCCGTGCGGCCTTTCAGTCCAAATGGTCGACAGAAACGTTTTCCGCCGTGGTGCAAGAGGCAGTCGGTATTACCGGGGACTTATCTCTCCAAGATATGCTGGCATCGACAGCAGCTGGTCATATCGAAGAGCTCTTGTCTTCAGAGACGTTTATTAATCTGGAGACTTTGCATGGTCTTCCGATCAGTATTCTCCAAGCAGTCCTTGCAAGCCATCAGGGCCGACTAGAGACTCTTGGCAATGAGATACGGGAGTTGTCTTTGGAGATAGGTGCTAAAGAGCATCTAATTAAAACCCTTCGGGCTCGACAAGACTCTGAAACTGCAAGAGCCAATCGAGTGATCCAAAATATAAATCACTGCATTTCCACTTTGAACCGAACGCAATTTTGTGAGCGCTGCCATGGTGATGTTGGCTGCTATATTACACGCACGGGTAGGATTGACGAGCCTACATACGCCCTTCGCTGTTCCAACTGCCGATACAGGTACAGGGAGTGATAAGGCCCTCAATATCTGGATTGTTAAAGAATAGATATGGTTAGGGAATATAATGGTTATAATTAAGTTGTTGTAAACTGGAGTGAATCTCTATATAGAGTCTAGAATGCCATTCTGCGCCTTGACCCCCATATTTCTGTAGGCTTGTGTTACCATGCGGCATATTCTAGGAGCTAGAAGTCACAGATAAATAATGTCTTTAGGGAGCTGTTTTTAGGTTGCCTTCAGAAGATTCATCTTCCCGTGCTGATATGAATACAAGAAAAAAAAACTATACTTTTCTCCCGTTTTGGTAATTAGAAAGAGGAAAGTGTCGTCATCTAGCTAGGCTCAAAAATCTGTTTCATATGAATAAGTTTTCACCAATGAATATATAATCCGTGTCGTACCCTGCTACATAAGAGGAAACACAGGCGGGTCCCAGTCTTTCATACCTATTTTGCAAATAGACTTCTAAAATATGTACAAATCGCAGGCTTGTTCTATTCATGAAAGGAAGCCATTCCAGAGAGGGGATAGGAATAAACCCCTTCCACCAATCCCCTCTGAATCACACCTGACATTCGGCACGGCTGCCTTCCCTATATGCACCACCGAAGTACCGATATACAGTCCACCATCTACTCGAAACAAAGCAGGCAATCAGACTCTGGAAACTGCTTATACCGACATAAAAAGGCATTCTAGCACACCTTGGCTGTCATGGTTGAACTGGCCTGCAAGGAGCACCGCCCCGAAGGAGACAGAGTTACGTACATTTTGCGACAAGTCCTCTTGACACGCCTATACAGGTGTCAGCGTGCTTCAGGAGAATGATTTTGAAGGCATTCAACTTTGTTGATTCATGTTAGTGTCTGGTGCTCTTTTGTGGAGTATGCTTTTCTGGAGTGCAAGATGGCTGCGGGCGCTGCATATGCTAAGCTTTTGGGGCACATAGTGTGACTTTCTTGTTTACGCCATGATTAGGTACCAACAGTACTCTATACAGTATGTTATATTCGGAGACTATAAAGCCGAAGATTAGGTCGCCATAGGTAAAAATTCTCCTATTTGATAGTAACGGCTGCTGTCGGGTAAATAACATATATATATCAAGCAAAAAGGATAAGTCATATTCATACTGACGATAGTATTTTAACTTGATAGTATCGTGGCGTGAAATAAATCAATTAACCGAGATACCATGTAGAGGCTTGGGAAGATGATGAAGATTTTGGACGTAGATATTAAATGTCTAGCAAGATATCAAATTTGGGAGACCTGAAGGGGCAGACCACGCTCAGCATGCTGTATCAATAGTCCATTATTTTAATGTTTAAGACTGGATAATTTTCGCCCATTTGCCCCCTCACAGGGAGTTATTCCTTGCAGTCAATTATAAAAAGTATATTAATTTGCTTGGCACAGGCAGTTTTCAATGAGAATTAAACAGTAATCCAAGCTCCACAGCCATTTTTATTCTTTCATTCTTGAAATAGCACTCATTTTAGACTCATGGGGTGGGAGCGGTGAGCGCCTGATTAGTTACCCATACCTCATGCTCATCGTATTTTTGCCCTGCCCCCGCCCTCCCTTTGTTACAGCGCGCGTGATCCAATATTCCTAAAGGAGTAACGTCGGCATGGTCACATCCTAAAACAGCTTAGATTTGACTATGAAAACTAGATAAGCAGATTCCTGGATCAGGTCCAAAATTTACCAAATTCTATCCTTTCTCCCGCGCTATCCACTGCACTTATGAATTTTGTGATCCAATATACTGTATAGATGCGCTGAGACTTCTTTTACTAGCGGATAAAATATGGTACTGCTACAGTGATGTTGTGGCGTTGGTTTGAGTCGCGATATACTTAATGGCTCAGACCAATTGAAAAGTTATCACATTCTGGACGTACCTAACAGACCCTAACAGACTAACATTAACCTATCTTGCTAGATTATTAAAACAAAAAAAATTGTGCATGTATGTAGACAACATACGCCACTTCCTATACTTGACTCGCTTCACAGTGTCCAGTATAAGCCTCGCAAGATTAATATCATCATCCCATGAAGTTCCAACGATAATAATTAGCCAGGGTTTAGCTTTTTTAACAGCCTTATGATTATAAAAATCCTCTTTATTTGCTTCGGAAAGAAAAATGTGGGTTAACTCTCTCCACTCGCGGCTTTGAATAGTGTCGTCTGTTTTGGACCACCGCTCCCGAGTAACAGGCATCTCCTCTGTGCAAGTGCCTGGTTTATAATCATTTGGTGTTGGTACCCCCATGGCGTATACCTGAATTTTTTCAGATTGCTTCAGCTCCTCAAATAGCTCCCCGGGCTTATCCTTGGAAGGGATTAAAAATGAAATAAACGGTCGTTGACGATACTCAAAGTATTCCCCGTTAGAATTTACTCCTTTGGTATGTTCATATGGTTGAAGACCATCAATTAAAAGTCCTCTATTATGAAGCTCTAACAAATCAGGAATAAGGTTTTTTATTTCCTCCTCAAATGGTCCAACACGGTATGGCGTGGAGGAAATAGCTCCTTGAAGGAATTGTTTGTTTAGTTTAAGTAGCTTATCAAAATTGTCGGCTTTCTCCCATTTTCTGTCATTTTTGTCTAGTTCTGCCTTTTTCAGCTTCTTGTCCGGGGTTAGCATTGTTGAAGAATTGATTGAATCTTGTCTGTTGTAGTTGGACAGATATCCTTTTAAATATCCGTTATATGCTAGTAACTAAAAATATCTAGTAAAACAAAATCTATTAGTTCAAACCAATAAACAGGACTCTCTTGGAGATATAAATAGACAGCTGCTGGGGTATATACGTGAATTAATATAGCTTCTAAATTGAAAAGCTGCCAGGTAAATATGTAGCGCTGCTAAAATTATGCACCCCCGTCAACCTACTACAGTATATCCGCTCGCGGATTTGTTACTTTGAGTTTAGATCCATAAAAGGCTGTCAAACCTCAGATAATGAATACTGTACATACTCAATTGACATATCCAGAAGTGGGAGACTATTATCAGTATTATCTACAGCCTTAGAGGTCTTACTTCGGCACCGCTTCCGTCATACCTGCTTAGTTTGAGCTACAGGCTGCGTGGTACAGTAGATACAGTACCTCTTTTTCTACCTTATTATCAGATTCCAGTCCACATACAGTAATATTTCAGGAGCTCGATATTCCAATAGCATTATATAACTGCCGTGAGGTCCTGACCCGGTCCTAGCCTCACCAAGGTTAGAAAGTAATATTGCTTCCCTGGGACGCATGAGTCGTGAGAGATAGATAGTCTGCCTGGATAAAAACTTCTTGCAGGGTACTGAGGATGCGCATTCCTTGTAGTTGTGGAACTCAGGGGAAGTGATGCGCAGGGAGCTATTCTATCAGCTACAGGCCAACTATGTAGAGCTTGGAAGCCAATTCAAATTCGAGTGTACCAAACGCTGTTACTACTAAAAGTAAAGGTCGGGTACCACGATGCTTCCCCTCTTGTAAAGAAAAGTTAACGATATTATGATCAAATACTGCCCGAACCCAGCCGCTGCACTTGAGGAATTCTCCGCGTTCAGAGCCAAGGATGGTCCCTTCTTTAAAACACGTGTTGGGAACACATAAATCACCCGGAACTATCCTGGAAGATACAGGTGAGCATATAAGCATATTAACCGGGATAAGGGTTTTGCTAATAATTTACTAGCGATCTGGCTCTTTGACTGTTAAACACGACAGCCAATTCAGTAGCCTGTGAACAGGCTTCCTCGGTACAGGATTTCCAGATTACTAAACCAGGAATCGAGTCTCTGTTGAGCATGGGGATAAGTTAATCGTTATCCACATTAATAGCCGGGCGTTAGCGAAACTTGCACACAACCAACCAAGTATAGAGGAGGTCTAAATGCAGGAAATCCACGCAGAAAATAACCTAATGGAGACCTGGAGCCGTGGCAGGTCAGTTCTGGAGTCGAGAGATCACTAAAATTGAGGATACTGACCTCGAAGTGCAGTTGCGTAAAGGGAATGTACCAGGAAGTTGTGAGCCCCGAGCCCACAACTTCTAATATTGTGAAACTAAGTCATATTGGATAGTTCTGCTAGTAGAAAATGAGAAATTTTTATTTCCAAGGAGTGTGGCCTTGAACGCTTGCCGTACCCTCCACCCAAAATCAAGTGCATGCCGGTACAGGAAACGGGACGTGACTTTAAAGTTACCACCCGAAAGGCGGTGGGGCACTGGAAGGCACGGATAAAGAGGATGGGAACCCCTTCCCAAAGGCTTGGCACGGGATAGGAGTCAAATTTAATTCCGCCTTGGATTATGGGACAGGACTTGAACCTTTCCGGGATCCCGAATCCCTCCCTACGGTCAGCCAAGTTATGTGATCTAAAATAAGACCAAAATCTAGCTACGGCCCCGAAAATCTGACTGCAGGGAATATTGTATAGCAGCGTGATTGGTTGACCGGTAAGGAAGATAGGCCCCTATTGTCAAAAGACAGGTTCAATTACATAACTATACACTGTTCATCATTATCCAAAGCAGGCAACAAAATAAGAATATATAGTAGAAATGTAACATCCCAGATTTATCTTCCAACCCCTCCGCTACACCATAGCTACTTGGATACTTGTTCTCGTTCAAGTTGGTACGCTGGCGGGAGCTGGCTTTCGAACAGCAATGCAAGTTGGCTGGCGTGACTCCCCCAGTGCGAACCCGCGTCCACAACAGCAAGTCGCAAAAGGTCTTTAAACTCCTTGCTTTGTGCTTCGGACTGAAACTCCCATGGCCGGGCTACCCTCCAAATGGCCATGACACAAGCTTGTGCGTCCTCCGGGCTTGCATGCAGCCAGTGCCGAGCAGCGCATAAAAAGTCCTGGAATGCATGCCTGGGCCCATGGGCTTCCAGCCGACGGGAGAGCTCGTCGTGATACCAGACGGTTGGTGGGCTACTTCGGAGTCCGCGGGTGGCAACGGCCATCATATTCTGATGAGCTCGCTCTTCCCGAAGCTCGTCCAGAAAATCTGACGAGCGGTACCGGTCGCCGCCATATCCATCCTGATCAACACCTAGCTCACAGGCAACCTTGAGCAGGGAGCGTCGCAGCGAAGCAAAAGGCCTCTGTTCCGAGCTGTAGACTGACGACACTGCGGCTGTGCCCACCTCGTGCCAATGCTGTTGCAGGTCGGTCTGGAACTGGTAGAGAGCTCTGTTAGCGAGGGCGGGAATGCTTAGTCTCACACTGAACCTGTACATATCTACATCGAAGGCGACACGGTCAAGGGGCGTTGTGTGTGATTGATAGGTGTAGCGCTGCGACGTGAGAAATTCCCAGAAACACAGCACCACCGTAGATTTCTCGGGTAGCACTAGAGGTTGGATTCCACTTTTCTTTGCCGGGTTAGGGCATTATTCGCGTTGTCCAGTCAAAAGGTTGACTTACCACTTTGGCCGCGAGGAAGCTTGAACAGTTGCATAGTTGGTCTCGACCGAAGAAGAGCATTTCGGGCCGGCCTTTGCTCTGAAAAGTAACCTTTACAACATCCTTTCGAGTACTAGGAGACACCATACAGGAGATACCGCATACCTTAAAGCGAGGTGTCGTATTAGGCTAGCAGTTGAGTTATCACCTTACAGTTTGGCCAAGGTGCTTTAATATAAGGCGAATTCTATTTTCGCTTCTGCTGCCAGGAATAGACCTCGATAGCCGGATATCGGTACCTTATTTCATTTCTCTTCCTCTCATTTCTTTTACTGTGCAGCCGCACTTGAAATATCCTTCTATGCTTTGTACATAAAAGGCTTTAAACTAGAACTGTACTCCTCCAAACGGAAATTTATCTAATCAAGTTGTATTTTGACAGTACCAAAACTACATCCCACCTAAGCATATTGTCACTTCTACAAATGGCCACACTCTCAACTCTATCCATCCCATAATGGCAAGGCATCCAGAATCTTCGCAGCATAAGACGATCGTCCATATGTTAGCGGAAAGCTGACTACATCACAAATTGCTGAAGTTGCCAATTACAGGCTTGGCATGTCAAGGGTTGAACCCAGTGTATTGCTCAGGCATGGCCTTCACTCCTATATAGGGCGCTAGATGCGACTGATCGAAGATCAGTGTCGTCTTGTACGGTTGTACCTTTTTATATGGTCAAGTGGTTTTATCATCTCTACTAGCGCAGAGACAACCAAACCATCAAATGCAATGGTTAATCCGTCCACTATCGATTTGATTACAGTAATTTTGTGTAAGATTTGTATTTTAGCCTTACCTGCTGTAGAAAGGAATATTTATCGCCAACTTCCTCTGGGGAAATCGTCAATTCCTAGGGATATTAGGCACTTATCCAGGTATCTTTTATATGATATGCAATCACTAATGCCCAAATCTGTAGCCTCAATATCAGCAGTCTCATTAATTAAAATCTCGTGCGCCCTTTTATAAGCCAGTTGGTATATCCCTAATCTGGGGTTAGGTGACACTTGTAAGGTGTCGGTCAGCTGAATACGCGTATGAGCTAGTGTCACCGATCGTATAAGAATATGGGTCTGGATTGAAAAGGATAAGGTCTGTTGAGGTCTCTAAGGTCTCTGACTATCTGAATCCAGGCTGGTTTTCCATACAGGTATTGCTAAGCCTGTCAATCCATACTTTAGTATGGATTAGTATGGAATGGATGGAATACTTGTCCATACTTTTACATACCCCATTGACTTTATCGTACTATTATTCAACCCTATTTAACTCAGCCAGTTTTGAAGATCTTCTTGTAAAATTTAATTAACATTTAAATCTTATAGTTATCTACGAACTGCTAAATTATTATCACATTTGGACTAAATTTGGAAACATGAGGTTCAAAAACCAAAATTTCAGTAACAGACATGTAATGCCAAGAACTATTAACGATTGCTTGTATTATCGTAACCAGCCTACAAAGTAATGCCAAGCATTGCGGTCGGGTATGGAATAGGTATTAGTATGGACCGTCCATAATAATCCATACCGAGTATGGATGGAAACAGGTATTAGTGTATGGAAAACCAGCCTGTCTGAATCTATCTGGGAGAATTGAATATAATGTGAAAAAAACAAAGGAATAAAGTCGGACCGAGCGATGCTGAATAATGGGTAATATTGGCCCACTTTGGTTGACATAAGGTATTGTTCCGATAAGCAGGAATTAGTTAGGTCGGATTTACTTTTTTACACTCTGCCCTAAATTCGGAACCTGACACAATAGTCCAGATCCGGACATCACGTGAAATATATGTACCCAATAACTCTCATAGAGGGGTTTGGCAGAACATCCTTCTGAATACAATCACTTCAGACCCCCCAATAAATCGAAAAAACCTCCAAGAGGCTTAGATGAAATGATAGCTTCATGAGCAGAGGCTCCGTCCACCCCAGCATGCTTGTTTTTCAAACGTTCAGACTGGTTCTGCAGTTATTCATGTACTACTCGTCTACTCTGCAGCAAATAAAATAAGCTGGCGGGTTCTGTACTATGTATTGATTCTCAAATTCGCTCTTTGATTACTTTAAATCGCAAGGATATATATTTCCGATTATGTTAATGTAAACTCCACACAATTTCCTGATAACTTTTCAGCAACAACAAAAGCAAATCTAGAACTTGAGAATAAGTTAGAGCAAAGCGCCCCCAGCCCTGCCGCTCTGATATTTTTCCATGTGGTCGATCGATGGCTCTTCCTCGGTCCGGTGTCCTTTCTGCTCCTTCTCTCCTTGAGGACTCTTTGCGCTTCAAATTTTGAGCCTCTCTTTCGCGCACTGCAACGATAGCCTCATACGCCATGACCTTAGTACGACCAACGACAGTCAATTTCGAGGATTGTCGACTAGTTTTCTTGTTGTTTTGTTCAAAAAATGCCGTTTTTCTCAGCAAATGCTTTCTTGACTGCACTGAGCATCTTTTGAAGGCGAAGCCTGGACTGATTATTCAACCCATGCATGTCTTGTTCGATTTTTCTGCGTAATAACACGAGGTCCTTACAAGTAACAATTGAGCTTAGAGACTCTTTAGACTCCGTGAATGTCAATCTATTCGCGTCATTAGTGCCAGTTTCTAAGGCATTAGGGGAACTCTAGATAGTCTGAAGGACCTTATCAAGGTTAAAAGGCAATACCCCCGACTTAGACTAGCCTACTAGGATATTTCTATTACTAAACACTTGGTGGCGTGCCCTGCTATATAGGTAAGTGAAATGTTTCTTACCGACGAAAGACACAGCTTCCATCCAGCAAGATCTTCGGGCTGAGGATTGAATACGTGCTGGATCCATTATTGGTTGATAATGTTGTCCGTGTATCCAGAGCTGGAGCAGGCAAAGTGCCAGCCAGGGTGAGTGGTCCATGAGCTACGGTGTGTGGCGGTTGGCCAGATGATTATCGGGTCGAGATACCTACCGTCGACAGAGATGCATTCGATCGCGGTGATCATGGTATATTTTGCACCCGCTCCGCAAGCTTTTCCAAGCCATCTCTTCCTACGATGACGGCCAGGGAGTTCAGCACACTTAGCAGAACTCCTGTTTCGTCCATGTTATACACACTCATGGGATCGATAGTTGAATCGTGGAGTTCTGGGCCAATGACATGAAACCATTCAACGACTTTATCATAAATATGAAGGCCATATCGTTTCCAACCTAATGCCTTCGTTCTTCTTGCCGTTACTTCCGGGTGAAGTGTCAGGAAGCCTTGGTGCCAACTGTGCCCTGGCTGTCGGGTCTCGATGTCAGTTGAATGAAGTTGAAAGATTGATGAACGTTGGCGTATTATGAGCCAGGAAAATGACCGTAAAGCCTTGACAGGAAGGGGTAACCATTTTTAGCCATGCGCAGTACCTAATCTGCTAAGGCATTTTCCTCTGGTGTAGTGAGGTACATTTGACTTGCCGCCTTGTCCTCCTTGGAGGGCCGCCCGTGTGCGCGATACTATAGTGTAGTAAGAGCGACATTGCTACAGCTAGACTTTTCTGAGTAAGTTATGTACTCTGTAGGGTCACTAAACTCTGCGAGTGAGACTGTGGCTGGATCTGCACTATATTTCATACATAAAGCTGCGGACCGTGGTTACGGTGCGCGCTCAAAACAAGGGATATCTTTTGGAATGCAGACCTGGACCCTGGTGTTGATCTGGATAAACGTGTGACTGTATTCCTTGTCGGTGCAGTACTATTATATTTAGGGCAGGACTAGAAAATTATAAATCCCAACAGCACTAGAGTCAGTTGACCACGACCTGTGGCCTCCTCGGTTCAAGCAATGGCCAAAAATTTGTTAACTTCTGCATGGGAGAATACGTAATACACTAAGAATGAGAGTATAGGTTGTTGTGAAGTTTGTCGGCTCTATAATATTCCCTGCGGGCGTTTCAATAATTATGGTATAAGCTTACTCTAATACGCTCCTGTTTCATTTTAATGCGGAAACACAATCACTGGATAATCGGATTCCATTAACCCTCACAACATATATCTTGAAAACACTACAGTATTGACTTCCGTAAATACTAACGTAACTGCTGGTTTGGTACCCGCCTTGACATTGCCTGTTTGTAACTAATCGCATCCGATTATCCGAAAACCCTGACCGCTCAGTTTCAGTACATTATCGTATACCTTCTGACGAATCGAAGGCGTACACCTTCACGTCTGATGCTCTTGGTCGGAATGGTGATGAATAACGAATACCGAACCAGGCTCCCTTGGATAGGTTTTTACAGGCAATTGAGCGAGTAGCCCTCAGCCGCCCATTTTCCGAGACCAAAGGAACGATACCAGTCGATTGCAAAGGATCGTAGGTACTGTCTTCATTAACCAATTACGCTAAGTCTTTCCCAGAGGAAGTAGCGACAGTGTACCCATAGGTACAGTGCCCTAGATAGAATTAGATAGTTACATTTCAATGTATTATTATTTATAAGATTGTCGGTACTACAGTAGCCCATATGCGTATTCAGCCGGCCGACATTAATATTAATAGTCTCTGATGATTTTTTAGGTAGATGTTCAATGATCGCCTTTATAAGTGTTATAGCCAAGCTCAGGATCTTAACTATTCCACCGGACTAAAAGATCACTACAGTATATCTGATCCCAGTGGGATAAGATATTCCTGGGCACCTTATAGAGTAGAGCACTGTAATATTAGGTAATGCACCACACCTAACAATAAGCGACAACTCATTGCGCTTACCCCTCTTTATTACCTGATCTTGCCCAATACAGAGAGCTCATCCCATGTGGTAAAGTAACCTCCATTACTGGGGATCCGGAAACCGGTGTCACCACCTATACTCTTTCACGCTTTCCCAAACCCGAGTTCCAAGCAGCGGTGGCTCTAAGTGCTTAACCGACTTTCTTTGGTTAAACTTTGGTGAACTTTGTAGACACACATCGTGAAATTGCAATCTTACATCAATTAGTGTATAGTGACCAATCTTGTTAGGAATTATATAACTATGTGAGCTACTATATGTATTAGTCCTGGGTATGTCAGCCGTCAATGTACGATCATATGACCCGGGGATGATCCGTAACCAACCTGATCTAGGGTGATCGGAAGTGACTGTAGTCCTTCAGTTATTACATTATACCCATCTGGAGGGCCGTTCCGTATAAATGTGAGAGTGTGCTCGAATACTGTAATTTAAGTGCAATAAACATCGCAATTTATCGTCTTGTTGTTTGGAATATCCCTTCAAAAGCCGATATCCAGCGAACATAAAGTTAATTTCTGGCCTCTTACTCCATCCCTCCGGTAAGAATGCAAGTCTAAACTGTGAACAAGATGAAACAACTTTGACCTGATTCCTTAGCCTGCACTCTGATAACTCCAACCACTCCTTGATACGGACCGGAGAGATGTACCCAACCAGGCTTACATTGAAGCCGTTCTGCGGCATGAATATTCAGCCGGATATCGGTAGCAGGTCTCCGTCTAACCGTGATATGGCCCCGTCCGAAGCAAAAACATACTTGTCTTTGTTCTACAGAAGGGAATTCGGAGCAAGAGGAAAAAATTCTATGCAGCAACTAGAAGACAGAAGCCAATATTAGATGAGCAGTAAAGATGGGTCTTTGAACCGCCCGGGATGGCATATAGCAACTGAGAACCTATAGCTAAAGAGGCTCCCACAACAGACAATTTACATTGCCAAAATTCACCTTCCATAAGTAGCAAGAAAGAAGACTCATAAACCAAAAGTGCTATAGTTCTGCAATAGATCTGTGGTGCCGGAGTACAGGCCCAGCAAGTAGACATTATGCAAGGCTATATATAATTTCTAGCACCGCCAAGAACAGCACGCAAACAGCGGAACAGTTCTCTGTAGAGGCATATAATGAGAGCTTTAGTTAGGACACCTGATTTGAAAATCCATGCTCCAAACATTCAGAACTGTTGGGTCGTTCATCCAAATAAGTGTTCCCACTGATTAAAGTACGAAGCGTGGAGTGGATGTTGAATCTGTCAAATAATATGGTCATAGTTACGTGGACAGCATCATTGTTGTGAGAAGTATACCATTGGTTAGCGCCTTGGCGCCAGTTGCGTCATCACCGGCTCCTTTAACCTGAGTCGGATACATGGTTAAGCAAGTATGTACTGTACGCAAGTCCTGTGCGAGAGAGACAGCGAGATACTGTAACCCGGAAATGACACAGCAGACCGCCTAGCCAAAGAAGCAGTTGGCCCAGTTAAAACACATCCTTTTCAACATCTCCTTTCGCGGTGTTGTACATCGGGGCTCGACCAAGTAAACTATAGAGCTTCATATACGGAATAAATTCGGTACTGAATCAGATTGATTAGAAATCAATCTGATACTCATCTTGTATATAAACCCTCCAGTTTACGATGAGAATAGAATAATTCAATCTTCCTCCGAATCACAACATGCAGGAAAAGGGATTCATTCGCAACAAGGTTCAAAGAGAATGGGGAATAAGAATGGAGAACCTCTAACAAAGGAAGGCATATCCGGTGGATTGACGGGAGTCTACCTCCAATCCACAATCGAAGAATGTACGGCTCTTTCCCACGGAACCGAGCCTACCTGCTCATGGCTAGCAACACTTTCGGGAAGACGATAGGTGCGAATGCGGGAATAACGAAACAGTGGTTCATATCCTAGTCGACTGCCCAAAATTAAAGGACCTGCAACAGGAACTACGGAGGAAAATTGGAACTTCCTTTAATAATGTTTCAGATATGCTGGGAGGAGGAAAACTAAAAGATAAGGAGGGGAGGTTGCAGTGTTGGGCTTTGCAGAGGCATCACAGAGGTTTCGAGCCGCGTGCCATGAGGGCCGCAGAACAGAGCACCAGGCACTTAGGCCACCACAGGCCCAGACGAGGCTCCAAATTCGTCGTTAAGTAATGGATCACTGTATATAGACTAGCGATACACGTAGTAGGGTCTTGAATATCACCGAAGGCGAAGGGACAGCGTATGAATACTACTACTAGTAGTGTGTACACCACTGATTAGGTACTAACTTATCAATGCTTCTGGCTATATTAAGCGGAATAGACTGTATCTACTTTTAATTCTTAAAGAATTAGTTTATATATTAGTCTGAACTACTAGTTTATTTATATCCTTTTTACTTAACCTAGCTCTTGTGCCCCACATAACTTCTAATTCTGCACTATTATTGTACGAACCATGGATTCTGATGCAGGTTCATAAAATTTAATGCCTTTTCCTACGCTTGATTTAGTTGATAGTGAGTCAAAAAGTGAAGAGCACCAGCAGCTCAAATGAAATGGGCCCATACTCGTGCGGCTTATGATGGAGAGACGCAATTTAATAATGCTAAAATTTAGTACTGTGTTTATTGTACGGAATCGGCATATGACACCTCTGCTACAACTAATATGCGGAAACATCTTAAATCAAAACATCAAATCTCTATTGATCCTGCACCAAGCCCGTTACAACAAGCGACATTCGACCAACTATTCCAACTTTATCTTAAGGCAAAGTCCTTAGAAACGGCAAGAAATTGATATTCGAAAAATCTCAAGTCAAGATATTATTGATGAGGCACTGGTTTTATTAATTGTTGTACGAAACCTTCCATTCTCTCTTGTTGAATGGCCTGAGTTCCACACCTTTTGTGATGAATCTACTTGGGCGGGTAGATCAACCGGTCAGCTAGGTAAGATAGGAGAAAAGAATATCACTATATCTTATGTAGGACTCCGAAGAAGTAGGGCAACTTAGTTCGGAAGTTGTGGGCTCAGGCCTATAGCTTCCCAATAGGAGAGAAGTCAGCATTCCCTTTACGCAACTGCCCTCCGTGGTCTGCAAGAAGATTGTTAATTGTCTACTCCCTTTTTAACAAGGATTTGTCGACAATTATGGTAATATTGATTATTCAGCACCTTTCTCAGTCAAATGTTGTTGATGATCCAACATCATCGGATCGCGTATATTTCCTATATTAGTTAGTTTGCATTCTTCATTTGTTTACCTCGCCTTTATAAATGCGAGATGTTTTGGTAGTTTAGTTGAATCAGAGACCTAATTTAATGAAGGATCGATACTTGCGAATACGCGTAATTTTATGGTTCACAGGATTTAAGTCTACATATGTTAATTGTAAACAGCTGTAATGCCAAGGACTATTGTCCTAGGAATCTAGGACGGCAGCTACTCATTAACTATGGCGATCGTACCTCCTCACCATAATAATACCAAGGGTCCAAGAGATTATTCGAACTTGTTCGAATAATTCCAATAATTTATCCGGAATTTGAATTATTCATCCGAACTTTATTCATTAATTCTTGCCAAGCCTGAGGTTATGTACAAAACGGAATCGTTGAAGGGAAGAAACAAAGAGGGAAATGAGTGGTAAACAAACAATGTGAAAAAAAAGTCACGTGACACTGATGGGACAATAGGGACAACAGGGACTATAGGCCCGACACTTTTTAGGACCTCAATATCTCAACCCATATTATAGTTATGCTGCTAATAATGAAATACTGCCTAATATATATGTGCTGTAGAAGCTTATATATTTTATTTAGAATTTTTAATATTTTTTCTAGCATGCAATGCAGTATAATTTTAAATACTGTTGAGAATCTCGGGGAAGAAGCTATGTCGTGAGGTGCTAGGATAGCGGTGACTGGATAGTATATTGAAACTATCGGTGCGATCTAGTATCGCATGGTGAGTATCTTCGACTATCTAGGAGAGAGAGCGTAGACAAAACGCTTCCTCATGTCTACGTGTCCCTTAGCCCCTGAATATGATATATCACATCGCTGCGGGACTAGGATATACGAAGGTGCCTTAGGCATCCTGATTTCCAACAAATACAACTGTTCATCCTTTGTAATATAAGGAAATAGAAACTCTATGATGCCCTAGGCTTAGTATCTGCATATATACTATTATATCATTTTATATTATAAATATTAGGCCCTCCTGATATGTTGTTGTTGAGTTATTGATGTCCTAAAAGTGTTGATTTATATGGCGCAATACAAAGGTGTCCGACTCGGTTGCGTGTCCGACTCGCTTTCCGGTTACGTTAGTGGAAGCTGTTATGATCATTCGCTTAGGGGGGAGGTGTTGTGGAATTCAGGGGAAGTGACGCGCAGTGTGTCACGGGCTAGTAGCCGGTTCAACCTATATAATAGATTTGGACTAAAAGAACTCGCTGAAGAGCTTCTATCTGCGGCCGCGGCGGCCGAACAGGTAAATGTGTGTGCGAGGTAAACGAGATCACGTGATTGGGAGAGTTCTACATGGCGGTTCCGACCACCCACCGCCTTCCGACCGCCACTGATATACGGGGCTCGAGCACTTTGCGGGCCTTGCCCGCTACACAGTGAGCTATTCTATCAGCTACAGGCCAACTAGCCTAACTAGGAAGTATATGTCATTCAGTGGAAACACCAGGAATCGCAGTATCTCAACCAGCTGAGCCTACTAAGGGGTTCCCTATATTCTCATTGAGGTGTTCAACTAAAGGATTCGGTCGTCAGATACTCCACACCGCCAAGTCGGGCGGACTATAGTGTTTCCGTAACAGGAGGAATGGGTGGTAAAAGAACACTATACCCGCTACACGCCGGTAGCCTACTAGGGACCTGGAGAATAACAATATCAACTGTATTGACTGCACAGCCAACGCGCTCACTGACGTGCTATATCTCACTAATTACTATCTAAAGGAATAGAGGCTGAGCGCTCGCCAAGGCGCTAGAAGTTATCAGATCCTAAATCCCGGAAATTTCTCTATCAGAAGGCAATGGCTGATCACGCTGTACTGTACCGTCAGGTGAATATAATTTATGTACTGTATCCTCGCGTATCCCTACGTTTCGTATCCTCTATAACTTTTGTCAATGCTCTACTTCACGCACTATGGATTGATTTCCAATTCCCAGGAAATCCCCAGCTAGCGTCATCAGCGCGTACTACCTTCAAAAATAAAATAGGTTCGCGTAGAATGCAAAAGGCCGCTCCTGCTAGCTGATACTATAGCAACCTATTAAGGTCCGCTGCGGACAAGTAATCATGGGTCACTCACTGCAAGGATGCAGAATAAATGCTGAACATCGCTGGACCATTCCATCATCAGGGCCACCATAGAACCGCCAACCACGATGGCCATGATGATGATGACAACAAGACGTTTATCACGCTGCACTTTGCTCTGGCGCAACGTGTACGCGTAGGCAACGCAGTGCAATAGATACGCCATGCAATATCCAGCGATCAGGGCCCGTATAATAATCGCCTGTCCGGCCTCATCAAGAAATCCATACACGCTAGGTTTGATAAGTCGGCATGGCATGTAATAAAGAGGCCGAACGACTCACACTTCGCAACACAACAAGATGATTATGATGCTGGTGCTAAGGATGGCTCTTGGGGGCCAATCTCGAAGCTGGCTCAGAGTGAGGCCGGATGCGTGGGTGTTCTTGGCAGACACGTCCATCGTGGCCGTATCTCCGGATGGGTTCCCATTTCCCTCATTCCCGAGCAAACGTGTGTCTTGTTGAACCCTACACTCTCCCCTGCTTCGATTTATACTATGGTAAAATATAACGCATTCGCAATTCCAGACCTATTTCGTATCAGACAGGCAAGTTGAACTACCTAGCAAAGCGGGCATACTTCAATCCAGCTAAATACAGCGAAGAGGGACCCCGCCAAGACAACGTCTGATGTTAGTAGCACTGAACTAGTGTCTTTAAATAAAAGAGAATAAACCGCATCAGCAAAGCGCTTTAAAGTGGCTATATCGGAACGTACCCCCTCCACGAACAGCTAGCCATGAACTCATCACCATAAACAATGAAGATAAGATCACTGTAGCCCATTTAGAAACCTGGAAGGTAGATGTTGGATCGAGCTGGTTTCGGTTGCAGTGGGACCAAATACACAAGATGCCACAGGTTGCAAAAATTAATACAGATAACACTAAGACTTGTATATAGATACCCATTGAGGTGAACTTCCGTAGGCCCAAACAAAAGACTGATTCCTACAGCATACGTATAACCCCAAGACACGTATTACATATAAACTACATTCTGGCGAACTCGCGTATGGTCTTCTTGCAAACAAATGACGTAGCTTATTCTAAAAGTAGAGCCGGAGATATATATAGAACAGAGAGAACTAAACCAAAAAAAAAAAAAAAAATTTGAGAGAGAAAGAAAGAACCCAAATGCGTGCCACATCACTTTATCTTTACAATAGAACCCCGAGGTTGTGCTTGGACACGTTACGCATCCTAGTGATACTTGGCATTATGGCCTACGCGACGTACGCGTAGTGTAGTGGAGGAACTAGGAAGATTAGCACATAACAGATGTATAGATAACTATTAAGTCTTTGCTATTTGCTAGGTAACTATAAGATCTAAACAGAATACAAGGTTCCATGGAAAAATACCAATAATTGACTGAGTTCTACGGGGTTGAATTTTTGATAAAGTTCATGATCAGGCGGTGGAGTTCTGCCAATTATTCGTATTCGTATTCGGATAAGGATTATTCTTGCCAAGCCTGCATAACGTATCATTTCTGCGGGTTCAGCCCCTGACTCCTGTAAGGGCTGGGGCCCGTTAACTCCTCGGGCCTATTGCCCCTATTGTCCTTCTTGTCCCTAACTCTACGGGCCCTACAAGCCTCGACTTATAGTACAATATGTGACTCTCCTTTTCTGTAGGACTATTGGGACGGGACTGCAACTCGTCCGGGACCCCGAATCCCGTCCCGACGCTCAGCCTATTAGACTCTAGGACGGCCAACTTTAGGGACCTGTTGGCCAATAATTACCACCACAACAGCAATCTGAAATATGTTAGTAGTATCCCAGCGTCATTATTCCTTATTGCGCTTACTAGACTCAGCCCCATATCCTTCTCGGCCTTCACTTCCCACCTCGGCCCGTGCGAAGAGACTGGCCTTTCTTCCACGTCTTGCGGTTTTCCTATCCTATTAATACACGCCATGACCGAATTACCCATCATAATTTTCTGACAGAAGTTTTCCAAATCTTCGGATTGAACAATTAGTTCAGTGTCAAGCCTATCATGACTAAAATTGTGGCGGCTTTTAATGGCCGCATTGCAGAATTTCAAGACAGCCTTGGGTTTATTGGACGCCATGCGAGACTTGGCCTGAAGAATTGTTTTTTGGGACAAAATTACTTCAATTTTGGAAGAATTCCACCATTTAGACTGTAGTTCAAAAAGAGGTTTGCCTTCTTTATAGAAGATCCGTCGGTGATGAAAACTCCACGGTTTCCGAGAAACAGAGAGCACGATAGTTCCCTCTTTGTCCTCTATAATATAGCCACCCGAACAACTTAAATTAGAGATAGTCAAAACATTTTCCTTGTCGATAATCGTGTCCCCTTCAACGAGGGTGGGGGCGATGCGTTCCTGTGAGCGCGTCATATGGTGTGATTATGGACACATATTGTATACACGCGCAGCAGGATCGGAGAATTATATATTACGAGCTTTTGGTTGATTAAGGGCTATTGATGCGTCCCTGAGACCAAAAAAAGAACCTTTTTAAGGCAGTTCACTGGCTACAGTTTGCACGGATGAAGTGTGGAATCTTCTTGACCACCGAACGATCTCTATTGCAAGAAACCGCAGTCACTCTTCTCTTTTCCTGGGGTATTTTGGGACATGGATCGAAGCATAAGGGTATACTATACATAGCCATGTTGACTTTCTGAAACATGAGTCGCTAAAAAAAGTTCACGGGCCAGTAGCTATTGAGCAGTCAAAGTTTCGAATTATAATGGCGCAGTGTAGAAGGGCCATTTCCACCGAAGATATTAAAAAAAAAAAAAAAAAAAAAAACCTTTTCTACCGGTATTGACAGGTTCATATACTAGCAGTTAATCAGGAAATACATCATACTCAGGGCACAGGCAAGAAGAGGTCAATGAGTGGTTTCTCAAGACCATAGACGATCCGCAGGATGGTGTTTTTTGCGGTGCCACCTCTATGTATTTACTACTTGGGCGTGTCAGAAAGGAATAATGACGACATTATTCAAACCAGACAAGCGAGACTGTCACAGCCTACCCAGTCGGGAACACTTCGATCGAGAAAACTGCTGCGCCAGGAGAAAAGGACTAGGAATCAAGGGCAGACTCCTTGAACTGTTCTCGCTTTATATAGGAAGACTGTACCTCGCCGTCACAGAGACAACATAGACAACATCTAGGTCGCCCAGGTACGCCTAGGGAACTATATCACAAAGAATCTTGACTGTCACAGCTCAATCTAGAACAGGATATCTTCATATAACAAATGAATTTATTCCCGCTATCTAGGCAGCTCTTCAACGACAATATCAAACATGGAGAGTAAAGGAAGAAGGTACGGATCAATAACTACACAGTTGCGGGGAAACCAGCGATCACATGATCCAAGGTGACTGTTGGAACTTGGAACATCGGGTTATCCCTCTGCGAGTACAGTACTCGTGGCACTCTCCCCCGTGCTTCATGTCTCAAGCAGGTTACAGGTCGGGTGGCACCGTTCTAGAGGTGAGATGCCGCGCTAGTCAATCACATGACCTATTTTACGGCTTCCGGCAAATACACGGCAGAGTTTTAATTACACGGCGGCTAACCTATACAAAGCCTTTACTAAATTTCATTATTTATTTGACGCAACTTTTCCCGCCGTTCCATAAGTTCTATCTCTTTTTCCTCATTTTCTTGTAATCGGCCACTAATAGATACAATATAAGTGTATCCATTTTGATCAGTTCTAGGGTACTCTGGTAGATCGTCTGCATACTCAATAAATAGCGTTCGAAGTGGATTTGATTTTGCATCTGTTAGTTGAATAAAAGCACTTGGTTGCTAAGTAATACGTAAGCAGTTAGTAAGTACTTAAGAACTAGTTAGATTTCTTACCTCTCCAGTACAATCAGTATTCGATTTGTCTTCAACCTCACCAAAATGTAACGAAGAATCTTCTACATCCATATTAATTTGGTTGGTATAAGCAGTTGATAATTAATTAGCAAGTAGTTAGAGTAGGGAAAATATTCGATGGTAAGAAATATTTATGGAGGGAGAATTGAAATTGAATTTCATCGTCTGTAGTACGGTATTTAAAGGGTGAGGTGCCGCGCCGATTGTGCCAAGACCAGTGGGGCCGGCTGACGGCTTCTGGGAAGCGGCACCTGACCTGTGTACTCCAAACCGCGGAAGCGGTGAGGGCCTGACTTGGGGGCGAGTACTAGGTTAAATAGCGGTCTGCTATTACTGAAGGTAGCAGACCACAGAGGGAGCGACCTCAAGCAGATAGCTTAGGCAAATACATTCCTTCAGAAGACTCAATAGAATTCCCTCAGTCCTCCCCATCTGGGGCCCCCTTCCCATATTCGACTGTTCCTACGGCTCATAGTGTCCTACTACCTCGTCCAGTCCCCTACCTAACCGGCCGTGTGATGAGCGATATTGCACCTCTATAACCTAATAACTAGGGTGGATACAAAAGGAATCGTCGAAGAGGAAAAGAGAAGAGGAAACAGCGATGAGACGATTGTGAAATAAGGGGGGGGGGGGTCACGTGATAGAGTGTACTAATCTGTTCGATATTCGGCTAATACCGAATAGGAAAGTAGACACTATTCTTGAAAGGTGCTTAAAATGATTGTTTTAGATGGTTTCTTGATTATATTGATCAACTTATGATCATTCTTGTGTTTATTATTATGGATCATTAGGTGGCTTCTTCTGCTAGGTGCAGGGGAGTTTGTTTTACCCCTCTTTTATGACCTTGTTTACGTCACTATTACCACCAACTTATTTGACATAATATACTAATCATGTGGCAGGCGAGGAGAAAGGAAACATGAGGGCTGAGGGCCCGAGTAGGCTGAGGGGCTCTAGCCTTACTTCGGATCCCGAATTCCGATGTTTCTCTATCAATATGTTTCTTGAGGCAGATATTTATTGGAATCTCTTAAGTACTATTATTCTCTTATCTTTACCGCTATATTATTACTACTTAGTTAGAGTGGTACAGTAAGCGGTAAAGGGACTTCAGCTAAAAGGTTAGTTTTTAAACTTTTTGTACTAATGGCTTGCCGTATTTTTCTAGCTGACGGCAGAGCTTCACTTCCCTTTTTGAAGCCTTTGAAAGCTGTATCTGCTTCTCTTTTTCTGCTTGAAGATCCCGAGCTTGCTGAATTTTATTGCTAGAATAGAATACTGCATTGACTCCCCAGGAGCCTGTAATTCAAAATGTAAAGGCTTTGCACGTTGGCCTTTTTTTTTTTGTTCATTCTGGAGAGCTTCTGGAGGCCCCTGTTCTGCAGCATAAGCAGGATATTCTATGTAGAAAGATAATGCATCATTCGGCTCAGAATTTTTGTGTTTTGGTCCCGGAAGTCTACAAAAAGTTCTCTGAAAGACTATTCACTCTTTCTCCAATCTTCTGCTTGTATGCATATACAGACTTCGAGGAAGTGCTAGAAGAAGGTCTTTCATCCTCTATCTTGCAAATTCATGCCAATACAACTTCAGGATTAAAAGACCTAACCCAACAGTTCTCCACGTGATTTCAATATTTCTTGCAGATAAGACCTTAGTCCAGCTTGGCCAGAATAGCCTGAAGATATCCCGCTTGGTAATACTGCTTATGCCTTCGGATTCATGTAAAAATACTTCCAATTTACCTCCATAGGCTGCTAAAAGCGGTTCAAAAGATACTAACATCAAGCGGCTGCAAAGAGTGCATAGAATGAAGTGGGTAGTATCTGCTGAAGCCATGCAAATCCTAGCTCATCATTGGTCCAGCCAGAAGGTGAAGATGCAAAGAAATATTGCTGGTTTGTAGCATCAAATCTTGAAGCCAGGAGTCTTGTAGTTTACCAGATACCGCTTGGTATATCAAACCAGGAGAAAGGGGGGTCTAGCCTGCACATATACACGCAACGGGGATATCCACACCTAGGCTGACCGTTGGGACGGGATTCGGGACCCCGGGCGAGTTTCAGTCCCGTCCCATATTCCCATGGGAATTGCATTTTGATTCCCACCCCGTGCCAAGTCTTTTGGAAGGGATTCCCATTCCCACTTACCTTAGCTGTAACGCCGTGATTGCTAAAGCTCTAGCCCTGTGCCGATTTCTTCCGTCCATCCTAAACAGCGGACACACGCATAGGGAGAGGGACCATGGCTTTTTCCTTCCCCATTGTACAGAGCCCCGACAAGAACACTCCAGAAGGTAACAGGCATTGTATAGACGAATATAAGATACTTCTATCATATCTCTACTGCGCTATCGGGGAATATCGTGCTCTATCATGGGCTAAAAATATGCTACATCAGTCCCCTTAACTATTGCTACCCGCCTGCACTTTGCTGCTCGTTATAGTAGAAGCTGACATAGTGTGGCTTTCCATCCAGAATAAATCATTGACTGATCACTACAGTACGTTGGCCGCGCGGTCGTTGTCGAATTCCACCACCAGCATGGCCTGGCGTCTCCTCGTGTATACAGGCTCACGTGCTTTCGCGTATCACGATTCCCCTTGTTGCCAAGGAGCATCCCCTTAACAGGCGATGCGAGCCAAGCTCTAAATTTATCAGGAAACAATAATTTACTGTAAATAGAGACCGGTAGATATTTTAAGGCCAATAGGTATGTCAATCCTTCACACTTGCGTATAAGTAGGGACTGATACGGCATACGCACAACTTTAGCATTGGCATGTATTTTTTCACCACGGTGGTTATTGCTAGTCTCATTGCTAGTCTCATTGCTCAGACTGTGGGGCATAGTATTTTTACACGCGAGCCCCGCTTCCAGACCGTCGTCTACTGGGGACAAAACGGCGGTGGAACTGTCGAAAGTGATGATCTGTCCATGTACTGTACGTCGGACTCAAAAATCGATATTATTGTGTTGGCCTTTTTATATACTTATGGGAATGGTCTTCGAATTGCGTCCGGGACCATAGGGCAATCGTGTGTTATCACACAATCTGGGGAGCCTCAGAACTGTGATTCTCTGGCTGCCGCAATTAAGAAGTGCCAGTCCAATGGTGTCAAGGTGATGCTGTCACTGGGCGGTGCCGCTGGAGCATATTCATTGATGTCTCGAGATGAGGCTGAAACAATTGGTCAAAATTTGTGGGACGCGTATGGCAATTCGAAGAATGGCCGTGTTCCCCGTCCTTTTGGAGATGTTTTTGTAAATGGCTGGGACTTTGATATTGAGAGCTATGCTGGGACCCAGTACTATCCGTATCTAATCAAAAAGTTACGCTCCAATTTTGCCTCAGATAGCTTTAACAACTACTACATAACGGGAGCGCCACAATGCCCCATCCCCGAGCCCTATATGCAAGAGATCTTTACCGAGGCCAAGTTTTCCAGTTTATGGGTTCAGTTCTACAATAATCCCGGCTGTTCCGTCAATTCTGAGATCAACTACAATGGATGGGTCCGCAATATTGCTAACACATCCTCTGCAGATGCTAGAATTTTTATTGGCGTTCCTGCATCCCCGCTTGCAGCCACTGGCAGCTCTCAAGGCTCTGCATACTACCTTGAACCCAATGCCCTTGCGTCGCTTGTAGCGCGATACAAAAATGACGGTAACTTTGGAGGCATTATGACCTGGTCTGCTGGCTTCTCCGATGCAAACAAAGTAAACGGGCATACCTACGTTCAGCATGTTAAGTGTATCCTGGAACAGGGCCAGCCTTGCTTACCCCAATAAATTCTATTTGTAAGCCCACTTTAATGTGGCCGTATACATAAATAACATCTATATCAGAGAACCATGAGTTTACCAGAGGCTACAGTATCAGGCTAATAGTACCGTTTTAATAAGAGTCGCTTACTTTATACATGCCACCCTAACATAACTATTCCTAACATAGTAGTATCATGTGACCAAAAGCTCGGTATTGTCAAATAAGTTGGTGGTAATAGTGACGTAAACAAGGTCATAAAAGAGGGGTAAAACGAACTCCCCTCCACCTAGCAGAAGAAGCAACCTAATGATCCATAATAATAATCACAAAAATGATCATATGTTAATCAATATAATCAAGAACCCATCTAAAGCAATCATTTTAAGCACCTTTTCAAGAATAGTGTCTACCTTCCTATTCGGTATTAGCCGAATATCGGATAGTATTTTGCCGTTTTAATATTAGTTTCCCATGTTGAGAATCTCGGGGAAGAAGCTATGTCGTGAGGTGCTAGGATAGCGGTGACCGGATAGTATATTGAAACTATCGGTGCGATCTAGTATCGCATGGTGAGTATATTCTTTTATCTAGGAGAGAGAGCGTAGACAAATGCTTCCTTATATCTACGTGTCCCTTAGCCCCTGAATGTGATATATCAGATCGCTGCAGGACTAGGATATACGAAGGTGCCTTAGGCATCCTGATTTCCAACATCCCATACAAAATAGGCCATGAGCATTACGATTTTTTTTTTTTTTTTTTTTTTTTTAAGAAAGGGACTATTAGACATTAAATGCAGCATCTTTAAACCAGGTTTGATTAGCCAATTGAAATTCAGAGATTAAAATTCCACTGACACCTGTGTTAGCTCTCCTGATCTCTCTCTTCCTCGGACCCGTCTTGAGGTATCGCTTGGGGCATCGCTGGGGGTATTTCTTGCCTTAATGCCTTGTTCGACCTCTGATTCGATGCCTCGTTCAATGACTTATATACTGTTTAACCACCTCCCTGGTTTGCCGACGCTGCCTTTGCTGCATCACTCTCTCGAATAGTTTGGCCATACTGAGCTATGCGGACTGCACGGTCAACTTGCCCCCAATACGACAGCTGTCGTCCTGCGTGCTCCCTATTTTTACGACCACGAGGCCGTATAATTGCTGGTTTCATGACTAGAGGCCGGGGATATAGTGCTGGCGATGAAAATGATCCATAGAAAGCGATCGTGAGGTCTCCGCATATTCCTGTATTGTATGAATGCAAGGAATTCCTAGTGTTTTGTTCCCCACTCCTGTACAGGATCTGATTCCCAGCTTCCCAGGGCCTGCTGGCAAATATTTCTTGTAAATATGTTCTCCGTTACATATGCACTGGTGCCTGGTGGGAGGGGGAGCCAGAAGGGAAAAATTGGGCATTGCACTATAATTATTCCGGGGTGTCAATGGTCTATTTTAAGACAATGGACAATCTGGACGGACGTGTGTATTTAATAGCGTTCCTCGCAGATTATAGTCATGCAAGTTCCCTTACTTCTACCTTATATACCTGGTAGGCAGCCGAGACATTTCATTGTCAAGTGAGTTAGTCAAGCTATGTTCAGCAAGCCAATATCCGTTGTCCAAAGGCCATCCTACCGTGACCACCCTCGGGTCAAGCAAATCAGATTAGAGGAACGAGTATTCCGAAATTCCTTCTTCTATCAAAAATCCTCCAAAAGTAGGGAGAAAATAGCTAGAGATATAAGCCACAATTGAAAGGTATTATAGAAGACAACTCCCCAAATTTATATTAAAAAGGTAACACTTTGGCAATCTTACAGACTACCCAGTAGTGCATGTCCACTTCTAATAACAGCAAATTAACAAGGGGGCTACGAAAAAAAGCTGGCAAATAAGGAGAAAAAAGGGAGGCATAGATGGCGCTGTTGTGCGTTTTCAGAATATGGAGCAGCAGTTGGGTGATTTAGATTGGGCCATAGGTGTTAATTCGATTGCTTGAGGCCCTACCGCTCTGAGGCATTGGACAATATCCTTCTAGGACTTATAGGGTACCCCTATAGGCTACCTCCAGAAGCCTAAGTAACTGTAAAAGGGCGAAATGCCTTGCTATCTAATGGCTAGATATACTGTACACAAAGAGGAATCGCTGGGAGGAAGAAAGTAAAAGGGGAAGAGGTGAGAAGCGTGCGTTCTCATACTACGAGGGGTCATGTGACTGCAATAAGCGGACCAATCATGTGCGCCGATGGCGGCGAAGGCGAAGCCAAGTCTTTTTGACTGAGCAACGCTGCCGAGCAATACAAGTCGTCGTTCGCCCGTCAACGCGCGAGGAAACTGGCGAGGACGAATGAGCGGGCGCGCAGAGAGTCATATTACTGCAAACGTGCGGGAACAAATCGACGGGCGTAGGAGGAGGTCACATGGGGAGGGACCAGTCCTATATAGTCCTTAAAAGCCTTCAGGCCCCCTAGTCGCGCGCGGAAGACGCGGCAGACAACAGCTGGAATAACAGTAACATCCTGGCCTGGTAGGAGCTGCGACTGGATGTCTGGCTACTGCGGATTCGTTGTCATCGTTAACCAGATCGACGGCTTTCCCAGTTTCCGGGCAATCGCTAGTGAGTCCGTCACCTGGTCGGAGGCCCAGGCGCGAGAACCCATAAAGTTGGCCGGGATCTTATTCCGGAAGAGATAAGGAATTAATGGGTCAGCGGCCTCATCCATCGATGTGGCGTGCGCACGGCGACCCTGCTGCAGGTAGCGCAACCGCTCCTCCTCCGTCCGCTAGAACATATCAACTGCTTACTCGCAGGCGAGACGGCCGAGGATCCGGAACCGTGGTTCAAAGAGGAAGAGGTGGCGGTACCACTGGATCTGCTTTTTAAAATTTCCTATAGTTAATAATGGCTTAGGCTATGACATACTTAGAGTCCAGAAAACAATCGAAGAGTGTTGTGGAATTCAGGGGAAGTGATGCGTAGGGAGCTATTCTATCAGCTGAAGGCCAACTAGCCTAAATAACACATAGACGCCCTTCGGTGGAAACACCAGGAATCACGGTATCTCAACCAACTGAGTCTCTTGCATTCCTATCTAGGTGCTCAACTAACTAAAGGATTGAGGGGTAGAGTGGATCGTCCGCACCGCCAAGTCGGGCGGACTATGCTTTATAGTGTTTCCGTAACAAAGGGTATAAATTGTGGACAGAAGTTTTGCAAACAAGTGTGGCCTCAAATACAGTACTCATTCTAAAGTGTGTCGGTTTACTATGCTACCGGTGTGGGAAAAGAAAACAGTTGAAAAGGAAACGCACGAAAGGAGGAGCTCTGCAAATTAGTGAAGTTTAAATATGAGCCTCTTCAGGAGCAATGAGCTAGCATCTACGGGGCATTCTATGGACCCTTTTGTAGCGTGGTTAAGATACCTAATACCCTAAAGTAAGAAAAAATGACAATACACAAGGAGGCAGAACAATTGTTGGGTTCTCTCATGCAGGCCACGTTTCAGGGCAATAAACCCCCTATGTTGATTGAGGCAAAGTTGAGTACTTAGAAAACTGACAGATGAATGCTGGGTTCCAACGGACGAGCGTCCTAAGTGGCATATAGAAAAGTCTCCTTCACAATCAGAATGCCAATCCGCCTCACTATACTTAAGCTGCTCCAAATGCTACGGCAAAAGTCAGCATAACAAGCAACAACAATATACGGCGAGTTCATTTCATTGGATGCCGGGTAACAAGTATATGGCTCCGTTTTTACCGACAAGAAATAATCGGACCGTTTCTATGCGCACTAGGCCCATCAGCTCCGTGGTAGAATCGTAGGACCCACAGGATAGCGTTGACGAATTCTATAAATGATGCCACCGATTAACATCACGATTACTGTAGCTGGCAGGATCAAAAGTAATATCGTGAGAAAAAAATAGCTACGCTCCGTTGGCAATGGGTGGGACCCATATCTACAATCCCACGACCGAGGTGACTGGTTTCCGCAGAAAGAGCAGCCCACATAGCTTCTTTTGTAGGACGAACAGTTCCAGGTAATCCACGATTTTCCGAAGCACGAGGTCTGCCTCCATCGAACTATGGGTCTCCAGGTGCTGGGCCAACGCACTGAGTGAATAGAAGGCGGGATTGGTGGCACATTCCTGTCCTCTACGGAACAAACAGAGGCCCTCGTTGACGGTTAAGGACCCCAAGTTCTCTCGCATTTCGCGGTGCTGACGTTTGTTCCGACAAAGGGGACACTCTAGATCCGTTGCACCATATAGAGTATTTACTGGGGCACTAACTGGGACCACCTCTGGCTGGGCGTATTGGTGGAGCCAATCAGACATGTCCAGAGTAGTGATATTGCCCAAGCGCCAACCGTCGGCAGTCAGAGCGGGGGATAGAAGGAATCTTGCCATAAAACCAAGGTGGAACGGGGAAGTCAGATGCCACCGAGTGCTTTGGGAGAGACATTGGCTATTTTCCATATGGTGCAGAAAAGCAGACAGGCATGTAAATTGCCTGGAGCAGGCACCGTTGATACAGAGAAGTGCCGCTAAATGCCTGTGCGCTCGAGAGTGTTCGTGGGCAACCCGCGCCTTTTCCGTCATGAATGAGCGGCGGCAGAACGAACAGGCCGCCACCAGTCGTTTCCGATGGCCAAGCGGCGCTTTTTTATGATCCAGGAAGGAGGTTGGGTATCTTTTGAATAATGCAGGTGACGAAAATGTTTGCCCTATTCTGGTGCTCTGTGCGTTCAGAGCGCGCTGATAGGTTGCGATATGTTGATTTGTGTCTATCCCAGGTAGAGCCATCATCCTATGTCTTTGTCGCTTTAGAGCAGCAATAGAATCTGAAGATAAGGTTCTTGTTATCTTCTTTTCTATCCGAGAATAAAATTCCCTTCTATACGTTACTATTCTCAACGTACGTATATTTTTGGATAGTTCTGATGGCTAATAAAGGGCGTCCAAAATAGGGTACTCGGAAATGGACTTCCTAAATCGCAGCAGTGCCATGGAAAGATAACATATATTTATTCCTTCTCGAACGAAATGGCTCAAATCCAAGCGGCTTGGCTACTTCATGGTTGTCTAACATATTGTTTTTTCCGCAACGGAGTAGGCACTTTATCGGTGAAGAGGAATGAGTTGTTTGAGTATCTCTCGCACAGCGCCTATGTAAAGATCCCTTTTTCTTGGAGTATACTGTGCATTCCGAGATGTGCACTGATTTGCTGGGTTGTGGATCGCCTGCTACACGGGACAGGTAAAAAGGTTTGTAACCACAGTCTACCTCCGGCACTCTTGTGCGGACTTGAGTTCTATACAGGCAGCCTTGAAGAAACCGGCATCCCTCCAATTGCCCTAAGAACGTTTAAATCCTTTCTCGTCGAGCAGGTTCGTAGACTGAAACATATTTCTAAATAGATACAGCAACAAAATGAGCCCTGAATATGCGTAGAGTTGTCTCTAGAATGTGCGTATTGCTGGGGGCCTCTCCCATGTTGCTACAGATCTATAAATAGGGTATGTGTGCTGGCTTAAGCATACGGCGAGCCAGGAGATAAATTTAGGTGACCGATCTGAGCAAATCTATATAATATGGGAATAGGGATGTACCTCAGGCTACGCACACATGAAAGATACAATGAATGGTTTTAAATCCAGTATCCTATATCACAGTGATCCGCCAAAGGATGCTGAAGATTTCAGAAATGCCAACAAGGAAGTGAGGGTCGGTTTTATCGACCCCAGCCAGTTCATACAGCACACCCTTTCGCCATGCTACACCTCTTGTACTACTCCAAAGGGCGTCAGATTTCGTGGGAGATCTGAGCATTCTAGTCTAAAGTGAAATTTAGCCAATTTGACTTTCTTTTCCTGAACACTGATCTTTCCATTAAATGTCACGTTTCCCTCCCTAGATTTTTCCTAGAATGTGGCGAAGTCTCTTTCCCATTAAATATTCATCGCATGAATCTTCCATTTGCATATGAAATGCAAAGAAATGCAACGCAATAAGTTTAGGAACTTTCCTGAAGAGCTTATTATGTTAGTTTTAAGGTTCTTTATTATTAAGTAGAGAGCTATGTCGATTTCATTGCCAATACAAGCAATGTACAATACTGTACCGAGCCACTACAATGTCTCGTTATACCGTCACTGAATTTAAACGACTTATGTGCGTTGGTGGTTCGACGAATTCCTGCTAAAAGAACTGGTTGGTAGAACAAGTTGCTGGAGAAGGGCCTCAACCCTAATGTCCTCCCGACTTTATACGATTAGTCACTAAGCTAGGGAAGGAAAGCTTATCGTCAGAGACATATCTAGAGCGGTTGTCAGAAAGCAAGGCCCACTATACAAATGATCAAATTGCATATCTTTGGATTCATCATTTTAACCAGAATACTGCCGGATGCAGGCGGCAAAAAGAGAGATATCGCCTTCTTCTTATGGATAACCATGAGTCTCATCTCAATATGGATTTTGTGCAATTCTGTCAAGATCATAAAATTATTCTGTTACCTCTTCTACCGCATTTAACACACCGATTGCAACCGCTTGATTCAGTTCCCTTTCAACAGCTTAAAGCTTGCCACGCCGATGCAGCTAACGCCATTTCCTATATAAATAGCAAGTAGTACAACAAATTATAATTCCTATATAATTTTAATAACATCCGGAAGAAAGCTTTAACCCCCGTACAATCCACGCCGGCTGGCGGGAGGTAGGCATCCGGCCATGGAATCCCATGCATGTCTTGCAACAGATTGGATACACAACAGAGATGAAGGAGGAACCCTTCAAAATATATGACGTGGACCATATAATTGAGAATTTTGACCAGCTGGATTTGTTAACTACCGAGAGTAGTGACAACAACTACCACTACTGTACCACTACGCCGTACAGAGTACTCCAACGCCACCACTGCAGAATAAAGTGGAAACGCCTAAAACACTGCATTCAACTCGTCATCAAATTACTTTACTACGATCCACTAAAAAGGAGCTTTCTCCTACAACTGATCGTATCCTGCGTGGTGCTTTATCCAACGCAGAGAAAGGAGCCATGTCCGCGGCGGTACTGGATGAGACCTTAGAGCGTAAAAACGACCATGTAACTCAACCACGCGATCCCGCCGGCAGGTCAAACTAGGTCCTATATATAATTGGCAAGTTCGGCGTCAAATTGGCGAGAGAAACGCAGGGGAAATACGGTCTCGTTACAGAGATGTGCAGAAAGAAAATCCAAGGGTGCGGAAGCTCTTTTAAAGCAAATTAATCAAGACATCGATAAATCACCTACACAATCTTCTGTGGAGCCAGAAAATGAGTCATCTGAAGCGCTATTCTTTGCAGATACGCAAGGGGATTGTAGTATACCTTCATCATTTTAATATTTGGCAATATTCATTGATTTTTCAATATAATTTTTTTTCGTTTGTTTTGTTGGCGGATCATCTCGTCCACCGCTTCCCCTTTTCGGGTTAGCCCAGGCGGCTGACACCTCTGTATGTAGTCAGGTAGAGTAGATCATAGAGAGGAGACACAAGAATGAATCATCTTCTGATCGCATCTGATCATCACTTTGATATGTTTTGCGTTGAAGTGTAGCCGACCCCCTACTGCAAAAGTGGCGGGAGGCGGTGCGACGAGTATACTATTTATTCTTTACTAACTTATACTAAATCGGATAGTATACCACCTATTATATTTCGCACCATTTTGTCTATAGCAGGCCCCAGGTGGAGTAATATAGCTAATATCTAGTATTCCATAACTATTAGTACATCATATATTCATTTAACTGATAACCCTCATTAATTGTTTGCTCTTGGTATTTCTGAACTTCTCGTTCCTGCTGGACCAAAACACAACAGGGACAGAAAAAGGAGCTCAGGCAATCTCCATATATAGAGCCTACGATATGAAGTTGCTTGCGTATCATATGCCGCTTTCTCATTAGTGGCACCCAGTGTAATCCACAAGAGCCGAGACATGCAAGTAGACAGCACTAATACCCACGTTAGCTACTGTATTAGATAGAATTAATATAGTATTATAGAATAAGGACATACGTTTCTATTGCATCCCTGACAGCAACTAGTATTTTCAAACCCTTCAGGATGGTCTAGCCGCGATAGGGTATTCCCAAATAAATAGCATGGCAGAAGAGTCGCACACATACCTACAATCTGAATTAGAAATGGTAAGAGCCTGTATATAATACATACATATGCTGGTGTCAGTGCAACAGTCGTCAAGGAATTTATAAGACCATTGTCTTTCTCCTATACTCTCAGAGCTCATACTGACGCCAAGGCAAAACTTGCCTTTCTAATAGCTATTATCTGTTGAAAGAAGATTTTGTCGGTAGATTTATTTTTTAACGCAGTCAGTGAAGGGTTAGATATAGTACAATAGTATTAATAAAATAGCATTGGTATATGTATGGGGGGATATTAGCATAGTTAATATTTATTTTTAGTATGCTGCGCATTTATTTAGATAAGGTAGGTTTACAAAGATACAGGCTGCTAATAATACTACTATCTAGTAATTACTACAGTACTATCTTGTACACTATTATTTTTTGGAATATATTTATAGTACTATTTACCTTCATACCTGCAAGCCTACTTAGTCACTATTGTACAGGCTAAGTATGTAGACAGCTAATTATTCTTACATTTCTTCTTGTGTTCCTTTTTGTGTTCCTTGCACTCCATGTTCCTCGGCTTCTAATGACCCCAACATTAGTGTGATGGTTTGGTTGTCTCTGCGCTAGTAGAGATAAAACCACTTGACCATATAAAAAGGTACAAGACGACTGATCTTCGATCAGTCGCATCTAGCGCCCTATATAGTATGTTACAGGTTCAGCCTGAGACAATTAGCTCTGAATTCTTTGACTCATGATATCACACCCTGGATAACCACCTTGGCCATTGAGCTAAACCTGCTTTCAAAGACCTGAGATTCTGCATTCTTTACAACGGGGGGGGTTTTTTTTTCTTCTGGCTTTCCTTAAATATGTACTGTTTTGAGCCCATGTGCTAATTCTGCAACATGCAAACTAAAATCTATGTTTCGGGTATTTCTCCAAAAGCACATCAGGCCAAATTCGGCAGTCCACCTCCAGGTCTCGTCTACAGGCCATATCTGGTTGACAAATTGCTCGGCGCCTAAAACTGTCAGGTGCGCAGTTTGTAGATCCTTCAGGATGGAAGCTGTCTGGGATATGTATTGTTATATCAGTAACTTTTCTCCTCTAGATAGTACCACGCGAAAAGAGCTGACACGCCCTTCATATACTAGGACAATTGCTTTATATTTTTTAAGACAGACATTCTGGGTCCGTTTAACCATTAATGGCTCTATAGCTGTGGTAAGTATCTGCATCTCCTGCTTGTCCACCCAGTTCGGAATCTCGCGATGCACCGGTCCACATAATAATTATGGCGCCATGTGTCTCCTTGGAATTAAGAATTGGAGATTTAGCGTAATTTAGACTAAGTACAGTATCCTTCAGTTCATCTCCAAGCCTTATTATTATTAAATATACAAAGTGGCTTTGAAGCAACTAGTCTTATGCTATGTACTATAACTAAAGACTGTTCTTTCAAAGCTAGATAATAAAATCGCTTCATTTTGTTGAAATATTAGTCAATTTAAGAGGCTGCTCCGTATGGGTGCGCAGTTTCGGTGGGGACCGAGCAGCTCGGTGATCGGTCACGTTAAGTATATATTCGATATTCGGCTAATACCGAATAGGAAAGTAGACACTATTCTTGAAAAGGTGCTTAAAATGATTGTTTTAGTTGGTTTCTTGATTATATTAATCAACATATGATCATTCTTGTGTTTATTATTATGGATCATTAGGTGGCTTCTTCTGCTAGGTGCAGGGGAGTTTGTTTTACCCTCTTTTATGACCTTGTTTACGTCACTATTACCACCAACTTATTTGACAGTGTATCAGAAACTCCGAGCTTGGAATCTGCCGCTTAGTGATTTGGCGCCTTCCCCGGGGGCACATGGTACAACTATAAGGCCATGGCTATATACTCACAAATTTATACCATCATTGATATTCTGCAGAAGGAGCGAGAGACTAGTTTTTTGCTCTTCCCCTGAGCATACCTATCTTGTCCTAAAATATTATAAGCAATTTGGCAGCGTCTGTTACTATCGTCGCTTACTTTTAGAAGCGCTAGCCGTAGTGCTATGAAAGGGATTGGCCGCCACTCGTGCCAATTCGGCCCAATGTTTTAGTTGTACAATACTTGAGATAGCGTTTGAATTGGTTAATTGCTTGCCTCATGGTGTAGGGAAGGATAAGAACTCAGAGAATCCAAGCATATTACTAAAAAGCCAAGTGAAGTCGCCGTAGGCACTGTGGCTTTGGAAAGAGCCAATGTGGCATATAACCCTATTCTGTATCCCGTCCTAAAGAAACCGACTCACAGGATGCTGAGGTAGCTGAGGTACAAAATTGCTCCCTTTCTCCGGAGCAGAGGCCAAGAACTGCAGAATGCACTGGAAAAACATGGGAGACGATGTTAGGCACTTTCGAAGAACAAGGGAAACAAAGCCGAGTTGAGACTAAGCCCCCATACTGTATTAAAAAGACGAGAGGACCAGTCAACACGAGTACTTACAAGAGGTGGGAATTGGCGACAGTAAGTAAGTAATGGATACAAACGAAGACACTAGATATATAGTATATGAAATCGCAGCTGAAAGCACATACCGATTTCGCAAATTTATAAATGCATGCTACGGACAAATTAAGGGCTATACTATGCTTCCTCGTGTCCTGCTTTGTAGCGGGAGGCTTAGCTTATGATTTACCCAGATCCAAGTACATATGCTAATAATATAGTGATATATTTTAATATAGAAGGGGACAAGGAGTAGAGTGCCTTGCATATATATCTTATAGACCACATTATTCCCTACATAATATAGGGGATCGACCAGATTAACATATTTAGGATATACAGAATCTAGATACATACTACAACATACAAAAGCTCTAGAGTCTTCTTATCTTTCAATCCGTCATATAACGGCAACAGAGCTATGTGCCTACTGATATGGCTGTGAATTAACTGATGGTTAAATCCCGAAAACATCGTGGTAGCATTGGGCCATTTCTGGGCAACTAAAGCCATATTAGTTTACTCCTATCCGGAAAACAACCAGGACTCTATCTGGTTAAACTCACTAGACGGGATCACGCCCAAAGATAATATGCCACAAATACTCCATCACCCGCCCGCTAACATCGTCGGGTAACGTGGTCTCCATCAGCCATTTGTGGTAATTCATATAGCTCTGCAAAGGCCTCTGTCGGATCTGATCGCGCGAGACCGCAAACTGGGCGCAGCACCCTGCCCCAATTACGTCGGGGACCTCCGTACTAAAGAGCGTCCTCCAGGCGTCCGGAAATGCAATCTCGGCGGAGCGGTCATGATCCGCAGGCTGGCGGAACGGACGTATTTCAGCAGGACACCCGGGATTAGGATTGCAGCGAAGGTTGGCGTATCCATTCTGCTGGACGAAGTCGATGCGTAGGTTCCGGACCGCGCGCACATTACTGTGGTCGGGGAACTCATTGTGCCAAGCTGCCGGATATCCATCGCGGTGGCTGTGTAGGAAAACGATGGTCTGAGGGAGAACGTTGTAGTAGTCAATGATGTATTGTAGATAAACGTTGCTCTCCCGGCCTTTATTCTGAGGCACAGTGAGTGGCGCGGTTGGGTCGTCAACGGTGTAGACTGCATGCTGCCATCTGAGAAGCGTGCGTTCGCTCATTAGCGATTCTAGTGCCAGGCGAACCGGCGATAGGAGGGAGACATACTCTGGCAGCTCCTGGAGGACCCAGTCAGTGTCCTCACTTCTTAACTTCCCTACCACAATAACACCGTCAATTGGCTTCTTTATCGCAGCAGCGTCTTCGAAGGTCCGACGTTGTGAAGCGGGTTCATCAGCTTGAAGGGAGTCTGCATGAGATCAGTTATCGCGGGCCGTACTGGGCTTTTTGGACGAAAAGCTAGATATGTGGATTTCAACTGCGGATCTCTCCCTATCATCTCATCTAGCAGGGCGAATAGAGCAAAACATCCCACCTTTTTGACCAGCCTGCCTCATCTGGCTCCCAGTCCACAGAAACGTGAAAACCAGCAGGGCCGCTGAAATCAGACGAGCCAGCAGACGCCTCATTGGACTTAGGGTTTGGTTGAGTATATGTACCTGTATCGAGTGTGATTAGATCAGATGGCAATGGCTTGTCAGATTTTTAACACATGACCTAAGAAAGTTAGGAAACTGTGAATTTCTGTAATCGTGCTTGGGAACTGGTGAGTGGTATCACACTGACAATTATAATTATACCTTTGCAGACTGTCCATGTGCGTATAAGTTTAGTAGGCTCTCGACAGTGGGGTTCTGACTGCATCAAGTAAATCAACCAAGTCCCAAATTCTACACCATAACAACGTACGCTGGGCAGTGAATTAGGTACCCGGAGAAGAAAAGGAGAAAGAAAATGGAAATGTAAAGAGAAAGTAAGATAAATGATATGTATATGCTGTCAGCGGAAGAAGTGCTATTTTTAACTAGCATAGCACCGCTACAAGCCTAACTGCAAATACTGCCTCTTTATAGGGCACATTCAAAGTTACAATCACAGCTTTAAAGGTGCAGTAGTATAGTGTGAGGATAGCAAGTTTCCCTTGAACTCCTAGCCCTCCATGAGGGGGCAGTAGGTGCATATACCGTGACTGTCCACACCCTGTATGTAAACCGTAGCCGTACAACCAAATCAGCCGCGAAAGGAATCCGTCTTACTTGCTATCACGAACTCATGTACCTGATCTGTCGATAAGGACTCAAGTGCACCTTAATCTAACGTCTTCGGGTCGGATGACAATGGAGTGATTTGGCATGAGAAATACTTTGTTCTTCATCAGCGATCTTAATGATGCCTACACTGTTGCAGAACCCTGTAGAGTTTGCAGCGTCTATATATTTCACTTGGCTGAGTGCACAGCGCGTAAGATGTTATTTGTCTCACTAAAAAAGGTGCCGTCGCAAAGCGCTGTGTATGGAAATGACTCCGCACGCGGTCTCTATACCAGAGAATAAATAGCTCGCGATTCTTGCAGCAAATACCCATTCTACGGTATTTTGACACTAGGACCAGAGAAATGGTCTCCAAGATCCTTTGATATCTCCGTCAGGGAGTTAATTGTGTAAACGTTGATCCCCTGCGACGGCGGCTGCTTACTGGAAACGCTTGGAATGCGGCCTTGGCATTACATTTCACTGTCAACTGTTCTTTCTTGCTCCTTTGCATATGTATTGGTTCCTACACCTATCACTTGGGGATGCCGTAGCGCCTCGTAGGTTATGATACGGCTATTTAGATCGAATACACAGATCTATCGAAGAAGGTCAAGAAATAGCCGGTCAAACCTGGTCTCATTTGGAATGAGTTGCTTTGGAACAAGAGTCCTGGGTTAGCAAAATTCGACACGGAACCTAATTGGGCCGAAGTATTACACGGAGCGTCTTTGTTAATTTCCCAAGATCATGTCTGCCTTGTCACGGACTTGTTGGGAGAAAGCCTAAGCTTCATGCCCGTTCCTGACAGCCACATCCAGAATATTGTACAGCAGCTTTCCAGAGCATCATCTGTAAAAAGACTCTCTGTCCCTTAAGAATACCGTGCTTTGCCTGTAACTCGCAAAGACCTATCTCACACACACCGACCTCAAGCCGGAGAATATCCTTCTACTAAACAGCGCTTTCAGTCTCGAGGTCTTTCAGCATCGCATTCTATCCACGATGGGGGTTCCCTACTATGTCAGGCGTCGTCGGCGAGAATTGTGCACCACCCAAATCGGTCTGATTGACTTTGGTACGGCAATATTTGACGACGAATACCATCACCCAGAGGTTACCACCCCAGCATTCGGCGCTCCCGAGGTGTCTTGCGTCTGGGATGGAGCTTTCCCTGTGATATTTGGAGCATTGGCTGTATGTTCGCTGAGCTCTTCACAGGAAAGCATGTCTTCAACCCCTGAGGCAGCATAGAGCACCTTGTGGTGATGCAACATGTGCTCGGCCGTCCCACTGATCTCCATATTGTCGAAAAGGCAAAACAGTTACCAAATTTGCCGGAGAATCTCTCTCCGTGGGTGGGAGGCTACCATGCCGCCAACGTGTTTCTGGGCTCTAACAAGCATCTTCAGGTATATCCGGGGTTACATGACTGTCCCGGCCTCAGTGATTGATCTCGAAAGATCAATCGGCCATGGAGACGGATATATGTATCGACTGCTGTCTGCGACATTTCCCGCACTAAACAGTTTTAATAACGCCCGAAATTCATGGTGTGCTACATGTTGAGAGCGAAAGAGATTGACCGCACGCCTACACCCTTCGTTACAGTCTTCAAACTCGACCACTCTGCCAGAAGCTCCGCTTCCCAGGTTTCTAATTATGACATATAACTCGAAGTATTAACGCCAATAATCAGAATAAGGAGAATGAGAGGAAACTTACATCGGCTGGTTAGTTCTGTCTGGGCCCCAATTAGCACGGCATCCCAAAGTTTCCAGAACCGTGGTCCAGAGGGGCTGCAGAACAGAATACAGAGGCAACGTCTCCACAAGCCTTGATGAGGCACCAAATTCGTTGGTATATAATAGAACACTGCAATTAGAGATACAAGTATAGATAGAGTAGGGCTAGCCTGTATATCGTTACGGCGAGGGTCAGGGTAAATGAAAATCATCCATCTATCCAGCCTCTATAATCAGTGAAGCTCCAGGCTGTACAAAGCCCCGCTAATCACCACCTACAAGTGGTTCACCTTTTTGAAGATATCGTTTGATGACCTCCTATGACTGGTGGTACTTCTAGCTTTGTTAATGCAACCGCATATATAGCACGACTGCACTAAAATTAATCTTGCAAGAGCCAACCACAATGTGGCGAGATACATCACTCGATGTCCACCCCAGAAAATCTACCCTTTACTACTGCTTGTGTGCCTGTGCCTTTCCGTCGTGTCGGAAAACAAGTTGTACTGGACAGCAAACCACAAGTTGACTCATTTTTGCCGGACGAAGATATGCTAGAAGATTGTGATAATCCTGGCAAACCCAAGGGGGCCTTCCAAATATCTCAGGTAGCACGTAGGCCCCTTAAAGTGCGATCCCGACAGCGACAGAGGGTCCGAATGTCGAGTCTCAGTGGCCATAGTGCGGCGGATCACACTATTGAATTACACATCTACATGGGACAGTATTTCTGGCAAACAAGATTGATTTGCTCTGGGCGAATGCTATGGTGCATTTCACGTTCAGCTGACACGTGGGTGCAAGTACATAAATTAGAGATTTGGCGTTTTGGTAATGGATGATTGTGTCACCAATTCTGAGTTATGTCAGATGCCCTCCCACAGTACGTCTACAGTAAACCCACTTTTTGCCTATTCAGGGATCGTTCTGAATAGTAACAACGTAGCAAGCAAACCCTCATTCGAATTGACGTAATGCAAGCCTCTCTCCAGCCTATTATACTCTTACTAGAGCCTACTGGAGGGGAAACTTGCCTCAAGTATCATGTACAAACTGTATCAGTTTAACCTGCACTCTCCTTACTTAAGGAACTAATATTCTTTTGCCGAACTCGGAAAACTTTGAACCCATGACAAACCGGCAGGATGTTTTCAGTGAGAGACGGTCTGCCAGTGGAAATTGTATGCCACATTGTGAGAAGCCTAGACCCTTTCGACGCGCTCAGATTTTCATACACGAGTAGAAGGTTGTACCGTGTTATTCGAGGCTTTGACGCGTACTGGCAGTGCTACCGTTTCCGAGGGGCGGAGGACTTCATTACAAAGCGCCAGCAAGGAGCTGTTGGCCTCATCCGACACATGGTGGCATATCCTGGCCCTAACATTGACGTTGCCGCCTTCGAGTCTATCCTGCGTGTACTTGAGTCGGAGTCCATCTGGTGTATTGATGAGTACAAAGATGCGATTCGTCGGGCTCAAGGCCTGGGCTTTTCTTCAACGGTATGGCTCCATAGTCGCCGAGTCATCTCACAATCGATCTCGTTGTCCATCGCCGTTGGAGCGTTTGAGTGTGCGGGTGAAGGGATGCAACTCCTTGATGAAATTGGTTCCCTCGTTAGTCAGCCTATGGAGTACCAGCAGTGGTTGTCTCCCATCCAAGAGACACTCTCCCATGCGGCACATGCTGGGGCATATCGGCTTTTTGCCCAAGGAATGGTTTTCCTAGAAGACATCGTTGTGCGGATGGAGTTGAAAGTTGATTACGGACAGTGGGTCCAGCCTCTATCCCATTCTTCGACTCGGTGGGCCTCACTGGGGGAATGGAATAAGTTCCAGCAAACGACTAGTTTGCTTGAGTATATTGCCCGTCGAGCTGGGCGCCGAATTGACTATACGAAATGGATGCAGCCCATCGGGAAGGCTATTTCGCGATCAACACTTATCGGCGCCTGGGAGTCTGTAGAAATGGGCCGTCAAATTTTACGCCATGTGTCCTTGAAAGCGGAGGGGAACAAGGCAGCTCCGTCTAACAACATTACAGACGGACGAGTCGGTGTGTGTTCTACGTCAGCGGCGTAGTCGTCCTAATTAAGGCCAAAGTTCCGAGACATGTTCATAGTGAATGAGAGGGAAATGGTAGGACACCGAAGGAGTAGGTCAAAGACGTAGGCAATATCAGCCCTAGGGGATCGTAGACAAGAGGTTAAAGGAATGAAAGCAGTTGATTACCCTCTTGTCCATCTAATTACATACAGAACATAAATATCAGGGGCAGACCTCTACTTCGGCCTTCGGTAATATTATTATCCGCTCTGCACCAAATCACTACAATAGATGGGGATACGGCTCATGTAGAACTCTAAAGTCGCTATAATTTGTTACGTAGACATCGTTCACCGAGAGAAGAGCACATGTCGAGGTTACCGCTTACCAAATAGGCCTAGCGCCCTAGTAAGCGACCTCCCCCACAGGTGGAAACACCATGTAAAATTAGTCGATAGTCAATCAATCAATTTGATCAAGGATCCATGAAGCTGAATATCGCTCATATCTATGAGCTCTGACATACTATAATCCACCCGGCTTGGCGGTACGGCACTGCGGTAGGCCGTACAGGCCGGTGGAACCGCGTATGGCTCCATCCAGAGGAGGCACACTATCTATTGGAAAGAGGCAGTTTCGATATTAGATGGCCTTCCTCGTTAGCAGGTTGTGATGAGGAATGCGAGGCAGAGGGATCTTCCATTCCGATGAGCCTGTAGGCTGCATATTCATGTTTCATTGGATGCGGAGGTTCTCGGTTTACACCTATTCGGTCATCCGAGCACCCGGGGATGGGCACTGCTCCTTGGAGATTCAACTTCATGTAAAATTAGTCAAGATAGTCAATCAATTTGATCAAGGATTCATGAAGCTGAATACCGCTCATACCTATGAGCTCTGACATAGCACATTCTTTAAATAAATTCCGGATGATTCACTGGTTAAACGTCTTCTTTCGGACAGCACAGCGACAGTATCCGCCAAGAAATCCGCCTTACTCCCAGGTATTCCACCCCACTGAGCAATAAGGTTATTTTGCTTGCAAAAATTCTATTTATGTGCAAGGAAAGACTTGCCATCAAGAGGTTGGCAAATATGAGTTGTATGAGCAGAGTTGTAGGAATTCAACAGTTTTATGAGACCCTTGGACGTCGAATATTGTTACGGAAATATAATCCGCCCGACTTGGCGGTGCTGAAGTGTCTGACGATCCATTCTACCCCTCAGTCCTTTAGCGAGTAGAGCACCTAGATAGGAATGCAAGAGACTCGGTTGAGATACTGTGATTCCTGGTGTTTCCACCGAAGGACATCTACCTCCTAGTTAGGCTAGTTGGCCTGTGGCTGATAGAATAGCTCCTCCTGCGCATCACTTCCCCTAAATTCCACAAATATCAACACACGTCTTTCACCTCCTTTTGTCCGATCTATTGACGTCTCGTGGAATCATCGAAGCCATCTAATAGTAATTTCATCATTGACATATCCCGTCAAAGAAGTGGCTGTCCAATATAGTGGAAGTTCGGGATGATCATACCAGCATTCCATAAACTTAGCGCCCTTGAAGATAAATAGTCAACTCTTTCCTATATCAAGTTTATCAACCACCACAATGCCTAAAAGGTCGAGTGAAACTGAGGATCGGATCTCTGATGCCCTACACGCGCATGTTGAGCGCAAAAAGCCCAAAGCACCTTAGGGTGGAAATTTAGGGTTTCTTACCTAGCTAAAGGGACGCATTCATGGCCGCAAATCTCATTCTGCGAGTACTGGCCCAAATAAGGTGCTAGATAATACACAAGAGCAGGCATTAATTACTTGGATATGCACTCTTGATAATGCAACTGCTCCACCTACTCCGCAGGGCATTGAGTGTTGTGCAAATGAAATTTTAGAACAAAGTGGTTCCGATAGACGCGTCGGTAAAAACTGGGTCTAAACCTTACTAAGAGCTTTCCCAGCGACTACAGTCATATTATGCAAAAGTCATCTGAGGCAGAGCGAATGGATGCTGGGAAATTACCAATAATAATTAATTGGTTTGATAGCTTAGAAATAGCACTAAAACAATACAAAATTGGGCCGAAGAATCTCTACAATTTTGATGAATCTGGCTTCCAACTTGGCCAGGACAAAATCCTAACGGGTTGTTACCAAGCACAAGCATAGTGCGAAGTTTATTCCAACTGGTGGAATTGGGGAAACAGTAACAGGAGTTGAATGTATTGCTGCAGATGGCTGGTTAATGGCCCCTTTCTTTCTATTTCAGAGCTCATGTCACTTAGAGAATTGGGATCGCGACCAGCTTGACTTACCAGATGATTATATTATTGCTACATTATCTACTGGGTGGAATAATGAGATGCGCGCCTTTCAATGGCCTCAGTACTTTAATTAGTATACACAAGACCGCCTTGTACTCCGTGGGGCTTATCGACTTCTTTTCATGGAAAACCACCCATCACTTATAGGCTTTGACTTCAATAATTATTGCCAAAACCACAGAATTATTCCCTGGACCTTCCCTCTGGAGCTCATGCATCTTGTCCAACCCCTAGATGGAAAACCGTTCCAGCAATACAAGCACTACTACTGTCAGTACAATAATGGACTAAACAATGGGGTGTCTCTATTAAAGAGAAGGCAGATTTCCTATGCCAAATTCACCAGATGTGCTTAGAGACATTTAAAGACATGACTGTACGCCATTCTTTTAAGCGCTGTGGACTCTGGCCATTTAATTCCCAGGTCATTTGCAAAGAACTTCATGGTGATAACGGGCCAGATCTAGTACATAGTATATGACCACGGAAAAGAATATGAACTACCAGCGTGGGATCCTAGTTAAGTCTCAGAGCATCATTGCCTAGAATCTAGGGCAAAAACTCCACCAGCATCAAGTTCAACGGCCACCAACAACGTAAAAAAAAAAAGCTGCCGCGGCGTCTTGACTGTTTTTCAAGGTAGCCCTGTCCAGGCGGAAGCAGGTGCCCAGAGCAGTGCAGACTTAACATGTGCAATAGCTATGTAGAGGTAAGCAGATCATTTCACGGACACGAGGACAAGCTAACCAGCTGTTATGCAAGTGATCCCTGTCCTCAGCCCACTTTCACGGCTAGTTAGGACTTATCTATTCAAAATTCCCTTTCCATGGGCGGAGTTAGCAATGCAGCCTTTATGGCAAAGGGAGAAAAAAAAAAAAAAAAAAAAGAAAAAGGAACACCTATACCGTACCCGATCACATGATGACCGTTTTCACCACTCGCCCGCTTTTCGCCAACACACGACTTTTTGCACACATTTCAGAAGGCTACAATATGGACTCAATTGAAAAAGCGCTTGCAGATATAGAATCCCTGAAACCAGGAGAAAAAATAAATTATACAAAATTAGCTGAAAAGCATGGGGTTAACCGGTCAACCCTGTCAAGACACCACCGCGGTATACAGAGCCATTTACAAGAGCATCATGAAAATCAGTCTCTCCTCAACAACCAACAGTCAAAAGAGCTTATTAAATTAATAAATACTCTTACTGAACGTGGCCTTCCACCATCCCATTCAATGCTACGAAATTTCGCCAAGGAAATTACTGGAATCAAGCCTGGAAAGTCATGGCCGTACCGCTTTTTAAAGAGACATAATAATGAGCTTGTTACTCACTATACTACCGGCATTGATTCCTCACGCAAGCGGGCTGATTCGGCATATAAATATGCACTATATTTTTTGACTTATGGCCCGAAAGATTGAGGAATATGGGATTGAGCCTGGAGATATGTACAACATGGATGAGAAAGGTTTTCTTATTGGAGTGCTGTTAAAAGGCAAAAGAATCTTTTCACGACGCCGGTATGAGCAGGAAGGGCTTAAACAACGACTTCAAGATGGAAATAGAGAGTGGATTACTACAATTGCCTGTATTTGCGCCGATGGGACATCTCTGTCACCTGGTCTAATTTACCAGGCTGTGTCTGGACATATTCAAGATACATGGCTTCAGGATTTTAATCCTAATAACCACCACTGCTTCTTTACATCATCACCAAGTGGCTGGACAAATGATGAGCTGGGATACGCATGGTTGACAACTATATTTGACCGCGAAACAAAAGCCAAGGCAAGAAGACGTTGGCGGCTTCTAATTCTTGATGGTCACAGCTCCCATATCTCTATGAAGTTTATTAACTTTTGTGATAAGAATAAATTCTTTTGGCTATTTACCCACCTCATTCAACACACAGTCTTCAGCCACTTGATGTTGGTCTTTTTGGTCCTCTTTCCCAGGCATACAGTAACAAACTGGAAGAATTTATGCATGAATGTCAAGGATGGAGCCATCTTTAAAGCGGACTTTTTTAGACTTTTTGGCCAAGTTGGAACAAGGCTTTTTCAATCGAAAATATTAACAGTTCATGGAAAAAAGTTGGTTTACATCCTTGGGATCCGGAGATTGTTTTGGCACGCTTTACCAAAAAGAAGATGAAAGACCTTCATCTAGTGAGTCATCACAATCTATTTTAAAGGCAGAAGACTGGCGTCGTATTGAAAAGCTTCTTAAGCAAGTGGTTCTGATTTTATGACCAGAGGGTCCGGAAATTAAATAATACCATGATGCATCTTTCTACCGAGAATATTCTTCTTAAACTACAACTTACGGGCGTCAAAAACGCCCTACAGAATGAGAAGAAGAAGCGAAAGCGTGGCAAACCTTTACAACTTCAACTTCAGGCCCCAGAGGATGGCAATGCAATCTTCTACAGTCCTAATAAGGTTCAACAAGCCCGTAATGCTCAGGCTGAGAAGGAAGAAGCTCAACGCCTTGCTAGAGCTGCTAAAGAGGAAGATAAGATACGTCGGCAGCAGGAGAAGGAAGAGAAACAATGCTTGATTGAAGAACGAAAGAGAATAAGGGCTTTTAATAAGAGTGTGCGGATGCAGGAAGCAGAGGAAAAAAGACACCGGAAAGAAGAGGAGAAGGCCGCAAAACAAGCTGCTATACACTCTCATTACACTCATCCTTAAGTTATTTTGTTTCGTAAAGGTACCCAGAGAAACAATTCCAGCTTAGAAAGGACCCACATACAATCCGGTCAATATCTTCCATCTGGGTTTAGATTGCTTCTTCCACCTACCTAAGATAGTTGGGATAGAGCATAGGTAGAAGCATCGTTCTTTACCCTAGTTATTCATCCCCATCATTTCTGCCTGCTAGGATTATCGCCAATATGCCACCAAAATCCACATCCACCAGCAAGGATAGAGTCGCTACTCGTGGAGATCAACCATATATGCGTTGGAGCCTAATCTTGCTCGTGCACCCCCTCTTATTGCCAGAACTGTATCCGAGAAGATGTTCTATTGTATCTTCTTGGTGCAGACATTCTGGTATGATCCTTATGGTATTTCTACTGTACCTAAACCCTACTCCACGCAAGGGGGACAGATGGTAGTAAAGGCGCGACCCCATTCCTGTGCTTTACCCTACCAACACCGGCAACGGTCATGCAGCGAGAGATCATTTTGTATGTGTCTCCTCTTCTAGGGCCTTCATGCTATGCTAGGCTATGAAAAGCTGCTACGGATATTACCGCTAATGTGGCTCTTCACGATCCCTACCAGGATCCTTCGCGGTCCTTGTGAGAAAGACCGGATTGACCAGCTGAGTATCCTACATTTGGAGTTGCTCAGGCTGCTGCGGTGGATTCACACGAGTGTTGCCGTGCAGTAGCAGGTTGTCCCGGCCTACTCTTGACAAAGACGAATGCTTCTGAGGCATGAAAGAGACCATTACCGAGAATCAGACCGCCCTTCTCCACCTTCTCTAGTTTCTCGAACTCCTGGGATCTACCAAGGATGCAGCCGGCCGAATCTGCCACCCTATACTTCCGGGGAATCTTTATCGCGGCGCCATTCTGCACCACCCAGCTGATTCCACCTTCCTGTGGCCACTCATTGAAGCCGGTCCAACCTCCCTGCTAGACTTACTAGAGGTCCGCTGCTAGGCGGTCGCCGTCCGCGATCCTTGCAACCCTTTAGGGGTGGGCGTACCGGAAATTCTGGAGCTAAATCGACTGCGAAATAGGACAAACTCGAGCTTCTGCCAACGTGCCCTGGGTCACATACTGACAAAGCTGATGCATCTTTTTGGAGGCCTAGGCGCCAACCATCGATTTCCAGGGAGCGACTTATGACCGGGTTATGTCCTAATATCTGGCAGCCTACATAATAGTGTGCAGTTTAGGCCACATCTCGTCCACGGTATTCAGAATTTATTTTATTTTCTTTAATCATGGGCTTATAACCATAAGTCTATGCAAACAGGATTGCCACTTGGCGGTCAAAGAATCAAGATATGTACAGTACAGTGTGTTCTACGACAAATATTGGATAGAATTAACAACCACGAATATTGCTTTCCTGCTGACCGTATTTACTGGTACGAGAACGTATCTTAGAAGTAACTGTGGAAGGTAAAGACCCTAAATGGATTTTCTTCACTCCAGAGCCGATTAAGTGATTTGAAGTCCCACGAGCTTCTAATGATGTAGAGATAAGTGAATATTTAGTAGATTAACATTCAGTATTAAAAATTCCAATGAACCTTGTTGTGAAATTCAGGGGGGAAGTGATGCGCAGGGAGCTATTCTATCAGCTACAGGCCAACCTCTAGCTTAAATAGGAAGTAGATGTCATTAAGTATAAACAACATGAATCGCTGAATCTCAACCAACTGAGCCTTCTAAGCGGTTCCCGATATTCTCATTGAGGTGTTCAACTAGCTAAAGGATTCAGGGGGGAATTGATCGTCAGATACTCCGCACCGCCAAGTCAGGCGGACTATAGTGTTTCCATAACAAATCTAGTTGCGCAGGGACATGTCTAGATGACGAACGATGAAGGAGATTCAAGTTGTATGACTATTTCAATTGCCTCCACCACCACTGTTATCCGGTTCTCCAGCTACCTCACCACCTAAATAATAGTCACCAAACTGCGGCATAGCATTAAGAAAGCACAGAGAAAACTAGATATTCTACAGGAGGAGATAGCAAACTATACCATCTGGATCCAATTTTCCATGGCAGTCTGATACAGGGGGGGGATAAAGCATGTATTTTACGCACCAAGGAGCCTCAGAAGGTTAAGAAGGCACGTCGAATGTCAATATAGGAGGTCCCCTGTTTAGTAAGGATGCCAATCGCCAAATTGGACCCGAATAACAAAGGAGATTGAGAAAGAATGGACGCAAAGAACAACGGTGCCTTTAAGTGCAGAGGTTCCTACACAGTGCCAACCTACCCTACCGAGCCCTACAGTCAATTTACCTGGGGAAAGTTATCCTATGATACATACTAAAATGTTGGAAGATGTAGTTATATTAGACGACCCCGTTGTGGTGGCTAAAATTGGTCAAATAATTGAACTTTTTGAGACCTTTTTGAGACCTTTTCCAGTTGAGCCCAAAATCCTGTTGAGCCGCCCCAAACCGGAAACGGTGTGGGGGATCGACTGAGTATGACCCAGATATCAGATGATATGACGCCAAGCCTAAAAGAGACCACAGTCCTATGGGGCGGTATGATATATCATAGCTGCTGAAATGAAGGACATGAATACAGTACATTATACATATAAAGTAAAGTCATTACCATTGTAATTCTAGTTAGTGTGTCTTAATTCTCAGTGACAAAGATAGCTTACCTTTCGGAATAATCCACTCTGTGCTTTGGACTAAGCAACCACTCTTATATCCTTTGTTAACAGAATACCTTAAGATCTCCCGATCCTAGGAAGGACTGGTAGACCTTACCTGGAGCTTTTGTGGGCCGATCGTAGCTTGCGATTCACGTGATGCACCACGTCAGGTCCTGATAAGCAGTAGATCTCCATGAATTCTCAATCTTCTTGCTTGACAAATCCTTATTCCAGCTTGGTCAAAAGAGTCTGAAAAACTCCGTTGTAATATGGCTTAGACCTTGGCATTCATGTAAAAAATGCCCCAAATGGTCATTATAAAGGACCAAAAACACTAAAGTTAAGCGGCTATAAGTATGGGTTGAATAAGGTGGATACTGTATAAATTTTATGGTAATATAAGATCTATGGCCATCTAAATTAGGCGCCAACGCCTCCGGGTCTTCTCCTTTGGATAATACTCCAATAAGAAAGCCTTTTTCATCCATATTATACATATCTTCAGGATGAATATAATATTCCTTGATTTTTCGGGCTATGGATTTAAAACATAAACTATATCTATATGCTGAATCAGCCCGCTTTTTTGAAGCGTCCTTTCCAGTTGCAAAATGAGCCGCATGCCTATTATTATAGTTCCTCAAAAAGCGTCCTAGCCACTGTTTTCCGAGCTTACAGTATTTCTAGCTATTTCCTTTGCAAAATTTCGTAGCATTTCATGGGTAGGTGGAAGGCCTCTCTCACTAAGATTATTAATCCATGGAATAAACTCTTTGGACTGCTGGTTGTGGAAAACTTGATGCATTCGCGTTGAGTTTTATAGGACAGCTGTACCACCCGGGTGGTACAGTGTTGTTCGGGTAATTCCATAATTTTTGGCAATTTTCGAGTAATTAACATTTTTGCCTGCTTTCAGGGTTACTTTCTATACCTTCGAGAGCCGCTTCAATTGACCTCATTTGGTGGAGTTGTACTGTAGAGGTTTGAATTCCTATGTCAAAAAGTCGGCGTGGGCCAAAATTGGGCGTTCGGTGGTGACCGACGTTATGGAATCGAGAAGAGAATCTTATACTACGGACCCGTCCCGCTACATATGGCAATGTTTGGATTAATTGACCAACCCAATACCTAGGCAACTTTTAGCTGCTACCTAAGCTACCCAGGCTAACCTCTTACATATTGGCAACCAGCAACCAGATCAAATTACGTATACTGCTATTTATCTTCTCAGCAACCGTATAATGATGCCTCGGATACTTCGTATATTTTGAAACTTATTCTCGTAATAGAAAAGGCTTAATTGATCACATAGGTCCGTCCATAGGTATAAGAGCCTTACGATTATTTGTTGCACAAATTCTCAGACCTTCAGCTTCGCAATGGAGGTCCCATTGGGCGCTGCCTTGCTAGAAGAAATTTTTATCAATACTTCAATTCCTCCGTCAACCTTGCTTCGAGATATTGATGTATCCTACTTTGAGTCATTATCCACGTCCTTTGGCAAAGATACATCACCCTTGCCTCTACCGGATGTGCACCATGCTCTTAACCACAGGCCATGGGAATCACTACCTCACATCAAGGACAAATTCGACCAAACCGTTCTGCATAGCACCACAGAGCCTCAGTCGGAAGCGATTGTACCTCTTCAGCCTTTGGTAGCAACGCCCAGCACGTCTTTGGAACCATATCCACAGTGTTCTAAAAGATCTAAGAAGAGTTCGGCTATAGCTGGCAGTAAGTCACCAGTACCTTCCTCTGGGAAATGGGATTCTATAGAGCTTAAACGTGCTCGAAATACCGAGTCTGCTCGCAAGTCACGCGCTCGCAAACGTGAACGTCAAGAGGAAATGGGGCGCCGGATTGTGGAGCTTGAGAAATTGCTTGGGGAGACCCAGAAGCGTGAGCTATATTGGAAATTTATTGCTGAAAGCCGGGGAAGTCCCTACATGAACACGCTACATCATCTTTAGGCGTGGAAGTGATACGATTATCACCTCATTGCCTAGCTCCTATTTAAGCGCTGTTCCAGCTCTAACACAACACAGCAGAGTCTGCCAGCCACATGGACAGAATACAAGCATGTGGCTAGAAGGATTGTTCAGAAGGCATTTTCAGCGAGTATTTTAATTTCATTACGCCTCAAGAAATCTTGACCCTGCTTTATGGAGCCGTCATTTATTCAAAGATATTAATTGCGTAAAGCATGTATGTGGATATCTAGACTTAAAGCTGTTACTGTACACAAAAGGTTGGTGCAAATGATTGTTGGAGGGTATTGGACCGAATGGACTAGAGTCAATAGATCCTGGGAGACCCAATGCGTGGACTACCATTCCACACCGTGCAACATAAAATCATAGTTCGCTGTAATATCCAGAAATGTCAATATTCCTTTCGGTGCTCTAGTGGCGGTGATGATGAGGAGACAATCAGCAGCATGCCTTTCCGGATGGACTCGATGGACCAGCGTGGGTTCGCAGACAGATACCACCGAATCTGATGTCCATCCTTCCTCGCCATAAAGGCACGAGTTAACAACGTCGTCATTGTAGTTGTTGTAGAAACTACTCCATGCAGCTGTCGTCGGGAGGCTATCCCGGATAGCCCCACGGGCCTGGAAAAGTGTCTTCTCCAAGCGGCATGGGTACAGATTTAGACACCAGCTCTTGTAGCGATGACTCTGATGGTAAAACTAGGTCATCCTGATGGTCAGGGTAACGGTGTTCCCAGAAGCTATGCCAGAAATCGGCTGCTGTATCAGGCAAGGAGAGGAGCTAGGATAGCGATTTGGCCGCTATCTCCAGTAATGATAACAGCAGCGACGGCTCTAACACGGACCCATGTCGATTCAGACGATGACGTTTCGTCGGACAGTAAAAGGTTAAACAGATGCCACCAGAAATATGATTATGAGGATGAATAAGAGATGGGAGCGGTAGCTTGACAATGGTACCACAGAATATTACAGTATCGACTAGCTAATAGACGATCACTTATTATACTGCCGCAAGGGAAATAAGAAATACCAGTCATGGGCAGGCTCGAAATGGGCGGATCCTATTGCGGCACTTCACCGCTTCCGCAGGGACCTTCTGTCGACCAAAGTGAGCCAATATTACCCATTATTCAGCATCCGCTTGGTCCGACTTTATTCCTTTGTTTTCACCTTTTTTCATCCAGCTCTCCCAGATAGATTCAGATAGAAAAGAGACCTTATGAGACTTCATTTTCTTCAAAGCAGATCCATATTCTTATAATCGGTGATACTAGCTCATACGCGTATTTAGCTGACCGACACCTTCTAATTACCGTACCCAATCACTCACCGCCCGATAACTTATCACTTGTCAAATAATATGGTCTTTGGTGGACCAGAATCATGTGACTAGATAGGGTAAAATCTCCGCGGAGCACACAACGAAAACAACAGAAGAATCAACAGAATCAAGAAGAGCCCAACCAGCTCAATTCATTCAAATAAGATCTTTTTACCAATCGTACTATATTTCCCCTTCGGGATTAGCCGTATATCTGACATCACTCAACCGCCAATATTCATCTACACACCGACTTTTTAGATAACTTAGACCACAACACCTTCAAAATGGGCTCAATTGAAGAAGCAATTGCAGATATAGAATCACTGGACCCAAGTGAAAAGATCAATTATACAAAATTTGCCAAAAAGCTTGGTGTTAACCGGTTAACAGTATCAAGACATCACCGCGGTATATAGAGCTCTCGCAAAGTAGGGTGCGAAAATCGGCAAGTTCTCAACAACCAGCAGTCAAAAGAGCTTATTAAATGGATCAATACTCTTACTGAGCGTGGCCTACCACCATCTTTATCTGGAGTATGCTGGCCAAACCGCTTTTTAATAAGATCAGCTTATTTCTTGCTATGCTACTAGGATTAATTCGTCACGCAAATGAGCTAATTCTGCATATAAATATGCACTATATTTCGAACTTATAGCCAGAAAGATTGAGGAATATAAAATTCAACCTGAAGATATGTACAATATGGATGAGAAAGGATTTCTTATCGGTGTACTATCAAAAGGTAAAAGAATCTTTTCACGGCAATTATATAAGCAGGGAGGGATCAAACAACGCCTGCAGGATGGAAATAGAGAGTGGATTACTACAATTGCTTGTATTTGTGCGGATGGGACATCTCTTTCTCCTAGACTTATATACCAGGCCGTCTCCGGGAAATCCAAGATACACGGCTTCAGGATTTTAATTCTAATAACCACCACTGTTTCTTCACATCATCACCTAGTGCTGGACAATGATGGCTGGATATGCATGCTTACTACTTTATTTATGCGAAACAAAAGAAAGCACGAAGGCGTTGTGACTTCTAATTCTTGATGGCCACGGCTCCCATATTCCATGAAGTTTATTAACTTCTGTGATGCAAATAGGATCCTTCTAGCTATTACCCACCTCATTCAACACACAGTTTGCGGCCTCTTGATGTCAGCCTTTTTAGTCCTCTTTCTTATGCATATAATGATGAACTGGAGCAATTTATGCAGAATGTCAAGGATTAAGCCATATTACAAAGCGGGATTTCTTCAGACTGTTTTGGCCAAGCTGGAATAAGGGCTTTTCAATCAAAAATATCAACAGTGCATGGAAATCTGTTGGTTTATGTCCTTGGGATCCGGAGATTGTTTTGGCATGCTTTACCAGGAAAGAAGAAGAAAGACCCTCTTCTAGCGAGTCCTCACAATCTATTTTAAAGGCAGAAGACTGGCGTCGCATTGAGAAGCTTCTTAAGAAAGTTGTTTCCGATATTTTCCCCAAAGATGTCCAGAAACTAAATGATTCAATACTGCATCTTTCTACAGAGAATATTCTTCTTAAACTGCAGAATTTAGGACTGAAAAAAGCTTTACAGAAGGAGCAGAAGAAGCGACAGCGTGGGAAACCTTTACAGCTTCAACTTCATGCTCCAGAAGATGGTAATGCAGTCTTTTATAACCCAAAAAGGATTCAACAGGCACGCAACCTTCAAGCTGAGAAGGAAGAAGCTACACGGCTCGCTAAAGCTGCTAAAGAGGAGGATAAGTTACGTCGGCAGCAGGCAAAGGAAGATAAGAAACACTTGATTGAAGAACGAAAGAGAATCAAGGCTTTTAATAAGAGTAGATGCAGGAAGCGGAGGAAAAGAAACACCGGAAAGAGGAGAAAAGGCAGCAAAGGAAGCCGCTGTACAGCTTCAGAATGAAATTAATCTGGCCAACCAGGACAAGAAGAATATCAAGAAGCCTTCTACTGCAGAAGAAATTGAAGATATTAATAAGAAAAGCAAGGAAGAGGTGGAAGAGGCACATGTTATGGTAAGTCGTCGAGGAAGGCAAATACGGCTTCTTTATATCAAGTATTCTATCCCACCAAAAAATCTAATCATTTTATCATTTCTTTGTGGCTGTATAGCTTCATTTCTACTTGGTGGTTGAACCAGAAAAGCGGGCGGTAGGTGAAAGTGAGCGTCGGATGAACGGGTACGGTAACCCGGTAACTAATCAGTTCTATCGTAATTTGGTCCTAATGTCGAATTTTCCTTCGCGCCTAATATTACTACCTTAGATAAATGATTCAAGTCATTATCTCTCTACGCTTATATTCCTCGACAATCACTTTGTTGCAGGTCTAGCGAACCCCTTATTATTACTGTACATCGCATTTTCTTTGTGACTCTCATCCGTTCCTCTGCCCTTCTTTCAGTAATCCAGCCCTTTGGTATCCTTCATCTCGTCTTCGTCATCTACTCCTCAGCGCAGCTCAGATATCTCGGGAGAAGGATCATGTCAGGAGCAGAACTCATAAAACGGCAAGTGCCGAAAGTCAATATGAGCACCACGAACGACCCAACAAACCAGCCAAAGGCTAAAGCGCGAACCGTACCTTGGCAGAAGATATCCGAATGGCAGTTCGACAACAAGTATATCCTCAGTGGCTATCGACCAGCGAAAGCAGACTATCTGGAGATTTTTACCAGCCTGACCTTCTTGCACAACGAGTCTTGCAATGTGTACACTCATCTGATCGGAGCTCTGCTTCTACCACTCGTCGCAACTACCTTCCCGCAGTACCTGGCAGAGCCTCAATTTCTCAATGTCTTGTCCATGGACTACGCTATGTTTGGAATCTACTTCTGGTGTGCGGAGATCTGTTTGGTCCTCAGCGCACTTTACCATCTGATGCAACCCCACTCGCATCAAGTTGAACAGTTCTGGCATGGAATGGATCTGCTTGGTATTGTAATTGTGATAGTGGGCACATTCTATTCCGGCATCTACTATGTATTCTTCTGTGAAGCGAGCTTGCAAAAATTGCACTGGGCTATTGTGAGTCTCTCCGAGCGATCGTTACCACTGACCCCATCCTCCTAGCAGCCGAGTCAAATCCAATGATACACTGACCTGAGTTCTAGGTCTTAACCACGGGTACTGTCACCGGTGTTCTAATCTCGAATCCCCTGCTCAAAACGCCGCGCTGGCGGAAAGTGAAGGTGGGCGCCTTCGTTATTTTTGGCGCTTCATCGTTTATACCCCTGCTGCATGGAGTGCAACGATACGGGCTTGAATACATGCACCAGTACTCGGGAATGAAATGGTATCTTCTCGAGCTTACTTTCTATGGCACTGGAGTCAGTCTATACGCGGTATGTCTGCACGCTCACCGTGTGTTTCATTCCCTGAGAGACAAGAATTCTGATGAACATCTATAGTTCCGAATTCCGGAGCGTTTGGCACCGGGTAGGTTTGATATTTGGGGAAGCTCGCACCAGATCTTCCATGTCGCTATCTTATGCGCAATGTACACACACCAGACTGCTCTGCTGCAAGGTTTTACAACCTGTCATACACTGGATGTGTGTCAGCTTCAGGGTGTCTATTGAGCAAGAGAAAGCTGTACCAAAGGCTGGACTGCTCTAAATGCAACACGTACGTTCT